GTTTTATAAGTAGTTACTAATGAGTTTATTAGTGGTTAATGAATAATTTGTACAGGCTCTGTTATTTGAAGCTGGTGATGTTAATAACTTTGGCATGTTTGCCACAAAATGGTTTGTGTTTATGGTTTTTATTTGGTAATAATGTTGTTATAAAAGTTAGAAGACATAATTTAACACTCTTTAATTAGCATATGATTTATTGACTATCAATAAAGCAATTACTTGCAACTTAAAACGTTTTTATGTGGGTGCTTTACTAGAAAATGGTACAGAAAGGGCAGAATCGAATGCTTTTTAAGAGTCTTTCAAGATAAATTTTAACCTAAATTTAAGACTGATTTTTGGTCAATTGATCATTTTCTTTGTCAAGCATCGCAGGTAAGTATATGAAGGTTAAATCGTAGAGTATGTATATACTGTATGTGGTTATGTTCAGAGGTAGGTTTTATGACAGAATATGGTCATAAGAGTGAGTTAAGTTGATCTACATTTTGCCAACAGGTACATACAAGCCAAAAAAATAAAGTATTAGGCTTTAAGAGTTGTAAGAGCAGAAACATGGACTTAAATTACAGAAAATGTTTTGTTACAACCTCACAAATTCATAGTTGAGACTATTTAATGACTTATAAAGCCTAATGTTAATGTAATTGAATTTAAAACACAATTACATCACAGTAAAAATACTCCATTACAAGTTAAAGTCATTAAAAATGTATCAAATGTCTAAAAAGTGAGAGTATGATATATTAAAGTGAAGCATTTTACTGGTGTAACTGGTCCAAGTGGAGCTGGTTTTAACTACTTTGTGATTTAGTCCAGTGGTTACCAACCTGAGGAATCAGTCTCCTCCAAATGGTGACAAAATAAATCTGAGAGGTCGTGAGATGATTGACCAAAACAAAAAGTTTTGCTGCACAAATTTGCACTAGCTTTTTTAAGTGAAACAGTGATTAATCTGCCCTGCTCACGCCTCAAACAGTTATTTAAATTAAACAATAAGAAATAAGTTTCACGGGCAAATATCTCTTTAGTGGAACGACTAAAAGCTCAAAGACGTCTGAAACGTTTCCATCATTTACCATCCATCTATAATTTTGTCACCCTGATGGTCTACACTATAATTTTATTGTGTGCTGTGTCTTGAGGTATTTCTTTTTTCCCAATTTGGTGGTGGTTTGTTTCTTATCAGATCGAGGGTCCAAGGACTACAGGTGTTGTATGTTGTACAGATTGTAAAGCTCCTTGAGGCAAATTGTGACTGGGCTAAAAAATGTAGGAGGTCACATGTGTAAAAGACTGGGAACCACTGGTTAATGTAACAATATGGTGTATTTTACAAGCTCATCAAATGATTTATATGCAACATGTGAATCTAAAAACTAACCAGCAGCTCATCTACACCTGTTAAATAAATGCAGTGAAGCAGAAAGTTTAGTATTTCTCTTTAAACTTATATGTAGAAGCATAAAATACTCAAGTAGAGTACATCAAACCCTTTATATACATTACTTTAATATTTACTTTTCACCATTATAAATGAGTAAACACAGGTCAAATGGACTCCTGAGTGTTATCATTAACTTGATGATCCAGAAAGCATTAATAAATGACTTTAAAAAACATTAATAAAACCATGAATCACCACTTCTACACCTGTGTACCGAATCAGCTCTTCTTTATATCTAAATAAACGAACTTCTATGCGCTGAATTTGCCATTTTAGTACATTTAAAGCTGACAGTTCATCAAAAAGCACAATCGTTAACGTCTCTTCTGATGTCACAGTCTTACGTAACCAGGTAAGTTAGCTAACTCGCTACAAGTCCATCACTCACCTGTAAATTACCTCCAGCCATTAGCCTGAGATGAGTCGGTCAAACTTAAACCTGTCGCGTTGAATAAACCTGTGAACCCGCTAACTGTTTATTTATCCTGTCGCCTATAACTTCAGTTTCATTGTACACAACAACTTCAGTCGCAAAGTCTCTTCCGCATCAACACAAAGTTGTCTGTCACTTCCGGGGTGGTCACGTGACAATGTTTTTGTCTCCTCCAGCAGCTGTGAGGTCATATTTCAGTCATGCTGGTTTCACAGGCACATGGGAAGAACTTTCATTAAAGGCTTTCTACAAGAAACTCCTGTCTCACAGAAACCTGATCATTTGAACCCAAACTTCTACATTTTTAACTCCCAATCTTTACCAAGAGATCCTTTCTGGTAGAAAGCCCTCGAGGAAACTGTCTCCCAACTGCATCTCTCACTGAACATATCTTTAACCCTTTGAAACCTGGAGCAACACCACTTTTCTTGTGCTGTTTTAAGACGCCTCTCTCAAGTATTTAAAGCCTAAAACTCTGAGAACATTGGTGCGTTTTATCTCAAGACCATGGGAAAAAGGCAACGAGCAACTTGGTAAGATATGTCCCACAAACTCCAAAAAGAAAAAAAAAAATGGATTTATAAAATTATTTAAAAAAAAAAAGTTTTTTAAGGCATAACTTTCTTTTTTACTATTGTTTGTTTTTATTTTATTATTTTTATTATTTAATTGTTTTACAAATTTTCTTGTTTTTGATTTTCTCTCACTTTTTTAAAAACTACTTTCCCATATTTTTGAAAGAAAAGATCCAAGTGTGCATTTTCTGTTATTATTTTGGATCTAATAACTGTATGTCCAGTTATTCTAAGACACTGGGAGACAACAACAGCCTTGATGGCATTGAAAGAATTAATTAAAGGTTAATGCAATGGTGGAAAAAGCATCTTATGAATATGCTCAGTGAAATGAATGGCAGTCAGGAGAAAGGAGTATCTTCTTGGGACCAGTTATGGACTCATATCAAAGTGGAAGATAAGCCTACATGATTATGAATTGGAGTCCACCTCCATATTAAAAAACATATGTGCCTTGTATTCTTGTATGCCCGGAAAATAATATGTGTATGCCGTGTACTGAGCCTTTCAAACCAATAAAAAACTTGAATTATAAAAATTCAACAATAAAAAAACATTTGTTGTCAATAAGGAGCGATATGTGAAACTACTTTCTAATTCTACGTAAAAAAATACCCTAGCTCTCTGTATACTAACCCCTGTATACTGAATGTGTATTATGTTTGATATATTAAAGAACTAAAAAATCAGTTATGCTTTTGAAAACAAATATAATTCAGCGTTACTGCAGAGATGTTGCACTGTTAATGACTTTATCATGATGAGTTATTTTAATCTACTTTTGATAATAATGATTTTTGTCTAGTTAATGTGTTTGTTTGTTTGTTTGTTTTTTACCATATATTACTGATTTCTTTGACTTTATGATCTAGCTGCTTGTTTTAAACTTGAAATGCTGCAGAAAAAAAAAACTGAAATTAAATAAATCAAACATAATAAAATTGTGTTGAAGGTGTGAGGCAGGTGTACATTTGAAAATACTGCCCTCTAGTGCAGTGGTTCCCAACTGGTCCGGATTTCTCCTTAGTCATTAGTCCTTAGTCACACAGTGTAATATATTCAGCGCCATACTTGTGTTTTGCCAAGTCATCAAGCCGGTTTACTGTCTCTGTTAAGGAGCTGTCTGTTTGTCACTCACACAACAACAGGAAAAAGCACTTCAAAATAAAAGCTCTGTGCTGGAAATTCACTGCACTTCAAAATATAGTGTTTTTTACAAACTTGACACCTTCATGAGTCATGCAGTCCATTCAGAATGGACCTGCGACCCACTTTTGGACCACCAAAAGTAGTAAAAGACCTCCAGTTAGGAACCACGGTTCTAATGAGTATTAGTCATTAAATTAAAATCAATTAAATAATATTGTTGCTAGAATATGTAATCTTACTATATAAAGACGAAAACTGTGTGTGTGTGTGTGCCTGTTCCACGTTTTTCTCCTCACTGACTTGGTCAATCCATGTGAAATTTGGCACAGTGGTAGAGGGTCATGGGAGGATGCCAATGAAGCAATATTACATCAATTGGCCAAAGGGGGGCGCTATAGCAACCAACTGAAATTGCAAACTTTGAATGGGCATATCTCATGCCCCGTATGTCGTAGAGACATGAAACTTTGCACAGAGATGCCTCTCCTCATGAGGAACACATTTGCCTCAAGAACCCATAACTTCCGCTTATATAGATTTTCCGCCATTTTGAATTTTTTGAAAAACACTTCAAATGGATCTCTTCCTAGGAAGTTTGAGCGATCTGCATGAAACTGGGTGAACATAATCTAGGGACCAATATCTAAAGTTCCCTCTTGGCAAAAGTTGGAAAACTTACTAAAACTGAGCTTCTATAAGGCAATGAATATTGCGGAGGGCGTGGCTCATCACATAAAGGTGTATAACATGTCAAGGGTTTCACCCATCACCACGCAACTTTGTAGGCATATGACCACACATAATCTGAGGGGACCCCTCCATTATTGACCCCATCAAACAAAATGGGGGCGCTAGAGAGCTCATTTCTTATCTAGGCCTAACCGCCATATGGATTTTTACTAAACTTGGTAGATATGTAGAACAGGACGCCTCAAGGTGACTGGAGAAATTTAACTCTAATTGGCAACTGGGTGGCGCTATAACAACAGAAAAATGCTTCAAAATGGCTAAAATGCGACCGATCGCTGTGGCTCCCCCTGTGGACCAATGTTGGTGTTGTTTCTAATGTTTGGTATGACTAAGTCATGGTATGGTATGCTGTACATAATCACGGAAACTGTCAGTGTGTCATTCTGTCAGTCAGTCATTCTGTCTGTCCCATGTTTTTCTACTCACTGACGTGGTCAATCTATGTGAAACTGCACATAGGCATTGAGGACTGGCATAAGTAGAAGGTGACAAAGCTACCAATGGCTATGGACTGGTATCTATTTTAATACTAAAATACAAATCAGAACGTCTGACTTTTGAAAATAAAATGACTTGACCCTCACACATTTAATAAACATGCACGTTGCCACTTAAGGATTGAATAACAAATTTACACTTTATTACATCTATTAAAAAGGCAAATAAAAAGTGTGCAAAATATCTAGAAATCTTACAACACCTGGGGTAAACAAAAATAAATGCATAAACTGTAGAACAACAGAGTAAAGGAGATGATGCACATGGCAGACAGATGCATTTTGGTTGCACGTTGTGTAGCTCTAGATTTTGTCCAGGTTTTATTCAACATATGACAGCTTCATTTCAGTTGCAATCAAAAGCAAGCACCATGTACAGTACATATTGTAGGTGAGTAGATTTGACACTGTATTGTTTGTTTTAGTTTCCCCTCGGTACACGTCACCGCTGTGGTACAGGCAGGAAGGCAGCAGTCAGGTCGGTCATCAGCTGTCTCCATTTAACATTTTTGGATTTAACAACTTTAGGATGCGATCGTTCTTTGTTAGATCTGCAGGGAGTTCATTATTCTGCAAGACACACATGAGAAATAGTTTAAAAGCTGAAGTCATCTACTTATCATCAGCTCATCTTTCAAATCTAAGTGCTTTACCTTGTTGGGTAGAGTGGGGTCTGCGTTGGCCTCCAGCAGCAGCAAAACAGATCGAAGATTTCCACCCATAACAGCAGCATGTAGGGCAGTGGAGCCATTCTGGAGACAACACATAAATGTTATCCAGTGTTGCAGGGTTAGTATTAAAGGGACAGTTTCACATTTTAGGAAATATGCTTAATCCCTTTGTTGTGAAGAGTTAGATGAGAATACTGACACCACTCTCATGTTAGCTTAGCTTAGCAAAAAGACTGGAAACAGGGGGAAACAGCTGCTAGGCTCTGCCTGAAGGTGACTGACTGTTCAGACTGAGGAATAGTCAGGCAATATGTCTTCTTCTTATGTGTGGTTATGTATGTGTGGTTTTATCTTGTGTGTCAAGCCCTTGTTGTTTTGACTGTATTCACCACAACATTACTGGTCCGAATTACAGTTGAATAAAAATTATCTACCACAAATGTAAATCCATCTTTCGTGAGATGGATCAGTGGTTTGGCGCAGTGTCTGCAGTGATGAAGAGGGAGCTGAGCTGGAAGGCAAAGCTTTCAATTTACTGGTCCATCTACAACCCAACCCTCACCTATGGTCATGAGCTCTGGGTAGTGACCGAAAGAATGAGATCACAGATACAAGCGGCCAAAATGAGTTTCCTCTGAAGGGTGTCTGGGCTCAGCCTTCGAGATAGGGGGAGGATCTCGGACATCCGGAGGGTGCTCAGATAAAGCCGCTGCTTCTTTGCGTCGAAAGGGGTCAGTTGAGGTGGTTCAAGCATCTGATCAGGTTGTACTGGACACTTCCCACTGATAGGAGGCCCCGGGGCAGACCCAGAACACGCTGGAGGGATTACATATCCCGTCTAGCCTGGGAACACCTCGGATTTCCCAGGAGGAGCTGGAAAGCGTCACTGGGGAGAGGGACGTCTGGAATACTTTGCTTGGCCTGCTGCCCCTGTGGCCCAGCTTCGGATAAGCGGTTGAAAATGGATGGATGTACAAATGTAACTCAACATGACCTCTTCAACCTGAATTAATATTGTCCAGCATTATTTTAAGGCAAATTTAAATTATGAAATGTATATTATGTTATTATTTATGTGAGCTCCAGAGGTTTTCCTCTTAACTGCATCTTAAAGGGAAATTTCGGTTTATTTCAACCTGTCTCCTATTGTCCTAAATTTGTTTCAAGTGACTAGTGACATAAAAATAATAGTTAGTATGTTAGCCGTTAGCCTAGATACAGCCGGGGCGCATAGTAGCGTCAGACCTGTTAAAACATAAGTGAACGGGCAACCTTCAAGTGCAAAGTTAGTCCACTAAACAAGCTTTTTTTCCACAAAGACCGCCTCATATCGTTAGGATAAATGTCAGAGAACATATAGAAAACGACATGTAAAAATATTGCGAGAATAAGCAGAGATCTCATACTGTGCCTGAACAAGCAGCAACAGCTGGAAGGCAGAACCGGACAGTAGCCTGAAAAGTTCATTCATTTATTTTATGAAAGATTTATAGAATAATGGCTGACTTTTTGCCAGATTTTGACTTTGTGGAGGAGGAATTTGATTTTGCAGAGTTTGATGGCCGCCCTTATTTATTTGAGCCAGAATACACTGACGAAGAGCTTCGTGAAATTGAAGAACGGAGGAGGAGAGAGAGAGAGGCGCAACAGGTAGAGGACGAGAGAGGAGGAATGGCTGCTGCAAGGCTGCGTAGCTCTGGAGATTGGTGGTGTACCTGTGAATGCTGTGCCCCAGTGCCCACAGAAGAGGAATGCCTCTGTTGCAAGGAATGGGACCGGTTGCAGCCTTATTTTCAAGGTCTGGATGTGACCGAGGACGAGACACCTCCACCTGGAGTAGTATCCAGCTGGGCTTTATCTAGAGCTCGCGAGATATATTTCGGCCGCGCTTTGGAAAGCAGAGCTAAATGGTAAACAAACATGGCAGCACACCGGTAAGGTAAGACAACACGTTTACATGTCGTTTTCTATATGTTCTCTGACATTTATCCTAATGATATGAGGCGGTCTTTGTGGAAAAAAAGCTTGTTTAGTGGACTAACTTTGCACTTGAAGGTTGCCCGTTCACTTACGTTTTAACAGGTCTGACGCTACTATGCGCCCCGGCTATATCTAGGCTAACGGCTAACATACTACCTATTATTATTATGTCACTAGTCACTTGAAACAAATGTAGGACGATAGGAGACAGGTTGAAATAAATTGAAATTTCCCTTTAACCTCGCCATCATTCCTAATTATTATATTCAATGGGTTAATTATTGTAACTGTCTGCCTCGCAGTCGGCCATAGGACAGTCTGAAGAGGCAGTGTGTTTTGGGGGGGTTGAGTAGGTCCAATAATCTCACACTCAAAAATACTTACTAAGAGTATAAATGCTGGCATTTCTCAAGTACACAATCTCCACATAGTATGCAGTTGGAATGCACTACATACTTAATTTTACTTCTTACTTAGGCCTCGTCCACATATACATGGGTATTGTTTTTCGTTCTCATTAAAATATCCTGTCTAGACAAGCACTGTTCTACAGCTAGTTTATGTAGCAGTGATGCGTCTGTCTCAATATAGTGGAAGAGTAACTTTACATTTACTTGAAAACATGTAATACTAAATATTTTAGTATGAATATGTTTGTATGCAGAACCAACTTTTTGGCTGTGGGCTCTGACCTTCTGAACAAAGCCAAGCTGTTTCCCTCTGTTTCCAGTCTGTATGCTAAGCTAAGCTAACTGGCTGCTGGCTGGAACTCTGAATAAATAGATGTGAGAGAGGTATCAATCATCTGATTTAACCCTGTACAGTAAAACTCGAATGAGTTGAGGTTTGTGTTTTGTGTCAGACTATTTCTTGGCCCGGTGCAGGAACTTCCTGGAGTCTTATCGTGTATGCCAAGCTCATCATTTCCTCGCTGTAGCTACATAATTTACCATACAGACATTAGAGTGGTATTGATCTTCTCACTCAGCTCTTGTGAGTGAGTAAGCAAATTTCCAAAAATGTTAAAGTCAGTGGCAGCATGCTTTACCTTGAGAAGTCCAACTGAAGGAGAAAACTTGAGAAGTTCCTCGATGACGCTGTTGTGTCCCTTATACGCGGCTTTGAATAACGCTGTTGATCCATCCTTGAAAGACAAGAGAACGCATACAATCATTTAACAAAACAGTCAGGACTCAAGGTCCTCTTACTCACTCACTCTGAGGCTTTTGGCTATATTACATGGTCCTCATCAGCAGAAAGAGTTTGCTCTGTAGATGCTCAAACTCTGAGATATTATGTGTGTAATAGTATCATAGAAATAGAGTGACATCATTTTATTTGTACGAGTAGTACACAGGCCTATAGAATACAAATGTTCTTGACTCATCTACATCAATCAATAATCCCTTTATGTTCATTTTTATGTACTGAGATAATTCTAAAAGAACTACATACTTGTCTGTCAGCATCCCGATCAGCACCACGTAAGAGCAGCACCCTCACCACCTCACTGTGACCCATCTGAGCTGCCATCCACAAGGCGGCAGTGCCATCCTGGAGGACACACAGACGAGGGAGGGATGCAGAGGCAAAAGAGGGAAGAGGTGAAAAGAGAGAGAAATGTTAGAGTCGATGCAGGCATGGAGGGATGAGGAGGAGGAGCTGTGAGCTAAAGAGGTGACCTTATGTGTGACTGTGTATTTTAAATCTAGAGAGGTGCTAGAGAGGTGAGGACGTTACCTCCCTCGCTTGGTTAACCTTGGCACCGGATGACAACAGCTGACGAATCACATTCACATGACCCTCCTGTGCAGCCAGAAACAGAGCGGTGGCACCATCCTGAAACAGAAAAGAATCACGTCACATGCAGGGTAACACTTTCCTGCTGTACCTGGATCTCTAAAAACTGTTAAGAAACCTTCCAGCTGATAAAAAGTGCATTCACAACATGTTGCTATTTTACTACTATTCTATAAATATATGTATGTGCAGTCAGGTTGTTTTCCCCGGCCTAAGGACAGACACTAATCCTGCCAAATGTCTGTCAGGTCTGACTCAGCAGTCTGCAGAAACCTGAGCGGCTGGATTCCAGCTGCTGGGACATTGTGTGCAACTAACCATCATGTTCCTGACAGACAGAGGTGCTGACAGTGAGAGGGGACAGAAGACTTGGCTCACATTCAGCTGGTCGTGAACATTGGCTCCATTCTTCAACAGGGTGTCCACCACCTTGGAGTGTCCGTACTGGGAAGCGACTGTGAGAGCTGTGCCGCCGTCCTGCCACAAAGCACACAAGAAAACAAGTTGACAGTGAGAATAATAGTTAAAGTCACCACTGTGTGTTACAGGCTGCAGAGAGAGTGTCTCTTAAGTCTTCAGCATATTTTTTTGCATCATATTTGTCTCTTTATCTCGACATGAAGCACTCTGAGTCACAGCGGAGATGCAGCAGTCTCCATCACACCCAGTATTATAGACTGTGATACGTGTCATTGTGCCCTGCAGCATACCTTTGTCTGGAACTCAGTAGAGGCACCAAATTCAAAGAGGAGCTTCACAATTTCATTGTGTCCATGCTGGGAGGCGAAGAACAGGGCAGTGGAACCTGTCTGAAAATAATAAATAATAATACCAAACTTTATTTATATAACACCTTTAAAACACAGTTAAAAAGTCCCTCACAATACAAACAGACCACATTTAAAAACATAGAGAGAGTGAAATGAACTAAAGAGCCAAAAACTGAGCACAAAGAAAAACACACTGTCAAATAAAATTTCATAAAACTCGAGTGAATTCACAGAAAAGCAATTTTAAAAAGTGTTTTCTTAAAGTAATCTAAAAGATGAGACAGTTTGCAGCCCTGGTCTCCTCCCTGGTCACTCCACCTTTTTCTGGACGTTTACAGCATATCCACCTACTGCTTTCTGAAAGTTGTTCCAGGGGGGAATTTTGCTCTCATCTTGCTGTTCTTATTCTCAAACCCAAGATGATGACATATGTGTACTGATGTGAGTTTTTTTTAAGCCAAACTATTTTTTAAACTTAAAACTGACATTACAGAACATTTATCTAAAAGCACAGTTTGACATTTTGGGGAATACAGAGATAGCTGGATGAGAAGATCGACACCACTCTCATGTCTGTACGCTAAATATGTCCAGCCAGAGGAAAAATAGCTTAGCTTACCACAAAGACTGGAAACTTATTTGTTTAAAGGTATACTATGCAGGAATTGTCAGCTGCTGTTTGTAAACACTATCGCCAGTGAAAGCGAAGGCCGACCCCAGCTTTGTCTGCTTGGCGTTTCTCCTTGCTATATTTGCTTTTTTTGCACTGTGTCAGCAATTTTCATAGCTTCCTCTTTGACATGTGCTGCTTATGATCTACTACCAGTTGTCCTCACCTGCGTGTTGTGCTCAGAAACATCCCAGACACAGAAAAATAAGAAGTTGGCTAAAAGTGTCCATTGTGAGGGAATGCTATTTTACAAGTGTGTGCTCCAGGAAAGGAAATTAGCATTTTAGCATTCCTGCTGTACCTCCCCTTCTCAATATACCATTTTCTACCAACTATAATAAAGGTTCTTGTGACAAAAACACAAAGTTTTGCAGTCTGGAGATGTAACAAGAGAGTTAAAAAGAAGCTGTGGCAAACACTGCCCAGTAAGGAGTCCTAAAACCCAGAGATGAGTTAGCATTTTACCACTCCCGGTTCTCTCGTCTCAAAGTCACTGGATTTTTGGTTAGATATCTCAGATAAGGTCTGTGGTTCACACAAGCTTAAGAGACTTTCACGTTTTGTTCTACAACACAAAATACATTGGTAAATACCCTACTTGTGAACTCTCTATGTGTCCTAGAAAAGGTGGTTGCTAACATGTGGCCAACTGAGACTACGGAACATCATCATACTGAACACAGTTTTACAGCTTCGTTGTGGTCGAGATGTTGAGTCATGCAACCGTTGTGTAGTTTATTTATAGCCTAACGATAGCTTTTTACTTCTGGTGATTGCATTTAGGCTTTAAAAATAATGTAAGTGGTCATTAGTGAAGATTATCTTGCTGAACAAAACATGTAAGTATCATAAACTTTTGTTGCCACAGAGCTTTTCTTCTGCAATAATCCAAAATCCATCAGAAAAATCCCGTAGGTTTTCAGATGAGGAAACTGCAGGGCAACGCTAACGACGTGTCAGCCTACAGAAACGTGTCATCCCTGGAGCACTTTTTAGGCTACTTTTTTTTTTAGGAAATCCTGCGTAATATACCTTTCTGTACAAAAACTGTGTTAAATATTAACACAAGTACAACATAAGCACAGTTTATTGGCTGGGAGCAATGACTTCCTGGACTCTCCAGCAGCTGGTTAGCTTAGCTTAGCACAAAGACTGGGAACAGGGGGAGCAGTTATTCTGGCACGGTTGGTAGCTAAAACAAAATCTACCAACTAGCACCTTGAAAGCTCATGTGTCATATCTTGTTTGTTTAATGCCTTCAAAAAAAATAAAATTTGCAGTTACTGGGAGTTATATGCAAGACTATTTCCTGACTTCCTGGAGTCTCCTCTGGCAGCCAGCAGCCGGTTAGCTTAGCTTAGCACAAAAACTGGAAACAAACGAAACAGTTAGCCTGACACTGTCCGCACCTAAAAATTTTTTTTTACCAACTAGTACCTTGAAAGCTCACTATCTTCCATGCTATACCTTGTTTGTTTAATTCATTTAAACAATTACATTTTTGCTGTATTACAGGGGGTTATGTGTCAGGCTATTTCTTGGCTGGGAGCAGTGACTTCCTCGAGTCTGCAGCAGCTAGTTAGCTTAGCTTAGCACAAAGACTGGAAACAGGGCAAACAGTTAGCCTGACACTGTCTGTAGTTAAAAAAATTAAAATAAAAATCCACCAACTAGCACCTCAAAAGCTCACTAACTAACACGTCGTATCTTCATTTGTTTATGTGATCAAAAACTTAAAATTTGTGGTATTACTGGGAGTAATGTGGCAGACTATTTCTTGGCCAGGAGCAGTGACTTCTTGGAGTCTACAGCAGCTAGTTAGCTTAGCTTAGCACAAAGACTACGAACAGGGGAAATAGTTAACCTGACACTGTCCGCAGCTAATTTTTTTTTTTTTTTTTACCAACTAGCACCTTGAAAGCTCACTATTTAACATGCTATACCTAATGCATTTAAACAATTAAAATGTGCTGTATTACAGGGGGTTATGTACCAGGCTATTTCTTGGCTGGGAGCAGTGACTTCCTGGAGTCTGCAGCAGCTAGTTAGCTTAGCACAAAGACTGAAAACAGGGCAAACAGTTAGCCTGATACTGTCTGTAGTTAAAAAAATTGAAATAAAAATCCACCAACTTGCACCTCAAAAGCTCACTAACTAACACATTGTATCTTTTTAGTTTAATGCGATCAAAAACTTAAAATTTGTGGTATTACTGGGAGTTATGTGCTTGTCTATTTCTTGGCTGGGAACAGTGACTTCCTGGAGTCTCCAGCAGCCGGTTAGCTTAGCTTAGCACACAGACTGGGAACAGGGGAAACAGCTAGCCTGACACTGTCTGTAGCTTACATAAAAAATAAATCTACCAACTAGCACCTTGAAAAAAATCAAAATTTGCCATATTACAGAGGGGGTTATGTGACAGACTATTTCTTGGCTGGGAGCAGTGACTTACTGGAGTCTCTACTATTCAACTGGTAACCCTTTAGTGACGAAGAGACTCCATATTTACTGTGACCTTTGGTTTGTAATCCAGAAAAGTCTTATACTGTTTTGTATGGGAGAGCCAGTTATTTTCCCATCATACCTCTCTCTGGTAGTTGATGTCAGCTCCTTGCATGATAAGTTCTTTGACACAATCATAATGGCCGCTGTAGGACGCCACCATCAGCGCTGTGGTTCCGTACTGAAAAGAAACACGGCAATGATTAATTAGCAACCTTGCTGGTGTTTTTATTGTAGACGTCTAGACAGCATGCTGAACATGAGCTGATGAAACTGCTTAATTCTGCAGATTTTTCCAAACTAAACACATGAAACCCTCACCCTTAATTATGATGAGAAAAATAAAAGGGTGGTACTCAGCACACACATGCAACCACAGAGGTGAGGCTTGAAGCTCTCTGTCTCCCTACCACAGGTGGGTTATGGTTAAAGCGTGCAGCTGAGCAGCCAGGACATGCAGCGGCCGTACACTGTCTCTGCAGTCTGCGTCCACGCGCCCACTGTTGAGCAGCAGCTGAAGTAGAGCCAGGTTCCCTTTCCTCGCTGCCCAAAACACAGCATTAGCCAGGGGTGTTTCCTTCTGCAGGGTAAATACACACAACAACCAGTGACCTTAAACCACCATTATGGTATTATACACACACTGACAGTGGAGGAGACAGTGAAAACACAACAGTGTCCTTTGCAGAAGTAGAGGTTTACAGTGTCTCACACACACATACACTGCTTTCTTCTCTCTCAGAATAGACATGAGGGATTTGAATGAAGTGTTTTGCATCAAACAGCACGTGCACACTATACAGGATTATATGAAATCTAAGCAGGACCACAGGCCAAATCATACCCCATTATACCCACACACAGACACAATGCTAGACTGTATGATTGCATTAAAGTCTGAAAGCAGCCCAGTTAATTCCAGCTCACACCAGCTTACATTTAAACACCACATCGTTAAATAAACCCTCAAAATGAACAAGTGTACACTTTAAAGAGGAAGCTGGGATGATGTTGTTCCTCGCTGAGGCCCTGTGGGGCTGCGTGCAGAGAATGATGGATGCAAAAGGCTGCCTTACCTTAAAAGACATCCTGCAGACCTCATTCGTGACTCATGTTTCTTCCTGCGCACTCGTTCATTAGAGACGATGCTGAGCTGAGCGCCACTCGCCTGTTTTGCCGCACTGAGTTTGGGTGTTGGCGGCGCCTGTTTGCGGACATAATAACAGGCAGACGGTCAGCTGAGCTCATCCTCTGCAGTCAGTGCTGCACGGACGGAGGAGACACACAGCGGGCCGCTGGGTGGCGCTGCTGAGCACACAGAGGCATCTGAGTGTAGAGCCAGGTGGACTGGTTCAGTGGTGGAGAGTAACTAAGTACATTTACTCAACTGTTGTTGGACTGCTTGAGTTGCTATATGTATTTCTTATTTCACTACATTTATTTGACAGCTGTTGTTACAAGTTAATTTACAACTTAATTTAATAAACAAATGTATTTATTTATTAAATTTAAAACAAATGAGCAGTGCATCTTAAGCAAGGGCAAAGTTTTATTGGTTAGTTATTTATTATCATTATTTATTCTGTGTGTGTATGTGTAATTTATGTGTGATATGTCTGTGTAATCTATGTGTGTCGTCGTATCCACAAAGTACATGTATGTGTTTTATGTATTGTGCCCCCCGGAGACATTAAAGGTCTTCTAAGTCTAAGTCTAAATGTATGAAAAACATATAAAGTCATCCTTAACTTTTTTGGCTTGTGTCCCATTACAGTCAGGTGTTGCCCATCAGATTTAATTTTCAACGGGAGACACTGCAGATAAAATCATGCACTGGTCAATTTTGAGATTTTGGGCTATTTTGCTACTATTATATGTCTTTTTTTTAGACGAATGGAAAGAAACTGTCCAAAATACACATTTATGTTTATCTTAGTTCAGATTTCTGTTCTGGAAATGTATGCAAAAAGCACATATTTAATTAAATAATGCCTCATATGCATATTTAAATCTCTTAGATGTCTTAATTTAAATAATCAACTGGGGAAGTTTCATGGTGAAATCCATGAGTTAACATTTTTACCCTACTTATCTGTGTGTTTTTTAATCTAAAAATATATGGGATCTAAAAAATTCCCATGGCAAAAACCTTTAACTCTTGTACGGCAACAACATGAAACATGACCTGGCTTTGTCCAAAATGTACGCAAAATTGTGCATATATAATAAGATGTGTCCTGATTTTTGCATAATTAAACATGATATTTTAGAAAACTTGTAACACATAAAAATATAACCTCAATATATGTAATCAGCTGGGAAGGTTTCATGGTAACATTTATCAGTTTGAAGTTTTACCGTCTTCACCTTTAGTGTCTAGGTGTTGAGTTGTTTCAAGAGTGATTTACACTTCTGCTGCACGACTGTCAAATCATACATTATTATTAAAAAAAAGTTTGTTTCTTAAATATTAACTTCTGTAGCAGAACTTTGTATATTTTTCTTTTCTGACCCAGTAATCATGTCACTGATGTTTTTATGACCTCCTGACCCCTTAAACTGAGAGCCGCTGGACTACCCGACTGTATATAAAGCAGCTCCAGCTCAACCAGCTACAACAGCAAACTGCTGCTTACACATTGCTGCATCAACAATCCAACAATGTAACATGTAATAATATAACTTGTGCAGAATACGTACTTTTACTTTTGATGCGTTGGGTACATTTTTCTAATTGTACTTCTATACTTTGACTTAAGTAGGGTTTTGAATGCAGGACTTCTACTTTCAGTGAAGCTTTTTTTACATTAAGGTACTTTTACGTAAGCAAAAGATTTGCGTTCTTCCTCCACCACTGTTTTGGGAAAGTTAGATGTCAGGTGTAAGGCTCAATTATAAACCGGTTATTGAGGGATTTACAATATTGCAGCTTTAGCTCTCTCTCTGAATGATAATAGAGATATTACGGAGGAGGAGCAGGGAAAGCATCTTATTTTGGTTGACTAATGTCCTTCTCAGGTGCTGGCAGAAGTGCTGATTAAAGGATTCGTTAAAGTATAGTGGAAACATGCACTTACTGCAAAGCTATATAAGGAAGGTTGACAGGGAGTCTGTCGCTGTGTCGCTGCCCAGAGTCCCTCTCAGAACATGGGAACAAAACAGACTCACATCAGTGCAGGTAAGCTGTTTTTTTCATATGGAGTATGGTGTTGGAAAAACATCTGTGTACCTTTTATTTTTAAGACAACTTCCATTTAAAATGCAGATTCAATGTTTCATTTAATGTCCTGTCTATAGTCTATGGATGCTGTTTGTGAGTAGACAATGCGTTGGCCTTTGGGCTCTGCCACAAAACTCATTTGTGTATTTGAGCTTACAATTTGCTTTGTACAAGCAGCAACATGTAAAGTTTGTGTCATCATTCACTGACATCACATAGTCCTCATTTATGATAGATCAGACATCAGACATGTTATATATTTTTACATCAAAGTGCATTTATAGTGAGAGTTCAGTCGTGAGAGTGACTGTGTTTGTCTGTGAAGAACATGTAGCCTTAACAAATTAGAATTTTCAGCACAGTTTCATAAGATAGCGAGCACCAACCCCACTTTAGAAACAAATATATTTTTCACTTTTGAACACACACCTTGCATTTTTACTGTAGACAGCTGCTGTCTTATCTTTGCACTCAACAATCTATTAAGTACAGAGCACATTTTATTATAGAAGTGCTGAAACGTGTCATGTTTTGCTTTTGACTGGCAAAAATGGTGCATTCTGCATTTGGCAGAGGTTTTCAAAAGAAGATACGGAAGCTGTAGCAGTCACAAAACTGATGCTGCCACCCTGCATAAAATTACAGCCTAATGTTAACGAGTAAACTGCTGCATAGAACAGACAAGGTGCTTTATTTTTCTCGCAACTAAAGCAGATTATTCTTGCATCTCTAAACCGCAATTCTTTGTATTACCTGTTTTGTTAAGGTTACAGCTGTTTGCAGTCTCACAGCCTCCTCACCCTGCAGGTGAAATGTTAGGCGTCTTCCTCTCAGCTGTACACAACAATTCAACCAGAAAGAAACTGTTCAAGAAAATGGTTTATTTGGAAATTTTGGATATTAAGGCTGCATTAGCCACTGCTGAGTAAATGCTAAATGGACTGCACTTGTGTCTTGCCTGTCTTCCGACCACTCAGAGCGCTTTTACACTACATGTCGCACACTGGCTACCATACAGGGTGCCACGTAGTGCTCAGTAACCATTCACACACACTCACACACCAGTGGAACAGCCATCAGGAGCAATCTGGGGTTCAGTATCTTGCCCAAGGATACTTGAGGAGCTGGGAATTGAATAACCGATCTTCCAATTTACCTCTGAGCCACAGCTGCCCTAGTTTATAGTAATTTCTGCTATTTGCATTTGATTTGATGATACTACTGACCATAAATTCAAATTTCAGTCAATAAAAAAACAGCATTTCAACACAACTGTGCCGTGCTTATGCTGTTGGTTATGCTGTTATGACAGAACAATTCACAAGCTGTAACAATAACAATTTCTTTAGGTACAAATAAAAGATGTGATGCTCTTGTCCTCATAGTCCAGCAGGCCAGCTTCCTGCTGAGAGCAGCTCTGCTCTCCGTCCTGCTGTGCGGCCCTCAGCACGTGTCCTCAGACTCAGACGAGGCCGTCCTGACTGAGTGGCAGATCTGGAAGACCAGCCATGGCGTCTCCTATGAAGAGATGGTGAGGTTGACTCCATGCACCAACAGTAAATGCATACATGATCTGATTCATGTGACTCTCTCTGTTATGTGTTTTGCAGGACGACATGCAAAGGAGGGCCATCTGGGAGCAGAACAAACAGATGATTGAAGACAACAATCAAGGGTTCTTCATGGGGATGAGGCCGTTCACTATGGCCATGAATAAATATGGAGACCTGGTGAGGAGTGAATTTCTCTCTGTGCTAAAAGTTCCACTGCTTAAAGCCTTAATTGGAGTTTTCCTAAGTAAATATAAAGACTTCATGGCATTAACAAACTTATCATAAGTTTACTGATAACATTCGAAAATCCCAACATGGCTGAACTATTGATAATCCTCAACAGTAAAGACTGAGATAAATCTGTGATTGAGCCAAGATGTTTTTAGTATTTTCAATACAAATCCTGATAAACAGATTATCAATCAATACAAAATGCATTTATTAGATTTATTTGCATTCATTTGGACGCATCTGTCCAAAGTGACAACCTTTTAAACTTACATACACTTACTATGCTACTAATGTTGTTCAGTTATTGTTTTATGAACTGCGACATAAAGCAGGAAAAGTGTCAAAATAAAGATGACTCTCAAGAGTTAGATCAAAACATTGATACCACTCTCCCGTCTACCCAAAATGAAGTTCAAGCATGCAGCCAGTTAGCTTGGCTTAACATAAAGACTAGCAACAGGTGGAAACAGCTGGTCTGGCTTGAAAGTGACTGCTTCCTGCCAAGGAAACAGTTCAGCACATAATCCCTTGTATGGTCATGTCTTGCTTGAACTACGCTACACCGCCCCCACTGTTTCTAGTGGTTATTCTCAATTTTGTCTGTATCCTTAAGCTTTTAGGAAGGATGTGGAAAAATGGATAACACGAACGCAGAGTAGGCCTGTGCATAGAAAGATCCATGTGTGTCAGTATACAGATCTAACATTGAGCATAAATGAACCTTTAATCTGTGAGTTTTAAAGGTGCAGGTAGGCAGATTTTGTTACCTCTGGACAAAGCCAGGCTTGCTGTTTCCCGTGTTTTCAGTTTTAGTGCTAAGCTCTGCTAATCCTAGCTCTGGCTTCATATTTACCTCAAAAACCTGAGAATGGTATCAATCCTTTAATCCTTTAATCCTTTAATTAATGAGGAAATTTATGCCTCATGTCCACTGCATGGCTCTGCTCAACTCGAATCAGCTCTCTTTTAGCACCAGGTTCTTTTCTCTATTTCATTTTCCACTGCAGACAGAACCTCCTAAATGTAGGCTGGATTCTCAGTTTATCACTACAGTGACACTAGTGGCTTACATCAGCAGCCAGAGAACGACTGCACTACATCAATTGTGCGGTGTAGTGTACATACTTTATGTTGTAGTATATGGCGTAGTTTTGCGCAACACATTCTCACTCCGACCTCCTCACATATCGACGTTTGGTCATGGACTTTCCATGTTGAGATATGATGGATGTTCCCTGGATGCGTTGGTTGTTGACGTTCTGTGACACCGTGTCAACTTCAGTCTGCTACATGCATTGTCTGTTTTCAAAATACACTTCCGTTTTCACAGGAAATGTACAGTTTGCACACAGTCTCTTTCAAAATAAAAGCACTACGACAGTACAACACCGCAATTTGCTGTTTTTTTCTTCGACAACAAATGCACATGGTTACGTAAGTGTAAAAGAACGTAAGTGTAAAAGAACAGGGTTTGGCTTTACAATCATACAGGAAGTGAACACCAACCTCTAAGGTGAAAGTCAGTGGTTGTTGGACTCATTTGCCACCCCTGCCACCTGCCCTACTCTGACTTTCACCCTCTTAACTTATGTTGCTGTCTGGCTGTGTTTCCCCTGATGCCGCCAGGTTGCCACGTACCATGCCAGCGTGAAAGGATAGCATTTTTCGTCTGATGCTGGAAGTCACTGCCCAAGTACTGGTATTCGACGACTTTGGAGTGAGACTGAGTTGTATTTAAAAATAGTGGGGTTGTGCAGGATGTCAGTGGTCTGCAGTGTTTTGACTCCACCTCCTGTAATCGATTCAGCTCGCTTGGAATCTCGACTGAGGTAGTGCCACAAAAAAAAAATCAGGTTCCAGGTACTATCAACTTTTTCGTGTAGAAAAACAAAATATTGTGAGTCGAGTTAAGCCGTGCCGTACCATGCAGTGGTAATGCAGAAAAAGTTAGTTAATTTCCCCAGATATGAAACGCCTCCTTTGAACAATCTTTCTGATGTTCTCCATGTGTAGACGAGACAAGAGTACCACGTTTTGCAAGGTGCCGTGATCGACTCCCAATTTGTGAAGAGAGGGAAGACCGTCTCGGCCAGGAGGCTGCGTAACAATGCTAAGAAGTACGACACTTTGTTTGTGGACTACAGGAAAAAGGGTTATGTCACTGAGGTGAAAGACCAGGTAAGAAATGTATAAATTCATATTACGTGGGTTTTATGTAGACTGAATTATGAACACCTTCAAATCTACATTATGTTTTAAATGATGTTCACAGGGTTACTGTGGCTCGTGCTGGGCCTTCAGCACTACAGGAGCTATTGAGGGACAAATATACAAGAGGACAGGTCAGCTTGTATCTCTGAGTGAACAAAACCTGGTGGACTGCTCCAGATCTTATGGTACCTATGGCTGCAATGGTGCCTGGATGGCCAACGCCTACGACTATGTGATCAGCAATGGGCTGCAGTCGACCAGCACCTACCCATACACCTCAGTGGTGAGGCTGCTGACTCCGCCTCAAAGCAGCATAAATCAGTTAATTAACCTGTGTCTGTTAATTTCTCGCTCTGTATTTCTCTCCACAGGACACCCAGCCCTGTTACTACGACAGCAGACTTGCAGTTGCACATATCAGAGACTACAGGTTCATACCCAAAGGAGATGAGCAGGCTCTGGCTGATGCCGTGGCAACTATCGGGCCAATCACAGTAGCTGTTGATGCAGATCATGCAAGCTTCTTGTTCTACAGCTCAGGTTAATATTAAAATACTTCCTCTATACAATCATTATGTTAGTGATTAATATCTATATATATTTTTTAGCTGGCGTAATCAATATTTTCATACTAACAAAGGAATCAAATCACTTATGTTGCTCAAAGTGACAAACCAGTAGAGAGCTTTGCAGCATGTTTCAGCTCATTGTTTTAGTCCGCAACTTCACTGTTTTTGGTTCTGATAAACTCACTGTACGCTCCCTGCTCAGTGCTAAAGAGCAGACAAAGGTAGCAACTAGGTGGTGGAAACTGTGGAACATTTAGCAGCTAAAAAGCCATGTATGACAGAACTAAAAGAAGAATGAAAATTGGAGTTAGAATCATCAAGTGGACGTAAACATGTCTCTTAATGAAATGTACTGTCACTCCTTACCTGATGTCTTTAACTGTAGCCTGTGCTAACAGGTTTGTCTTATTAGTTTGTACTGATCTGGCTGAAACTGTTCAACCTTACATTTACACTCTTAACTCATGAATTTGCCATAGGATTTATGATTTGTCCCATAATGGCGTTAAACAATAATTTCCTTGAGCTCTGCACCAACCTGTTTGCAGATGACTGTCCCCTGAGGTCCGATGAAGTGAGAGTTAATCCATTTTTCCTGAAACTTCCGTTTCTTCTCAACCATACAGTGTTTTGCTATTGTGGCTTTTTCCAGCTCACCTCCACATTAAACTGCTAAGTTGTCTACTAAGCTAACTTATTTTAGCTGTAACACTGATGACCTAATGTAATTTCCGCAACACTAGCAAGGTTTCCTACAAGCTGTCATTCCTACCCTGACAGACACTCATTAGGGAGCTATAGTTTGATGCAGTAGTGGAGTAGCGTATTAAATGTGAGATATTGCAGGTAAAATTATTGAAATTGCCCATGGATGATTAAAATGTAATGGATGCATTTCATGTAACATTTGGAGGTGACACACAATGGCCACTAATGGGCTGCACTTTGAGCAACTATGCCTTAAAAGGTGATAATATGTCAGTGTTGTCTTTACAGCTTGTTTCTGCTGCCCCCAAGTGGCCAAACAATAAATTAATGCAGGTTGAAATTTCCTTTGCAGGAATATACGATGAGCCCAACTGTAACCCGAACAATCTGAGTCACGCGGTGCTGCTGGTTGGCTACGGCTCTGAGGGAGGCCAAGACTACTGGATCATCAAAAACAGGTCAGAGAACCCCTCCCTCCATATAATAACATGGGTTGATTTTGTTGAACACTACATTTCGAATATAAATCATATGTACACGTTTCTTGTATTTTCTTTTAATATGAATCCCTGTTTTTGTTCTTGTTTTTTTTTTTTAGTTGGGGAAGCAGTTGGGGCGAAAGCGGCTACATGCGAATGATCAGAGACGGCAGAAACACATGTGGCATTGCGAGCTACGCCTTGTACCCTGTCCTATGATTCTGATCAGATGCCTCAGTTGTGTTTTAATGATAAACTCACTGGAGTGTCGGAGGACCTCAAACAGCATCAGACATTACTGATACAGCCCATTTTATCCATATTTTTGAACCTCCTAATGAAATTTATGGAGGATGGAAACTACCAAAATAAAAAAAAAAAGAAATGTAATCATCAATAAATAAATGCAGAAATACTGAAATAAAAAAATAACAAAAAATAAATAAATAAATTTGAAATAAAAAAATGCTAAATAAATTTTAAGATTTATGAAATAACTAAATAAAAAGAAAACCTAAATAGGAAAGTAAATAAATAGTGAAATTATATAAAGGGAAATATTAATTTATTTGTCCAGTCATTTATTTATTTATGTTTGACTTTGGCATTTTTTTGTCCTCCATACCACCCTTTGTGACACTGTGGATAATGTTTGGTGCTCATATGGACCTTTAACAATGAACACATTGCTTCTCTCAGGGACGTACACATACCAGCCTCTGTGGCCACAGATACTTCCTAAAATTCTATTGATTAGTCTAACTTGTAGTTGCACAAAAATAATAATTAAAATAGTCCCTGAGCTCAAAATGAAAAATGACTAACTTAATTGACCTCCTGATCCATTAATAGATTATCTAAAAGCCTTGTAGCCTTTCCTTCAGGCTAATTGTTTTTATTTGAGTTTGCAAAAAATGTTTGCTCTTCTAGATAGCTAGCAATGCTAATGATTGCTAGCAAGCCAATGAAACTACAATACTATACTACTACTACATGTTGGTATGTAAGCCTACTATATAGAGTGCTCCAGGGATGACGCTTTTCTGTAGGCCGATGCAGAAGTTAGCATCACACTGGTTTCCTCGTCATAAAAGCCTGTGGGATTTTTTAATTGGATTTTGGATTATTGCAGAAAATAAACTCTGTGGCAAACAAATGTTTATGAAACGTGTTCAGCAAGATAATCTTCACACCGCTTTTATGATTTTTGAAGACTAATGCATTTGCCAGCAGTAAAAAGTTAATGCTAGACTATAAACAAACTACACTATGTTCGCATGATGTAACATGACTACCATAACATGACAGTAGGCCTAAAGTCGTGTTCGAAGCCATGTGATGACGATCTGTAATCTCATTTAGCCACTTGTTAGCAACATAGACTGTATAAAAATATGGATGTAGTCACCGTGACGTCACCCATTGGTTTCTGAGGAGCGGGTTTGAAGCTCAAAGTAAGTAGTTCTGGCCGTCGCCATCTTGGAGCCTGACTCCGCCCAACTCCTGGCCAATCAAAAATGGGCAAAGAGGTGGGCCAAATGAAGCCTGGTTGCTTAAACACGCACACCTCGCTCGGCGCTGCTAAGTTAGCTAAGGCTAACAAGCTAGGCTAACAAGCTATGCTACTTTGGCTAGCCCTGTGGTGTTGGCTGCTCCCGCTCATGCTCCTACTTGGTGCCAGCTCCCTCATGAAACAAAATATCCAAAAGGCACAAACACGGCTGAGAGGTCAGGTACAAAGACTTGCGAATTAGCTGAGATGAGGCCTAGCAGACAGCCAGCAGCTAGTTAGGCACCCATGATGGCGCCACCTGTCACTCAAAGTGACCACGCCCTTAATTATGCGCAACTTTAAGCCTTAATAAAATTTAAACGGATGAGTTATAAAAAAAAATCACCACCTGTACAGGGGGTGAGGAAATTAACTATAGAGACCAAAACCGTTTCTTGTACGAGGCTGTAAACATGTTTATTTCTGCTGTAAAGTTGAGCATTTTAACATGTGGGTCTATGGGGATTGACTTGCTTTTGGAGCCTGCCTCAAGTGGCCATTCAACGAACTGCAGTTTCTGGCACTTCCACATTGGCTTCACTCGTCATCCCTGGAGGTTGCCGCTTGGTTAGCAACCGCTTTTTCTAAGATGAAGACACATAAACTAAAAATTTCATGAGTTGGGTATTTACTGACGTATTCTATGTGGTAGAACAAAACGTGACAGTCTCTTAAGCTTGTGTTAACCACAGACCTTATTTCAGGCATCTACGCTTGAGAACTCATACCTGGAGCACTCTATAACAGGTACATACAAACATACCGTAAAACTTAAATCAATAGCCCGAGCTATTATTTGCTTTTATCACTGAAATTAACAGACCTATATTTGGGACAGGCCTTTAATTCCTTTTACACAAAACAGTTGCTCAGCAAAGATCAGGAAATACATTTCAATTGTTTAGTTAAACCAGTATGAGTATTAATTGTAATTCAGGAATGGACACATAATTTGAGGTAGCCAACAATCTGCTTTTATACATCTGAAGAACTACAAAAAAAAAGACCAGACCGGGGCTCTAACTGAGACAGGACTTAGTTTGTCAAAAATGTGTAGCCACACTGGGTTAGTAAAAGGGACTGGGTGTTAAACTGAATTTTTACGGTACAAGAAAATCTAAGTAACTAATGTTTTGATGCAGGACGCCTCAGAAAGGGACATCTCCCCCCATGTTATTCATTAACATTATACAAACCCTTTAATTTTGTAGAGTCTACAAAACAATGTACATTTTGTGAATTTTAAACACATCACACTTCTGTGGATACCGAATGACTCACTGAGCAATGTGTGCCACAGTTTATTTTTCACTCTCTTTGTTATATCTATAGACTGCAAACCTTTGGTATTTTTGTTGCAATAACTTTTATTATGCGTGGTAGAAAATGACAAACTGAGAAGGGGAGGTGTTGGTGGTGGTGTTGGTGGGGGACACACATTATGAAATAAAGTATGAGCCTGGTGGCTTCAGTGTTTCAGCTTGAATGTGTTTTGAAACAGAACAAACTTTTTATTTTCAATGCAAATAAATGTTTCAGTTTTCTTTCCTGTGGCTTTTTTTTTCTACCATTATAAACAATATTGTATCAGTTACTTACTGGATCAGCCGACATGTCTTAACTTGTGGACTGACTGATAATAAAGTGATAACCATTTTCTCCTGTGTGTATTTGTCGTGTTATCTGCACTTTGCATTGTTCAACTAAACACATGCGCCACTGCTTCCAAAAGACCATAATGTCTGCAAGCTCAACCACACCTCACTGAACCTTGAGCCCAACTGTGCACCACGCTCATCACACTTACTGTTTCTCACTGTCCAGCTTTTTTTTATGTGTCTCGCATAAAAAGCTCCAAGGTTCACCTTTTGCAGGGTTTACCTGGGAGGAGGAGCTCTCAGAGGCTTTTTTTAGACTCACATGGCTCACTGTATAGTTCATAATGCAGTGGAATAAATCTTTGCTTTGCAGTGCAGCGTGGTTGTTTTTGCTTTGCTTGCCTCCGGTTTCTACTGAGAAACACTCAAAGTGTACGTATGACAGACACAGTCAGATCCACCAGAGGACACACAGCACCAAAAAGTTCTGTGATCCTTCATTCAGCAACCAGACAGCAGGCGCCATCACACAGGTAACGCAACGCTTTGTTGGGGTTTCATATATTTATTTTACACTTGTTGTCCGTAAGGAGATTACACTGCAGACTATGCTGCAAAATAATGTCATGGGATAATTTAATGATCCACCTAATACTCTTCCAACCCCTTTTAGAAAGTTAATTTTATGCTGATGTGGGTTGATAAAGCTACTATCACTATTAGATGTGCATTTTATTATGTCTCTAGAACAAAAAAAAACTCTTTATGGCATCCATTTCTAATGCAAACTTTCTCTTTAGTGTGTATATCACCATGTGAATTTCCCTCTGCCTCCATGTCACACCCTAATTTACAACTCACTGGAGACTATTAATTTCCTTTGTGACAAATGCATCTGATACTGTATGTAATTAATATGATTAAATCCACATGTTCTTGCCGTTAATCACTTTGCAGCGTGATTACTTAGTGATAAAAGGTTTCTCCTGAGCAGGTCAGTGGGGTTGGAGTGTTTGCTTGTGTTAATTGTCCCACAGTCGACTGTTCAGCTCTCTGTGTCTGTGCAGAGGTGCAGCTCCGGCTTCTACAGAGAGCGGGCCGGACCATACCGGGGTCAGTGTGTGCCATGTAGCTGCAATGGACTCTCCAATGAGTGTGATGAGCGAACAGGGAACTGTGTGGTTGGTGCTCACACACGTGCACACATACAATGGCACAATTGTTGATTTACAGCACACTTAAAGGTCCAGTGTGAAGGATTTAGAGGGATATATTGGCAGAAATGGAATATAATGTAATAAGTGTGTTTTCTTTACTCAGGATTCCTCCTCATTTTCATGGACCAAATTTAAAAACCTTCCCATGATTTATCGAAGACCCATAATATATATATATAAACTGTAAAACTTCAATTAATAGCCCGGGATATGATTTGCTTAAATCAGTGAAATCAACAAGCTTATATTTAGGACAGGCCTTTAAAGGGATAGTGCACCCAAAAAAGAAAATTCAGCCATTATCTACTCACCCATATGCCACATCCCTTGCGGAGATCCAAGGGGAGAGGAGGTAGCAACACAACTCCACCTAATGGAGGCTGACGGCGCCCCAGATTCAAACGTCCAAAAACACATAATTGAAACCACAAAATATATAGGCTAAAAAAAAAAAAGGCTAAAAAGTTCAGATGATGTTTTTCCAAACAACTTTTTATGTCGGGGCTTCAGGACACTTGGATCACTACGGACGAGCAGTATGGAGATATTTTGTAGTTTCAATTATGTGTTTCTGGATATTTGAATCTGGGGCACCGTCAGCCTCCATTAGGTGGAGTTGTGTTGCTACCTCCTCTCCCCTTGGATCTCTGCAAGTGATGTGAGGACTCTAAAACTTCACTTGAGCCTCCCTCGGCATATGGGTGAGTAGATAATGGCTAAATTTTCATTGTTGGGTGCACTATCCCTTTAATTCCTTTCGCACAAAACTGTTGTTCAGCAAAGATCAAGAAATACAGTACAATACAAAAAGTGAGTTAAAATAAAGCTGATGAGAAACATCTGGTAACTGACAACAGGCAGGTAACTGAAAGTCCAAATGACAGCAGTACCAAAACTAAACTGAAAACCAACCAGGATAATACGATGAAATTAGGTATAAAAAATCCAAACACAAGAGCAGGCAGGAAACAGAGCATGGAACAATGCCAAGAACATAGCAATGAACACAAGGCATGAACACAGACAAACTGACAAGGAACAAAGTGAAACACAGGTATATATATACACAGAAAACTAATCACAAAAATGAGACACAGCTGGAGCAGGAGGACACGGGCAGAAGGAGGGAAATGGGGATTGGCTAACAACCAGGCTGTGGTGGGAAACACTAGGGTGGAGCAAACAAGACTAACACAGAACAGGTGTGAAGGGAGACTCTGGAACAGGGAAGGACTAACGAGACAGGTGTGACAGAAAACAGGTGGGAAAACACACAAAGACAGGAAGTAAAACCAGACACGACACATGAGGAGAGAATCTACAAAATAAAACAGGAAGCAGATTAAACATGACTGAAAGTAAGAACCATTGTGTTGTTGTTACCTTACAATGAGCCATTTTTATCTACATAGGGAGCGGGTCCACATCTACAGAGATCACTGATCAATCAGTGTTGCACCGCCATGTTTTTCTACAGTAGCCCAGGATGGACAAATCAAACACTGGCTCTGGATAGGACCATTTGTGCTTTCACGTTGGCCACTGTGGTTCATAGTCCCTTCCACATTGAAACAACAGATTTCTTTAAACATGAAACTGCTTTATTCTGTGTTTTTTGGGTTTAAATCACCTGTTCTGTTTATTTTGAGGAGAAGGAAACCTCTACAGACCATTTGGTTCCATGTAAAATCCTCCAGAGCAATGAACAAATAAGGAATTAAAAGCAGGAGAAGTTTCAGCTGCAGTCTGCACTCGTCACCTCTACATGCCACTAAATCCCGCTAACACTGGACCTTTAAAGGCTGTGGCATTTGTGGGCCAACCCAAACAGAAAACATGTTGCTCATGTTGTGTTTGATCTAACTCACCTCCAGAACTGTCAGTTTGACTCCACCGGGGACCGCTGTGAACGGTGTAAAGAGGGTTACTATGGAAACGCAGCTGAGAGGACTTGCCGTGCCTGTCCGTGCCCCTTTACACGGAACAAGTCGGTCTCTTTTTTTATTACCTAGCTCAGCCAAGCTCACCTGATTTCTGCTCTGCATCAGTGTGAAGACCTTATTATGTGTCTCTGCAGTTTCGCTCTGGCCTGCCTGGACATTGGCTCAGGAGTGGTTGAGTGCTTGTGTAAACGTGGTTACAGTGGAGCCAGATGTGAGAGGTTTGTCTGCTGCTGAGGAAGTGACACATAACCAAACAAAAACATCATCTACGTCTCATGATTATGAGCAAAATGTTGCACCCTAATCCCCACTGTCCACTGCTCGATGCAAGGCACATTAATTATATTCGCACGTAGGATTGACAATAAAAAAAATTACAGTTTACCCTCCTATTTTTCTTCTCTTTAAGATGTGCATTTGGTTACTATGGTAACCCAGTGGTGTATGGAGGCAGCTGCAAGCCCTGCAATTGCAAGGACAGCTCGAACATTTGTGATTCTCTGACTGGAGGTAAATATATATTTTATACAAATACAGACACATAAAGGTTAGATTGAAATGTCTTTCAGTTAAACACAAAGTTAACAGTCAGTTTTCCGAGTATGTGTGATTATCCTTAACCGAGGGTCAATCAGTACAATTTCTTACTTTATTTTGAAGGGATAGACGATTTAATATTGGACCTCCATAAAGTCGGGGGAGTCATACGAGACAGATTTTAAAAAGAATGGTCAAAATCAAAGTTTCAGAGGCTGAGATATCCTAACTTTTGGTCCCCAGTATGGTCAAGCTCCAAAACACCATTAAGACTAGTCCATACCCATTGGTAGCTTTGTCACCTTCTACCTATGCCATTCCTCAATGCCTATGTGCAGTTTCACATAGATTGACCACGTCAGTGAGTAGAAAAACGTGGGACAGACAGAATGACTGACTGACAGAATGACACACTGACAGTTTCCGTGATTATGTACAGCATACCATACCATGACTTAGTCATACCAAACATTAGAAAACACCAACATTGGTCCACAGGGGGAGCCACAGTGATCGGTCGCATTTTAGCCATTTTGAAGCATTTTTCTGTTGTTATAGCGCCACCCAGTTGCCAATTAGAGTTCAATTTCTCCAGTCACCTTGAGGCGTCCTGTTCTACATATCTACCAAGTTTAGTAAAAATCCATATGGCGGTTAGGCCCAGATAAGAAATGAGCTCTCTAGCGCCCCCATTTTGTTTGATGGGGTCAATAATGGAGGGGTCCCCTCAGATTATGTGTGGTCATATGCCTACAAAGTTGCGTGGTGATGGGTGAAACCCTTGAGATGTTATACACCTTTATGTGATGAGCCACGCCCTCCGCAATATTCATTGCCTTATAGAAGCTCAGTTTTAGTAAGTTTTCCAACTTTTGCCAAGAGGGAACTTTAGATATTGGTCCCTAGATTATGTTCACCCAGTTTCATGCAGATCGCTCAAACTTCCTAGGAAGAGATCCATTTGAAGTGTTTTTCACAAAATTCAAAATGGCGGAAAATCTATATAAGCGGAAGTTATGGGTTCCTGAGGCAAATGTGTTCCTCATGAGGAGAGGCATCTCTGTGCAAAGTTTCATGTCTCTACGACATACGGGGCATGAGATATGCCCATTCAAAGTTTGCCATTTCAATGGGTTGCTATAGCGCCCCCCTTTGGCCAATTGATGTAATATTACTTCATTGGCATCCTCCCATGACCCTCTACCACTGTGCCAAATTTCACATGGATTGACCAAGTCAGTGAGGAGAAAAACGTGGAACACACACACAGACAGAGTTTTCATCATTATATAGTAAGACTACATGTACCAAAATGCACAACACATCTTTTTTTGTCATATGCTCCCTGTCTGATACATACCCATTTTAATGCTGCATTCACATGCTCCTTGGATCCCTTTGAAGGTCATTCTTCAAGCTTTGGTGTGTTCAAAAGCTATCAGTCGTAATGTGGAAACAACATGGACGCTACAGATCAGATGTGTTTAATCTTATGGTTCAGAGTATTTAAACAACATGTTGATAACAGTCTGACGTGATTTTGTTGCACCAGTATGTCTCCTAAAACTACTAAAATACTGCTTTACCTGACTAATGCTAATAATTGGCAAACACTCCTCGTGGACAGCAACCTAAAAAATTAACATGCAATATGTAGATTGATAAAATGTTTGTTACTATCTTTCCAAGATGTTCCGACTCGAGGAGGCGTTAATGTGAATTTTCCCTGTTGGGAACTCATTTTTGTGATTATTCCGACACCACGTGAATGCAGGGTAACTCCACGCTACAGTTTGTAACAGAGGCCTTCTGGTATAAATTTGTAGTCTCAAAGCTTGAACTGAGGAGTTATTTCCTCAGACATTATACAACCATTTTCACAGGCTGAGTAGTGCTGCTCATGACTGGTAAACTGGCCTTGATGTGATGAGATTTGTTTTTTAATATCCTTTCCTTTCAATAGAGTGCATCACATCTGGAAACAGCAGCTGTGGTGCTCACTGCCATGGTGAGTTTGTGCTCAAGATCCATCTCACAATCATGTTACATAAACAATTAGACTGTATTACTCTGATTCATCCTCTTCTTGTATTTACTGACAGAATGTGACAGCTGTACTATGTCCTTACTGCTCGACTTGGAAAGGATGGATGATGTCCTGGCTCAGCAGAAGCAGCAGCTGCAGAACGTCTCTGATGGCGCTGGTTCCATCTTCAGGCTGAACGACCTGCAGGCTAACATTTCTGAAACCAAGGTAGAGTTGATGAAGTTTTACGATATGTGTGTGGTTATGAACCATCCCAATACCAAGTGTGCATCTACTGCCGGCTCACCTAGCACCACTGAGCTAACTACGTTACAGCTCAGCTGAGGAGGACGCCGTTAATGTTTACATCTCTGTCACGGGCACAAGACTCTTGACAATAGATGCACGCTTCCTTCAGCGCAGTGATAGTTGGCAGGTGTAGTTCAGTAGACAGAAAATTGTTCTGACATGAAACTGCTCAAGGTCTGTGAATTATCTTGAGTCATGATTTCTGAAAAGAGACAAAGTGCCATCTACATTATTTTAAAGAAGTCAGAAATCTCTACTGGTGATATCTCCAACACTTGACAATTCACCCAAAAACACTCTAGACTGATTAATAGCACTACAGGTTGGAGGAAAAATATGTATTTTTAATTTTGGGGTGTAGTGTCCCTTTAAAAAAGTCCCTTAAGCGTGTGCCAAAGAGTTTGCCAAAAGAAAAAACTTCCCACCCGTGTTTTGCAGATTCGGGTTTGGAGGTACAGCACCGCCGTGAGACACCTGGATCCAAAGGTTGAACAGCTGGAAGCAGATGTGGATGCTGTCAGAGATGACTTGAGTCAACTGACCGACCAGGTACCTGGAGTGAATTTCCAACAGTTAATCAAACTAAAACTCCACCAGAATAACTGCATTTTCAGTACAGCACATTTCATCCACAGAATGCTGCATTAATGTACATAAATTGATCTAAAAGCACATGTTGACACAATTTTGACATTTCTATCAAATATCCAGACACTTGAATCTGTATCAGATCTGGAGGAAGTCTTGCAGAATGCCAGTGAAACAAAGTTAAAGGCGGAGGATCTTCTCTCTGAAGCTGAAACTCTCCTCACAGCAATACAAGGTACATCAGTTAACATTAGTATGATTTATGTGTTTACACTGCTGTGACATTACCCACTGCTCTGTGGGCTGGCTGAAGTCAGACTGGGCCAAGCCTGAGAGTGGTCTGTGACTTTGTAGGACTAGAAAGGAAACTGAATGATCGGCCTCAGCCTCAGGTGTGTCATTAAGAGCAGTGTCTCTGTTATTGTGATGTGTCAGATTTGATAAAGCAGCAAACTGAGGTGAAACCTGGAGAGTCGGCTACTCTGTCTCAAAGTGACAGAGCCAGGATGATGGAGGAGGCTCAGCGCGTCGTGCAGGAGATGAGAGAGCGAGGCTGCGCTGCTCAGAGAGGCCGGGCTGGCAGAGAGCAGGAGGACGCACACCACTGTGAGATTTTCCTTGAAATGTATTCATTGGTTGCTTTCTGGCATAGAGATTATGCTGAGCTCATGAATGAAATGGTGCACCTGTTATTTGGCTCCTCACTATGATGACGCAAATCACACTCACTTCACAATGATGTGAAGCAGAAGGCACATCTAGGGCAGCCACTTACAATGATTCACAACTCTCCCACTTTTAAAGCTGCAACCACCACAACAAACTTTTCTTCAAGAAGATTCGTAACCCTCTCAGCGGCACTCGCAGAAAAATAACAATCATTTTAAAAGAAAAAACTTGGACTCTAAAATCTTGATTTAGTACTCCCCAACATTTTGGGAGTATTTACTTTTTTCAAGACCTAGAAAGGACGATTGATAGTACTCTTATATCCATATGCTAAATATGATGGTACAACTTAGCATAAAGCCTGGACGCAGGGGGAAACAGCTAGCCTGGACTGATCTTTAGAGGTACTGCCACCAATCTGTACCAGAAACTGGATTTGTTCAGGTGCCATCCTGAGCCTAATCAATCAAGGTCAGTGCTTAACCCCAACTATCTCTGTAAATGTTGAAATGCTGGCATTGTACAATTCTGCAAAACACCAATATGTTACATTTTCAGCCATGTTTCTAATGACAAAAATGGATGTTTTTTAACGAGAGTTTGGGACATTTTCAGTTGTGTTTGTAGCCACAAAAACCAACAACCTCGTCACAATGCGTTGCTTGGTCATCGACTTTCCATGTCGACATATGATGTGCAAGGTAGCCTGGGTGCATCTGTTGTCTGGGTGCATCTGTTGTTGATGTACTGGGATGTCATGTCAACTTCAGCCTTTTACACACATTCTGTTTTTTCAAAACACACTTTCGTTTTGAGGGGAAATGTGCAATTCTCTTTCAAAATAAATGAACTACGATGGTACAACATCGAAATTTGATATTTTTTCCCTTCAACAACACATGTACCGTGGTTACGGTTAGTCAACACATGCACGTGGTTAGGTTAAAGGGATAGTGCACCCAAAATTGAAAATTCAGCCATTATCTACTCACCCATATGCCGATGGAGGCCCTGGTGAAGTTTTAGAGTCCTCACATCCCTTGCGGAGATCCAAGGGGGAGCGGCTAGCACACCTAATGGCAGACGGCGCCCCAGACTAACGTCCAAGAACACAAAATTCTCCATACTGCTCAGACATTAGTCTGGGGTGCCATTAGGTGTGCTAGCCGCTCCTCCCGCCGATCTCCGCAAGGGATGTGAGGACTCTAAAACTTCACCAGGGCCTTCATCGGCATATGGGTGAGTAGATAATGGCTGAATTTTCATTTTTGGGCGCACTATCCCTTTAAGGCAACGGAAGCAGGTGGTTAGGTTTACAAAATAATAACAGGGTATGGCTCTACATTCATACGGAAAGTGAACACTGGCCTCTAGGGTAAAAGTCAGTCATCGTTGGACCCATCCAACACCCTGCCCTACTTGGACTTTTCGCCCCTTACGTTGTTGTCCAGCTGCGTTTCCCTCTGACACTGTCAGGCGGTGCTACTGACCAACGGCGCTCAGCAGCTTATCATGCCAAAGTGAAAGGACAGCTTTTTTAATCAGTGTCTGATGCAGAAGTCACTACCCATATGCGCTGGTATTCAGCAACTTCGGCAACAAAATATAATATTTTCTTAACCCTAACCAAGTGTTTTTTTGTGCCTAAACCTAATCACATGCTAGTTTCAACATATCTGCTACATATGAAACATACAAATGACATACACCTGGTTTGCAGAAACGTTCAGTGCCAACATTTGCTCTGGCGATTGGGTTGTTTCACGTTTGGATGAACAAAAGACATGAACAATTAAACCAATGAATAAAAGGTCAACAAAGATAAAATGTTATTGTAGGTTAGTATAAATATGCAGCTCTGGTTGTTGAGAAACAGACATTTTTTTAGTCAGTGTTCAATAATCATGATCTACAATCTTGCAAATTACCATCAGTGCAACCGTGTAGATTGTCTTAACTTGTAAAATCCAAAGTCTGTGTGTTCTCCTCAGTGCTGGACATAATCAGGAACATGACAGATCCTGTGGAAACCAACCAGGCTGTGTTAAATCAGACTGCAGACTCACTGATGGCCTCAGACTCTGCTCTGAGGGAAGTGGCTGTGCTGCTGTCAGACACGAAGGACAGAGTCAACAGGACACAGAGCCTCAACCTGAAGAGTGGTGCTACCCTACAGCATCTGGAGGTGACACGAAACATAGCTGGCATATAATGTCGGATCATACAGTTCTCTCTCTTTGTAGCATCACACAGATGTTTTCACCTCTCTTTGTTCAACGTTTGCCAGCATCTTCAGTCTCAGCTGGAAGGGGAACAAAGCGCGCTCCTTCCTGTGACTGGAATGACTAGAGACCTGCTAAAGAACACCACCGACGTCTTTTTAATGCTTGAGGAAATTAAGAGCGTAAGCAGGCATCTTTTACCGCCATGATTACAGGAGGCAAGATTTTGAGTGTTCAAACTGAGTTTATTGTCTTTACACTGCAGGAATTTGAGAATCACGCAGCTCAGTTAGACGGTGCCAAGCTGGAACTCTTAAAGAAGTTAAACAACATCGTCCAGATTAAGACAAAGGTGGATATTGTGAGCAAAGCTGAGGAGCACGCAGAGAAGCTCAACAGAGAGGCAGCAGAATTTCAGCAGTGAGTGTGAAACAGAGGAGCTAAAGAAAGTGGATAGATAAAACTGTAGTGTTCATGTTGACTTTATGTTTTTGCAGGGTGCTTCATAACTCTACCAACAGTACTGACCTGCACAGTGTGCTGAGTGTAGGAGCCTATAATAACATCATAAAGGCCATAGAAGAGGCAGAGATGGCAGCAAATCAGTCCAGAGAGGCTGTTGATCAGGCCTCAAAGGTAACTCAGGTGTAGGGCTGAGTATCGTTTAAAAAATACCAGTACCACAACCAGTACCCTTTAAGATATCAATATTACTTCGTTTGATACGTTTTTTTTCAACCTTATTTGATACCCATCACATGAGTGGAAGCACTTGGTTGCATAAAATGCCTCCAGATGCCACAGGTGTGCAGTATACCGTTCTTTTGAACAGTTTGGTGGCATCTTGGCACGCTGAACTTCTGATCCATACAACTTCAATACACCACAGACTAAAGCCCATTTCCACCGAACACTTTAAGTATGGTACCTTTGGAACCAGTTCACACAACCCGGTCGAAATTAATATATATAAACGCTTGAAGATGATCTACTGACCAATCAGACTGCAGTGTTCACAGCTCCCTCTTTTAGTACCAGATCTGTGTGCTAGGTACCCCAACAGAGGTGGTATAGAACAGTTCTATTGGTACCATCCACACCCGTACTGCTTGGTGGAAACGGGGCTTAAATGGATTGTAGCTGCTGCAGTAGAGGGCTAACCTCAGGTGCCATTTAGAATAATGCTCGTGCTGATTGGCTGCGAGCAAAACCATCCAAGTAGTCATTGTTTTCCAGATCAGGGTACGAAAAGGATCATTTATCATTTGACTGGAGAAGTTAAATACCACTTGGTACTGGGTTATTTCAAGTACCGATACCCAGCCCTACTCAGGTGCTATTAGTAATGTAACCTCAATGTTTAGCAATGGTAATGAGAATAAAAGACTGATATGATTCTGTTTCTGTCCATTAGGATGTGAAGGAGGGAGGCCTCGTCAACAGGGCCGAAGGACTCAAAGATAATTCAACTCATTTACAGACAGAAGCCAACGAGACTCAGCGTAAACTTGAAAGTGCGTAAACAGTAGGGGTGGGGGAAAATATTGATACAGCATAGTGTCGGGATACTTTTGTGTGGCAGTATAGTATTGTCACACAGTTCCAAGAATCAATTTTTTTCATTATGTAAGTTATTAATATGACAAATACAAATTCAACTTTACATTACATAACACAACAAACATTTTGCGGCTGCAAAAAAATGCCTGAAGTTGAACCGGCTGAAAACTTTATCTTATTTGATAAAGCAGACGTTGACAATTTTTTCCTTTGGGGACATAATTTAAAGTTGAAAAAAGGAGTTCTGAAACCGTTCTGACAAGTAAAAGACTTTTCAATTTCTTTTGACCAGCGCTGTCACATACAGTGAACACCCTCAAAGACCGTGTGAATACGCAAAAGGAAAAAGGAGAATCTCTGAGAACGGACATCTCAACCGTCACTGACAACCTCAACAAGATCAAAAGAGGTTGGTGGATGTCTTGACAGTAAGAGATGATATTCCATGTCTGCGTCACAGTAGGTCATAGCTGTCTTTTGATTTCAGATGACACAGACGTCCTGATAAAGTCTGCAAAAACAGCTGCCTCTGCCTCCAACTCCACCGTCAATGATATAACAGAGAGAGTGAGGAACCTCAGCCAGGATGTGGAGAGAATACCTTTGACCAATGTCAGTGTGAATATAGATGATACGTTGGCTGAAGCAGAGCAAGCATGTGAGTGTTTAATGGCAGAAATCAACTTCTAAAAGTATTTTACTTTTCCACTGTTTCAAGACTTTTCAAATTCATTGTGATCTTGCAGCTGGAATATATGTTAGATTTTGTTTCCTGTGTCTATTCAGTGAAGAACTTGAGCACAGCCGTCCCTGTGTTGGAAGACAAAATCACACAAGTTGAGGCTCTCAGTGAGAAGGCGTCTCCCGGTGCCAACATGACAGAAAGCATCAGGAGAATCAAGGACGTGATAGAGGAGACAAGAAACTTTGTTGACAGGGTAAAGTAGTTTTTTAACTCGTTGTTTCTCACCTGCCTGATTTAAATCTGCTATAAACGGCATTTATATATGAACAATGGATCAAATGATAGTGTGTAATGTGAAAGGTGTTGCTCATGGTGATTAATCCACAAAGGATCACCTGACTTTGCTTTAAAGCGTCTTTCAGCTCATTGTATTGGGTTTACAAAATGTAGAATTTACTGTTTTAGTTTGGGCTCACTGTCATCATGACATCGTTTTCAGTTGCAGACAACACATCCTCACTCTGACCTCGTCACATATTGACGTTTGGTCATGGACTTACATACGACGTGTAAAGTACCCTGGGTGTGTTGGGTGTTGATGTTCTGGGATACTGTGTCAAGTTCTCTTCTTTCAAGATATACTTCCATTTTCACAGGAAATTTAACATTTACATACAGTCTCATAAAGGCACTACGTCGGTACAACACTGCGAATTGCCGTTATTTTTCCTTCAACAACAAACACACATGGTTGGGTTTAGATAACAAAAATATGGTTAGGTTTAGGAAAAAAAACAGGGTCTGGCTTTACAATCTTACGGGACACAAACACCGCTCTCTCAGGTGAAATTCGATGTTTGTTGGACCCATCCACCACCACTCCTTGTCCCTCCGCGTTTCCCCCTGAAGCCACCATACAAAAGCGGCAACTAGCTGCATATCATGCTGACATTAAAGGACACATTTCTGACGCCGCAAGTCACTGCCCAAGTGCTGGTTTTCGACGACTCTGGATGGTCTTGCAGCAGGCAACTATTTTCACCAAAAACACCCTAAAAACCTACTGGATGCCATCTGCGAAGCAACAAATGGTAAAGTTAGCTGCTAACAAGTGAACATATTGCTGCATTTAGCTGCTAATGAGCCAGATTTATCCTCTGGAGTTGGTGGAGACCAAAAACAGAGCTAAAACAGAGACAATATTTGACTTTTATTCATCAGATGGACACAAGCATGACTTAGATGTAAATAAGCAACTGTTTGCCATTTCCCTGATCTGCTCACAGCTCTCAGTTGCCACCACCTTCTACGGAAAAGGTCACGTTGAGCTTCGTCCTCCGAGAAACCTTGACGACATAAAAGCGTTTACAGCCGTTGATCTGCTTCTCAATCGCCATCAAAACAATCCCTCCAAGGCTAACTACAGACGGAAGAGACGGCAGAACAAACACAGAGATGCCAACATGTTTGTTTTCTACCTGGGTAACAAAGATGTGAGTATGTGCACAGAGATGCTTCTGTCAAGTGTTGCAATACAGCTGATGTACGTCAGATTAGCAGGAAGTCATTTTAAGTGACAGAGCAAATTTGTTTCTCATTTTATTTGTCATGTGTTTGTTTCATGTTCAGGCTTCCGGAGACTACATCGGGATGGCTATCAGCAGCAATGTGTTGACTTGTGTCTACAAGTTGGGTGGAGTCGTCCATGAGATTGTTACCAGCCCAATAACAACAACCACCAATGTGAACTCCTCAGACTTTGACAGGGTTATCTTCCACAGGTACTTCATGCACACGACGGAAGTTTAGGAAGCAAAACATGGATTTAAGTGTAATTAGCAGATTATTTCTAAGTCAATATTTCCTGCAGAGTTTACCAAGATGCTGAAGTGAACATCACAGGGAACTTCACATCACAGAATCCGATCCACCGCTCACCTAAACGTAACCATCCAAACACAATGACTGGTGTCCTTGAACTGGATCCAGTCAGCGTTGTGTTCTACGTGGGCGGTTATCCTAAAAACTTTATGGTAATGAGTCCCTGCTGTCATTTTATTATGCCACAGTGTATTTCATTTTTTTACACTGGAGTTTCTTTAGGCTATGAAAGCCCACTTCCATCAACAAAAGAAAAAAAACAAAAAACAAGATGAGTTCGGCATGACGAAGAATAAAAAAATACTAATGGTTTGTCAAAATGTTGAATTACTATTTCAAGACTATGAGACGGTAAGGCCACATTTTGACTGTGAGTAGTTTTTATTTTTAACCAATAATTTTGACAAGAGATAATATTTTGACTTACTTTCTCACATTACCTGTAACGTGTGTGATTTGAACCCAAATGCCGCACTCCAGACGTCTGTGACAGTTGGTAGTGACCTTTAATGAAACACAGGCAAAAAAGGCACTTATGCAGATCAAGAAATACAGGTAACAGTTTGATCTTCAGGCTCAGAGTCCACACACAGTCTCTGGGTTCAGGGGCCAGATAACGGGCCGGGCTGGATCCAATCAGAAGGCTGGTGAGTTTACCGGGAAACAGACGATGCAGGCAGGTCAGAGGCAGGCAGGGTTGGGCATGGGAGATCAGGCAAGTAAGAAGTGCTGGAAAGTCTTTCATGTGGGCGAAGATAAATCTGGCAAGGAGCTGAGCTGAGAGGATTGTATGTATGGCAGGTAAAAAGTGCCCAATGTGCCAATTAACGGCTATATACTTTATTAATCCCCGAGGGGTACACCAAACACACATGGTTAGGATTAGGCAACAAAAGTTCATGGTTAGGTCTAGGAAAAAGAACAGGGTTTAGCTTTAGAATCTTACGGCACGTGAACACCACTCTCTCAGGTGAAAGTCGGTCTTTGTTGGACCCATCCACCTCCCCTCCTGCTCACCCTACTCAGACTTTCACTGCCTTTACTTTTGTCCTTGTACCACCGTGTTTTCCCTTGAAGTCGCTGGGTGCCGTTAAATTATAATGGCAACAGTCCGTGTATCATGTCGATGATAAAGGTTGCCTTTTTTTGTTGGTTTCTGATGCCGCAAGTCACTGCCCAAGTGCCGGATTTCGACGACTTCGGAGTGCTCAATAAGTGGTAATAATGGTAATTGTTACATACCATTAGTATTATTTTTTATCTTTACTATCTTTTTATCATGTCAAACTTTTTTCTTTTCTTGGCTGAAATGGGTTTCCATATAAAAATGACACAAACCATAAAGTCACTGATCCAATACATCAAAGTCAAAGATCCAATAGATGGTCTTATGTCTAGTCTCATGAAAATCTACTTGGTGAATTCATCCAGTCATGACATGTTAATGTCTTCAGACTCTCTTCCTCTGACTTTTGTAGCCTCCAGTGCAGCTGCGTTACCCACAGTACAGAGGAGCAATGAAGCTCTCCTACATAAACAATAACCCTGTGAGTCTGTTTAACTACAAGCGTGCCGTCAATATGGATGCAAAGCAGCCTCCCATCAAGTAAGCATTATTTAAGTTTGGAAACGCTAAAGCTACGCTGCATTACACAGAGATGTGTTGTTACAAAGATTAGAAAAGGTAAAATAAGGATGAAACCTGTCTTTATTTGTTCAGGATTCCCCACTCAGAGGTGTCGGATTATTACGATGGAACAGGTTACCGCATGGCGATTATAAGGGAGCCACACAAGATGAAGAGAAGACTGTTCAGATTTCACACTAACAGCCGAGAGACAAATGCCGTGCTGTTCTTCATCGGAAATGAAGTAAGATGTTTCTGCCTGAGTTGAACTGATTTGCAGAAGCACCTGTCAAACACTTACTAGGGCTGGGCGATAAAACGACTATGTACGGTATATCGATATATTTTCAAGCAAGATATAAATTTAGACAACACAGTTCATATCGATATAGGGTCAAGTTGCGTTACATAACATGTACCAGTGTGCATCTCTCCTCTCTCACCCTCTCCGCACAGCTCTGCCTCACTCACTCACTCACAAGTTCTCCAGCACAATTTTTAGAGGCGTAGCCTGACGTGCACCTCCCTAGAAATGTAGCTGCACGTTGCGGCGACACAGACCTCCTGTCTATTTCTGTAAGCTGAAACCTTTTACCTCAGTGGAAACTTTTATTTACTTTAATTTCACAGATAAGAAACAATAAATTGTGAAGACAATAGCCTAAAGCCCCACAAACTAGCAATTTATGTCCTGTGTGTGATTAATCCTGGCTTCATATAGGTAGAGGAAATCGCCGCTGGTTGCTAGGCTACTTTATACAATGTAAAATGCCATAGGCTTGTGCTAATAATGTTAGCATGTTGTATTTGTTTGGAAAATGTGTTTAGTATGACAGTTGTTGTCAGTGAACCTTGTGAGTTGTAATGGAGCTGAATTTTGTAATGTAACCTTTGTTAAATGTTGCTGTCGCCCCTGGTTTTATATGAGTAGAGGAAAAGTCTGCTAGCTGCTAGGCTAATTTATACAATGAAAAATGCCATAGGCTTGTGCTAAAAACATTAGCATGTTATGGAGAAAATGTGTCCAGATAAAGACAAGTGTTTGTCTGTGAATGCTGCGAGTTATAATGAAGCCGATTTGTGTACTTGGGTTTGAAGTTGTCTCTATTAAGCCAATGTTTTAGGAGTGTTTTGAATCAACAGAACTTTACAGCACTTCCACTGCCAACTGTGTTTCGGAGGTGTAGCTGTTGTGCAGCTGCATATTTTCAAACAGGGGAATAAAATCCCTTTCTTTGCATTTTATTTTGATCACAGTCTGTTTTTTTAAACGGCCTGTCATCACAAACGTGGCTTTGATTTGTAACTGAACTTGTAGCCCATTTCGTAGAAAATACTGAGTCAGCCTGTAAATACCCAGATATGAATTTTTTTCCATATCGCCCAGCCGTAACACTTACTGATAATTTTATGCTCTGCAAATAGAAAATGTAATATCATTGAGTAAAAACAGTGTAGGGGAACACTGTATGGTACTGAGTTTGTGTTCTGTTTGTTACAGGGGTCTTTTTTCTGTGTGTTTGTGGAAAGAGGCTTCCTGGTGCTTCAAGGACAGCAAGCTGGTCGAGAGCTCAGAGTTCAGAGTGCTGACAAAGTGTCTCTATTCGTAAGCTCATCTAAAATTATTAACTCAACATATTGATTATTGAGCAGTGTAAGCTTTCTGAATTCATGTTTTTGTTCCATTTATAAACTAACAGTATGTGTCCTGTCTCAGGACAAACCCTTTGCAATCACCATTGCAGACAGGTTCATTGTGCACTGTGGACCACAGCAGATCTCCACAGAACACAATCAAACAAACTACATGAGTTTTTACATCGGGGGTGTACCAGCACAGCTCAGACAGAGGTATGTGTAGCATTCACAGCTTCAGCTCTTCAGATTAGCCTTTTTAAACATTTGTATATTTGTTGTTTGTCTGTCTATTTACACCTTTGAATCTCAGACACAACATCACAGCTCCAGCATTGAGAGGATGTGTGGATCATCTGACAGTAGACACTGAGATCGCTGAGTACTTCAGGACGATTGGTGTCAGCAACAGATGTCCAGTTTCACTACTGGTAAAGTACCACAAAGAGATGAGCAGGATTCATGGCTGCTCTAAGCTTCATGCGCGACTGTAAAAATGTGGTTACACTTTTCTAGCTGATTAATTTTGAATATTCAGCTTTTTACTCACATTTGAGATGGAAATTCATGTCAGTGTAAAAAATAAAAGTTAAATGTTAATGTTAATATCAAGATTTAACTTTTAACTGATTTATATTTAGCATTTAGATTTGATTGACTATTTAAATTTTGATTTATTATTTAGATTTTGATTTATTATTTAGATTCAACATTTAAGATTCAACATTTACCATATAGATTTAACACTATTCTTAACATTTAACATTTAGGATTAACATTTAAGATTCATTATTAGACTGAGATTTAATATTAAGTTTCTCATTTAACATTTAGATTTATATGTCATGTTGAGATTTAACATTCAGATTTAGATTTAACATTTATATCTATATTGGATTTAGATTTTAAGATTCAACATTTAACCTTTAGGTTTAGAGTCAGTATTTAACATATAGCTTTAACATTAGTTTAATTTTTAGATTCAACATTTGAATAATCTAATCTGAGCTAAATAATGAATCTAAATGTTAAGATTTAACATTTAGACATTTAGATTTTAATTTATATTTCTTATTTATATTTAACATTTCTATTTAATATTTGGATATAGATTTAACATTAGATTCACTGTTTTTGATTCAATATTTAACATCCAAATAAGCTAACATAAATAACGACTCTAAATGTTGAGATTTAACATTTAGACATTTAGATTTATATTTCTTATTTAGCTTTAACATTTAGATTTAATACTTGGATTTAGATTTAACATTTACCTTAAGATTCAACATTTATTTTATATTACTTTATATTATTTTATACAAACATTGTGTTAAGAATTACGTACATGTTTTAAATATTTAAAATATAACAGCAAGAAAACTGTAACCTTTTTTTTTTACTTTCAGTTTCACATTCAGTAAGGACTGAACATTGAGAATCTAATACTTGTGTGTTTCTGGTTTGTGCAGGGTGTTCGTTCAGCTACGTTATATTCAGCTCTGTCTGTTGATTCCTCGGCTCTTTGGGGTGAACAGACGGCCGGAGTCTCTCTGGGCTTCAGGAGCACAGACAGAGACGGTCCTCTTCTCAGAAGCAGCTCTCAGGTAAACCCTGCATGCCTCACATCCTGCTTTACAAGAGAATCAAAAAGGTAAAGATCATAATGACTCTATCAGTATTCTCCGATTTTCTGCAGGGTTCCACCTCTGTCCACAACTTTAAGCTGTCTCTGGATGACGGCTATGTAGTATTTAAGAGTGATGATTACACCTTAAGGTCGGATGACAGGTACAGTGACGGAAGCTGGCACTACTTGTCTGCAGTAAGGAGGCCAACAGGGTAAGATCTGTCCTATGTTTGTAGCTTAATCACAATTAAAATTTAAACTGAACTTGTGTTGAACCTGTCTTAATTTTCTCAGGTTGGAGCTCAGGATTGATAATGTAAAGGTGATTCGGGGACAATCACCTGGTTTGAGGCTGGAGGATCAAAATTCGCAAGGAGGGAAATTCAAAAGCTGCATCGCTAACCTTTACATCAGGAGGTTTGGAAACATTACAAATCTCTTTGCAGTTTTTAATATCACAGCTGTTCTAATACAAGCTGCCAGAGGAAAATGTTTGCATTGTATGTTTCTGGAAACCATGGATATGTGACATTTATACACTCACTGGCCACTTTATTAGGTACACCTGTTCAACTGCTTGTTAATGAAACTAGCTTATCAGCCAACCACATGATTGCAACTCAATGAATTTAGTCATGTAGACATGGTGAAGATGAGCTGCTCAAGTTCAAACTGAGCATCAGAATGATGAAGAAAGGTGATNTCACTCACTCACAAGTTCTCCAGCACAATTTTTAGAGGCGTAGCCTGACGTGCACCTCCCTAGAAATGTAGCTGCACGTTGCGGCGACACAGACCTCCTGTCTATTTCTGTAAGCTGAAACCTTTTACCTCAGTGGAAACTTTTATTTACTTTAATTTCACAGATAAGAAACAATAAATTGTGAAGACAATAGCCTAAAGCCCCACAAACTAGCAATTTATGTCCTGTGTGTGATTAATCCTGGCTTCATATAGGTAGAGGAAATCGCCGCTGGTTGCTAGGCTACTTTATACAATGTAAAATGCCATAGGCTTGTGCTAATAATGTTAGCATGTTGTATTTGTTTGGAAAATGTGTTTAGTATGACAGTTGTTGTCAGTGAACCTTGTGAGTTGTAATGGAGCTGAATTTTGTAATGTAACCTTTGTTAAATGTTGCTGTCGCCCCTGGTTTTATATGAGTAGAGGAAAAGTCTGCTAGCTGCTAGGCTAATTTATACAATGAAAAATGCCATAGGCTTGTGCTAAAAACATTAGCATGTTATGGAGAAAATGTGTCCAGATAAAGACAAGTGTTTGTCTGTGAATGCTGCGAGTTATAATGAAGCCGATTTGTGTACTTGGGTTTGAAGTTGTCTCTATTAAGCCAATGTTTTAGGAGTGTTTTGAATCAACAGAACTTTACAGCACTTCCACTGCCAACTGTGTTTCGGAGGTGTAGCTGTTGTGCAGCTGCATATTTTCAAACAGGGGAATAAAATCCCTTTCTTTGCATTTTATTTTGATCACAGTCTGTTTTTTTAAACGGCCTGTCATCACAAACGTGGCTTTGATTTGTAACTGAACTTGTAGCCCATTTCGTAGAAAATACTGAGTCAGCCTGTAAATACCCAGATATGAATTTTTTTCCATATCGCCCAGCCGTAACACTTACTGATAATTTTATGCTCTGCAAATAGAAAATGTAATATCATTGAGTAAAAACAGTGTAGGGGAACACTGTATGGTACTGAGTTTGTGTTCTGTTTGTTACAGGGGTCTTTTTTCTGTGTGTTTGTGGAAAGAGGCTTCCTGGTGCTTCAAGGACAGCAAGCTGGTCGAGAGCTCAGAGTTCAGAGTGCTGACAAAGTGTCTCTATTCGTAAGCTCATCTAAAATTATTAACTCAACATATTGATTATTGAGCAGTGTAAGCTTTCTGAATTCATGTTTTTGTTCCATTTATAAACTAACAGTATGTGTCCTGTCTCAGGACAAACCCTTTGCAATCACCATTGCAGACAGGTTCATTGTGCACTGTGGACCACAGCAGATCTCCACAGAACACAATCAAACAAACTACATGAGTTTTTACATCGGGGGTGTACCAGCACAGCTCAGACAGAGGTATGTGTAGCATTCACAGCTTCAGCTCTTCAGATTAGCCTTTTTAAACATTTGTATATTTGTTGTTTGTCTGTCTATTTACACCTTTGAATCTCAGACACAACATCACAGCTCCAGCATTGAGAGGATGTGTGGATCATCTGACAGTAGACACTGAGATCGCTGAGTACATCAGGACGATTGGTGTCAGCAACAGATGTCCAGTTTCACTACTGGTAAAGTACCACAAAGAGATGAGCAGGATTCATGGCTGCTCTAAGCTTCATGCGCGACTGTAAAAATGTGGTTACACTTTTCTAGCTGATTAATTTTGAATATTCAGCTTTTTACTCACATTTGAGATGGAAATTCATGTCAGTGTAAAAAATAAAAGTTAAATGTTAATGTTAATATCAAGATTTAACTTTTAACTGATTTATATTTAGCATTTAGATTTGATTGACTATTTAAATTTTGATTTATTATTTAGATTTTGATTTATTATTTAGATTCAACATTTAAGATTCAACATTTACCATATAGATTTAACACTATTCTTAACATTTAACATTTAGGATTAACATTTAAGATTCATTATTAGACTGAGATTTAATATTAAGTTTCTCATTTAACATTTAGATTTATATGTCATGTTGAGATTTAACATTCAGATTTAGATTTAACATTTATATCTATATTGGATTTAGATTTTAAGATTCAACATTTAACCTTTAGGTTTAGAGTCAGTATTTAACATATAGCTTTAACATTAGTTTAATTTTTAGATTCAACATTTGAATAATCTAATCTGAGCTAAATAATGAATCTAAATGTTAAGATTTAACATTTAGACATTTAGATTTTAATTTATATTTCTTATTTATATTTAACATTTCTATTTAATATTTGGATATAGATTTAACATTAGATTCACTGTTTTTGATTCAATATTTAACATCCAAATAAGCTAACATAAATAACGACTCTAAATGTTGAGATTTAACATTTAGACATTTAGATTTATATTTCTTATTTAGCTTTAACATTTAGATTTAATACTTGGATTTAGATTTAACATTTACCTTAAGATTCAACATTTATTTTATATTACTTTATATTATTTTATACAAACATTGTGTTAAGAATTACGTACATGTTTTAAATATTTAAAATATAACAGCAAGAAAACTGTAACCTTTTTTTTTTACTTTCAGTTTCACATTCAGTAAGGACTGAACATTGAGAATCTAATACTTGTGTGTTTCTGGTTTGTGCAGGGTGTTCGTTCAGCTACGTTATATTCAGCTCTGTCTGTTGATTCCTCGGCTCTTTGGGGTGAACAGACGGCCGGAGTCTCTCTGGGCTTCAGGAGCACAGACAGAGACGGTCCTCTTCTCAGAAGCAGCTCTCAGGTAAACCCTGCATGCCTCACATCCTGCTTTACAAGAGAATCAAAAAGGTAAAGATCATAATGACTCTATCAGTATTCTCCGATTTTCTGCAGGGCTCCACCTCTGTCCACAACTTTAAGCTGTCTCTGGATGACGGCTATGTAGTATTTAAGAGTGATGATTACACCTTAAGGTCGGATGACAGGTACAGTGACGGAAGCTGGCACTACTTGTCTGCAGTAAGGAGGCCAACAGGGTAAGATCTGTCCTATGTTTGTAGCTTAATCACAATTAAAATTTAAACTGAACTTGTGTTGAACCTGTCTTAATTTTCTCAGGTTGGAGCTCAGGATTGATAATGTAAAGGTGATTCGGGGACAATCACCTGGTTTGAGGCTGGAGGATCAAAATTCGCAAGGAGGGAAATTCAAAAGCTGCATCGCTAACCTTTACATCAGGAGGTTTGGAAACATTACAAATCTCTTTGCAGTTTTTAATATCACAGCTGTTCTAATACAAGCTGCCAGAGGAAAATGTTTGCATTGTATGTTTCTGGAAACCATGGATATGTGACATTTATACACTCACTGGCCACTTTATTAGGTACACCTGTTCAACTGCTTGTTAATGAAACTAGCTTATCAGCCAACCACATGATTGCAACTCAATGAATTTAGTCATGTAGACATGGTGAAGATGAGCTGCTCAAGTTCAAACTGAGCATCAGAATGATGAAGAAAGGTGATTTAAGTGACTTTGAACGTGGCATGGTTGATGGTGCCAGACGGGCTGGTCTAAGTATTTACTGGGATTTTCAGCACAACCATCTCTAGGGTTTACAGAGGATGGTCCCAAAAAGAGAAAATATCCAGTGAGCCAAAATGCCTTGTTGATGCCAGAGGTCAGAGGAGAATGGCCAGACTGGTTCAAGATGATAGTGTTGTTTATTGAATAGCGATGATGTGAAGATGATGAAGGACACTCCGCTGACACCGTCTTGCTTGTATATAGAAAGGTTTATTACAAGAAGTACAGCATCAAATCAAGCACCTAGGAAACCTGAGAGAGAGGTCGAAGCCAATATGAACTGCTCTGAATAACGGCTCAATTTACCCTGCATATATAGGTCGGTTGTTTTGATGAACTTTGAGACAAAATGTGACAAGTGACAGAGAGGCAATCTAGATGGAATCCAACCTTTCATCTTACTTATCTATCTTTGACCTAAGCCATAATAAAATCTTGACCTGGGCCCCTAACTAATCATGTAAGACCCCAGTCGTCACATAACATGTGGCACGTCAGATACTACAATAGAAAGGCAACAGGAAATCAAATAAGCACTGGTTCCAACCAAGGTGTGCAGAAGACCATCTCTGAACCAACAACACCTTGTCCAACCTTGAAGCAGATGGGCTACAGCAGCAGAAGACCACACCAGGTGCCACTCCTGTCAGCTAACAACAGGAAACTGAGGCTACAATTCACACGGGTTTTCTCACCAAAACTGGACAATAGAAGATTGGAAAAACCACATTCAGATGGAAGCATGGATCCATCCTGCCTTGTATCAACGCTTCAGGCTGCTGCTGGTGGTGTAATGGTGTGGGGGAGATTTTCTTAGTACCAACTGAGCATGGTTTAAACACCACAGCCTACCTGAGTATTGTTGCTGAGCGTGTCCATCCCTTTATGACCACAGTGTACCCATCTTCTGATGGCTACTTCCAGCAGGATAACGCACCATGTCACAAAGCTCACATCATCTCAAACATGACAATGAGTTCACTGTACTCCAATGGCCTCCACAGTCACCAGATCTCAGTCCAATAGAGCACCTTTGGGATGTGGTGCAACGGGAGATTCTCATCATGGATGTGCAGCCGACAAATCTGCAGCAACTGTGTGATGTCATCATGTCAATATGGACCAAAATCTCTGAGGAATGTTTCCAGCAACTTGTTGAATCTATGACACCAAGAATTAAAACGGAGGTCCAACCCAGCGCTTGCAAGGTGTACCTAATAAATTAGCCAGTGAGTGTTCATTTCAGACCTATATTATCAACATTTCTAAAGTGCTGTAGTTCTGATTACATGCATATGAGCTGACTTTGTCATTGAGAGGCAGTGGGGATGCTGGATGTCATGTCATGACCAGTGCTTGAGACCAACACACAACAGAAACGGTTTGCAGAAACGTACAATTCCAACATTTATTCTGGCACTTGGGTTGTCTAATACAGATGTTTGTCCCTTTCTCTTATAATAATACAATTTATGTTTATTTAGGCCCGAGCAGAGCTTTATACCTGCTGATCTGAGCTCATTTCCACAAACAGGAGTTGCAGTACTTGGCCTCTGCAGTCTCCATCAAGCACCGCACACCAAGCTTCTACAAGACCCTGTATTAAGAAGGTCCCAGAAACACAAACCTGTGAGTGCAACAAGCCGTTATTTCTACAGCACCATAACAATCTGCCTATTGCTTTTAATTAGATGGTGAAGCAGGTCATTTCTCTGCGCTGTGTTAGATTCAGGTTCCAACAGGGAGTCAGTGTAAACACCGGCGAGCACACCATGAATACCAGCTCACTGAGGAGCACAGTTGGCTCAGTTACACGGTGCCACAGCAGGACCTTAATCACAGGTAACGGTGGTAATGTATGAACAGTAAAATACCTTTTCGTTCCTGAATATGAGGATATTATGACAGAGTTGTTCAGAAATGTTATGGTTTGGGTTTGGTATTCCCTTAGGTTTGTTGTCCCTCCCTTAATCCTTTTTTATTCAGCCATCATTCACTCAAATTACCAGTATAATGGACTTCACTGTTGTGTCCTCTTGTGTCTCAGGCCTCACTTTTCCCTTGACATAAAGACCAAGTCGTCCAAAGGGCTTATCCTCCATGTGGCAGGGAGAGGAGTCGTCCCCTTGCTGGCTCTGTACATGGCAAATGGCAAGATCAAGATGTCTCTCGGGCAAAACAGAATCATCCTGCACAAGCAGCAGAGCAACGACGGGAACTGGCACAGAGTAATTGACTATTTGCTAAGCCTCACGCTGTTGTTGCCAAACCTGTTCAACTTTCCTTTTTTCATATGCAGTTAACAGTAGTTCCTTACATACACTCTTCATGGCGGGAATGTTGTGAATGTTTCTCGATGTTCTGTATAATACGTACAAACATAGAATAGACGGACACTGTTGTTCAGCTGTTAAGCCAGCAATTGAGCTTGTAACAAACCCAAAGTGACGTCTTTCAGTATTTCAGTTCAGCGTGAAACAGCAAAGGTGGCGTGATAGCTGATCTTCTTTATGGCTGTATTGTGGAATCTCTGTTTAAAAGGGGCTATTATGATGGTGGCAAATTTATCACTCAAAATGTGGTTGTGATTGGTGTAAATTTGGGTCTTTGATTGCCCACAATAGCAAAAAAAAAAGCAGCTGTTAATTTCCAGTCGATGACTGTGGATATGGTATGATATCTGGAAATGTCTCTGGCAGATTACATCATCTTTAGCAAGCTATGATGAGCCAACGTTAGTGCTTAAATTCCATGAGATAGTTGAAGCTGAGATCTCAGTGTTTCCAAATTATTTGCCATGAAACAAAAACTGCAAAATGATCCAAAATCTAAACATGGCAGCCACATACATGACAGTGATGAGTTTGGCTCCCACAGCGCAGATATTCCAGCTCTGAACAAGAGTTTTTCTATTGTTACCTGCACCTCCACGAAAAAATGTAGTTAGCTAACGACATGCCCGTTGACGGGAGCGTATCTATGTTTCCCGGGTTCTATGTTCCCCACTTAACCCAGCAACAAAGGTTCCCCGCTTACACAAAAAAGGTTCTATGTTTCCCGGGTTCTATGTTGCCCACTCAACCAAACGGGAAACACAGAACCCTTTTTGTGTAAGTGGGGAACATAGAACCTTTTTTGCAGGGTTAAGTGGGGAACATAGAACCCGGGAAACATAGAACCTGGGAAACATAGGGATGACCCCCCGTTGACTATGACAATAATGCTAGATACTGTAGGTAGCCAGTAGGAGGCCATGATGGTAATCCACCCCATACTCTTGATTTGGTTTTCAGAGGTTGTATGCACACAGCTCTAGAAATGGATGTACTGTAATAAGCTGGTGGCTAGCAGTTGATGGTGCTCAAAGAGTGCTCACAACAGCAACAGTGCTGACAGAAATAATGGTGTTAACATATTTTATTTATTCCCTGGGATATCCAGGTGCTCTATCCGATGTCAGTCCTGCCTGGTTTAAATTGTACTACATTTCTGAGACTGAGCATTTGATATGGGCAGCCTACAAATTTCAATTGAGTGCGTTTACATGGACAGTTTAATTCCCTTTTCATTCGGAATGAAAGTTCATTCCTATTAAAAGTGATCTTGTAAACACCTAATTCAGAATGAAAATGGCCAATGCAATTGAAAATTCACTCTGATGTAAGGGGCTGGAATATTCCGTTTCTAATTGCGAATGGCAGAATTTCTCACACTTGTATACACTCATTCCTCTTTAAGTTCATTCCGGTCTTTCTGCGCATGCTCGTTTCCTTGCCCTTCTCTTGCGATGACGTATATAGCATGCATAGCAACGGGCTGAGATAGAGCAGTCGGACTCGTTGCACTCACCGGTTTCCATTCGCCAAAGCACGGTCTTCTACCTCCCTTCTTCGACCTTCTACCTCCCTTCTCCTCCTCAACAGACGAAGCATTAGCAGAACAAGGTTGTTGTCGTACTGCTGCTTCAAGAATATAAGCAAAACAAGCCCGAAAAAGGCACTAAGAACAGCGTTGTCAAGCATCTTGTTATCCGGAGCGAGGACTACAGTGTTTTCTTCCGGTAAATGTAGACACGTAACATCTGCCCCGCCCCCTATCCAATCAGAAACCTTCCCTGCCCCAAACCTTGCACAGACCCGAATAAAGGCGATTAAACTGATCTCCGTGTAAACCCTCATTCGGAATGAATATTTCTCATGTAAACTACCTGGAAAGATTTTAATTCCAAATGATTTCATTCAGATTTATTTCATTCTGAATGAGAAGCCATCATGTAACCGTACCCAGTTTTTACTTTGGTTTAGTTTTAACTGCTCTGAAGGTAGAGCATGGTGGTTGGAAGGTACAGAGTATACTTTATTTCAAAACAAATGAACCAACAAGCCAACCAAACTGTTGGCAGTCACTCCTCCACTCAGGGAGCTCTACTACTCCATGTGTGTGGACTGCCCATAAAAATATAGTTAACATTTGGAGTAAAGTGTACAGTACATCTCTGTTCAGCAAAGTGCTAACACTGTATTAATGCTCTGAATATTGAAGCTGCTTTAAATGCTGAATAGGCTCTGATAACAGTTTCATGCACAAGGCTTGACAGGCCATGTGACAGTAACCTAAAATCTGTTTGGCTGAGGTCTTTAGGAGAATGTCTTGTGTTGTGTTACGTCACCTGTGTGACAGGTGGAGCTCAGTGTGGAGAGGAGCACTTTCCACCTGCTGGTTGATGGGAACCGTGTGACTGATGGAGATCTGCCCAACAACGAGGGATCATCTTTAAACCTACACAACCCCGTGTACCTGGGAGGTGATCCCAGGAGCAAAATCACAAAAGTCTGTATCACACCTAGCCTGTCACATGATGTCACATATTTTCCCCTGTTTGTGTACATAATGATTCTCATCCCTTTTGTCTTCCTGTCCTCCCCTTCAGGGACATAACATCCCCACCAACAGTGTTATTGGTTGTATACGGGATTTCAGAATGAATGACGTAGTTATCGGGGAGCCTGAGGAAAGCCACAAAACTTTACCCTGCATGGACGGGCTCACAGAGATGGGGACATACCTCGGCGGCGGTCACATCATCTTGGGTTTGACTACTTCCATGGATACTGGAGTATTTTCCTGTTGTAACATATGAGTCACAACAATCACTGACCTCAAGTCTCACATGAGATATTTCTGTTCTAGATAATTACTTCTCATTTGGCTCCCCGTTTGCGCTGGCTTTCGAGCTGCGGCCTCAGTACCTGACAGGTCTTCTCTTCCATGTTCAGAGTCACAAGGCCAGCTTTAATGTGTTCTTAATGGAGAACAAGGTGAATGAACAGCTGGGGAGGCAGCAGTTCAAAAGAAAAACTGCATTCAATGAATAGAACATTATGTTAAGAGACTGTAACCTTGTTTCCAGGTGGGTGTTGAAGTGCATGACGGTGAGGAGGCTGTCAGTGTCTCAATAACTCCTCCTGAGAGCCTCTGTGATGGAAAATTTCACATGGTTACAGGTACGGCTTCTCATGCTGACAACGTTACACAAAACTGATGATCAGTGAGAAGCTATGAATTTTAAATTCTCATGCTAATTTCCTCCAGTGTCCAAACAACGTGATGTTATTGAACTGGCAGTGGACTCCATGTCTGAGCAGAGATACATTCCCTTCATATCCACCTCAACAACACTGGAGACACTTTACATCGGAGGTAAATCCATCCGACATTTCATAGAATATCTTTATCAGCTTTTTTCTTTTTATGCCTCAACGCTGGCGACAGCAGTGGCTACCTATCCTTGTTTATTCATGGCTTTTCTTGTTCATGTAAATGTAGAATAAGCATATCATTTTATTGTAGATTGCCACTGCCTATTTTGCAAAAAAAGAAAAGAAAGAAAATCCTGACAGAAATGAGTTTGCATTTTTGAGGGCATATATAGCAAATGGCACCCCTTCTAATTTAAGAACGAACGAAATGTGAATTTATGCCCAAAAAGTAAAAAAAAAAACCAAAACATTAGACGCTGGCCTTGACATCTGTACCACAGAGGAGACTGAACGATCTGTCAGAGTCTGGATGTTTTATACTGCAGTGGCTTGATTGTAGATGAGGTTCAGTTGTGCGGGTTCAGCAGCTGCTGGTAGCTACTCAGGAGGATTGGCAGGAGGAGGGGACCAGAGGGCCACGCCCAGCAAACACACAGAGACAGGCTGAATCCAAATGTCCAACCTCTGGACCTGCAGACTGAGCCCTCGTGGGCTTCAGTTGTACGTAGTGTGATGTATTTACTGTCATCACGAGACTGCAAATGTCTGATAGACAGCCCTCGAGACTATTATACTCATATTTATATATGTCATATAAGTTGATGAACAGTGCTGAACTCATCTGTTCCTGCAGATAACAAAATTTAAATCCCATGTACGTATGGGTATTTACTTACATTAAGAGCAAATTCACACCAGGATAGTCCGGGGGACTCAGTTCAATTGGACGGGGAATGCTGAAATATTTCACACCTTCATTTGGTTCGGTTCACTTTCACACTGCACTTTTTAAAGCGGACCAAACCACCTGGACAACGTCACGCAGTTACAACAGCTGCTCGTCTGGGGGCGGTCTTGCCCAAAACAACCACTGACTAGGAAGAAAAAGGAATGAGGAAGATGAAAACCCGGCTCGTCGATTGGCCAGGACCGAAAACGGAAATCCATCCCCTTCAGCCAGCTTGGTCACCACAAAAACAATGGAGCTACACCAAATCTATGCAGTCATGGGGTTTCTGATTTTACTTTGGTGTTCAAACCACGAGACATTTCCCAACTTTTTCTTTTTTTTATCTCTGCTTCTCCTGGTTCGCGCTGTTGGCTTTGTTGTTTTTTTTCTACCCAAAATGCACTGCGATCTACGTCACTTCCTCTCTTTGGTTCACTGGCTAGTCCGTTTGCACTTCCCACTGTAAGCGAACCACACCAGGATTCACTTGCAAGTGAACTGAGACCCCCAGTTTTCAAGCGGACCAGGGTTTGCTCGAGGGTTTGCACCAGAGTTCAAATGAGCGTTCACACCACTCCAAATGAACTGAACTATCTGTGGAGGCGGACCAGGGTTTGTTTAAAGCGGACCAAATAGCGCCAGTGTGAATGTGTCCTAAAAGACCTTCTTTAATTGTTTTTCAGCCATTTTCTTTTTTAGCCTTTTACACTGCACAGTCTGCAACAATAACATGCATTTTCAGTCCCTCTACAACCTTTACATACACATATCTCTGTATCATGATGTGGTTGAATATTATTTTTGGCCTACACAACTCAAGTAGTATTTTAGCAGGCCTAACTATTAATAACTATTTTACACATTCATAAGATTTTTTTGTCGGCAGTTGAAAAACCCACAACATCACGTCTGTATTGCAATGAATTGTGGGTTATTAAATCAGTGAAGTCTGCACCCCAAGCGGACTCTTTGGAAGTCTGTTGGACAGTCATCTTGTGGACTTGTTGAATTGTGAATTTGGACAGCCCACAAAGTCTGCACATTTGGATTCAGCCAAACTGAAAACAGACTGGGAAAGGGAAAAGCTGAAATTTGGTCAGATACTATATTGGAGACACTAATCAGTGGTGTCCACCTTGAAACTGTGCTGATTGTTCAGATCTTCTGTGCTGCCGGACTGAAGATGTGTGAAACATTCACATCTCAGAATTTGTAGTTGCTCTGCAGCAACATCCATATGAGTCGGCTGCCAGCATTACATATGAGTCTGGACAGACATAGCTATAAACTGTAACTGCAATGTGACTGGTTGGTGGAGGCATACTGTATAACTGTGAGGCGGTAATCATTGTTTTACCGTCACATTTGTTCTGTTTTGAATCTGTGTCAAACCTACAAAACCTGATCAAAAACGAAAGGGTAAAAAATAAGTTTGCACACACATATTCTTCTGTGTCTACTTTTCTTTGTCTCCATTCAGGGACAACAAAGCAGACCAGAGTCTCCGTGTTCTCACCATTTGTGGGCTGCCTACGAAATGTGAAGTTTTATGGAAGACCTGTTGCACTGGAGACAGGATCCAGGGTGGTCGGACCTGTCAGCATCAACACATGCCCAGCAGAATAAGACGTGTAATTAACGGGGGACATGCCAACATCTTTTACTCCTCAGAGACATCATTACAAAGTGCGCAGACAGGCTTTGTTGAAACCCTAAAACCCAGCGCCCCTTAGCTGCTGTTGCTACACCTGTCAGGTTTTACTGTTTCACACCTCACACAGTTTAACTAATAAAGGAACAGATATACACCCTGAAATAACTAAACCTCTGTCAAGCTAAATTTAGAAACACGATTTCAGACAGAGAAAAACAGACTTCTCACTTCTACCTGACGACCATTGAACGTCAGCTGAAATGACATCTGTTGCTACCAAATTTAACCAGCTGTAGCTAATTAAGCTAATGTTTAGACAACGTCCTTAGTTGGCTTTTTTTGCCTCCTGGGCACTGCAGTGGTGCACTTAAGCAAGGCACTGAACCCCCACCTGCTCAGGGTGCCTGTCTATGGGCAGCCCCCTTGCTCTGACATCTCTCCATTTAATGCATGTATAGGTTCTGTTTGTGCACGTGTGTGTATTTCAGGTGGTTCAGTGGTTCCCAGCTGGTCCAGCCATGGGGTCCAGATTTCTCCTCAGTCATTAAGTCAAGGTCCCACAGTTTAATACATGCAGCGTCATACTTGCATTTGACCATGTTTCCTCTACAGCAGGAAATGGCACTTCAAAATAAAAGCTCTGTGCCACAAATTCACTGTACATGAAAATAAAGAGTGTTTTTTCAAACTTGACACATTTGCGAGTCACCTGCGTTCCTACCAGACTGGGTCTGTGACCCACTTTTGGACCGTGACCCACTAGTTTGGAACCACTGATCTTGATAAAATATAGCATACACACATATGAAGCAGAGTTTTGGGGGTCAATGAATGAAGCTCTCGCAAAAGTCCAGCCAGGACGACAATACTTTTCATGCTCAGGCTCTAAGTTTTCTTTCTCACCCTCTCACCTCGCACTCATGATTTCTAGGTGTCATTATCTGGGTCTGTCCACTGAGTCATCAACCAACAGCACAGCGACACACCCTCTCTGTCAGCCTATCATCTTACCGCTCCTCAATTTAAATATGGTTCTTTCTCTGCCATCGTTTTTTCTTGCTTTCTGGTGCTCCACCTCCCCATCACCACCTAGTCTTTACAGATTCATCAGCCTCATCCACTTCAGCAGCCTCAGAATCATCAGCCACCACCTTGCTGGTGCTCAGATTTCCCACAATCACAAAATATGTCCCTCTTCTGTTAAATCTTGATTAGCACAAATCATCTGTTAATCTGTACACTCATATTCTGTATCAGATGTTATCTTTACTTCATTCTTCTGTCTCTCCTGATCGAAATGCACATTTTAAATATTGAGGGGGACGTGTACCCTGCATCCCTCCTGAAAGCTACACTTATGATTAATTATTATGATGCACAGATTCTGTAACAAAAAAAAAAAAATAAATAAATAAACCTACTTAAATGACAGCTTTTAAATTGTGACCTTATTCATCTTTTTCAGATTTATTTTGGTGGGCTGTGTAAATGGATAGATTTCAAAATTATCACCCCATATAGAGGCATAAAGACATTTAAACATCAGTGGGTTAAACATCATGTGGCTGTTTGACTCTTACTTTAATCTTTAAGTACACTGCTACAATACAGGCACATACATGTACCTCACAGTGTCAACTTCAGAGTAGCATTACATGACAAAACTCTTTCAACTATAGCATAAAGCTTAATCTGATATTCTACCTTTGACCATGAGATGGAGTGCTTGTCCTAATAAAATGTGTTCAGTTAGTCCCACTCTGCTTTCAGGGAAGTTTTCCTGTATGTATCCAACTATGTTTGTTCTCTAATGCACCCGTGACTTTCAAGTGATGCGTCCCCCCTCACTCAGTGCATGCTTAAACAGGCTGCAGTCATCTGTGACTCTGAACAAGACTAAATGGGTGATGAATGAGACACTTACAGAAAGGAGCTACAATGTCAGCCAAAGGTCACTACTTTTGGAAAATGACCAAATGTGTGAGGAACAGTCTTCAGGTAAAGTCACATCAGTCTGTGATCAATGAAACTGCCCTGCGCTCAGCCCTGAAAAACAAAGTCATAGATAGAAAACAGTTAGTGACATAAATGCACTACGCGAGTTACAGAGGCAAAGACATTTCCAGTCGCCTCTTTGTTAGCTCTGCAGAATTTGTGCTTACTTTATGTTAAATTGAGTGGCCAATAAAGAGGATTAGGGCCATGTTAAAGAAAAAAAATCTTAGATTTTAAAAATAAAGTTGTAAATCTATGAGAATAAAGTAATAAATCTACGAGAATAGAGCTGTAAATCTACAAGAATAGAGCTGTAAATCTACGAGAATAGACCCGTAAATCTACAAGAATAGAGTTGTAAATCTACAAGAATAGAGCCATAAATCTACAAGAATAAAGCTGTAAATCTACAAGAATAGAGCCGTAAATCTACAAGAATAAAGCTGTAAATCTGCAAGAATAAAGCCGTAAATCTACAAGAATAAAGTTTTAAATCTACAAGAATAGAGCTGTAAATCTACAAGAATAGACCCGTTAATCTACAAGAATAGACCCATAAATCTACAAGAATAGAGTTGTAAATCTACAAGAATAGAGCTGTAAATCTACAAGAATAGAGCTGTAAATCTACAAGAATAAAGCTGTAAATCTACAAGAATAGAGCCGTAAATCTACAAGAATAAAGCTGTAAATCTACAAGAATAGAGCTGTAAATCTACAAGAATAGAGCTGTAAATCTACAAGAATAGAGCTGTAAATCTACAAGAATAAAGCTGTAAATCTACAAGAATAGAGCTGTAAATCTACAAGAATAAAGCTGTAAATCTACAAGAATAGAGCTGTAAATCTACAAGAATAAAGCTGTAAATCTACAAGAATAGAGCTGTAAATCTACAAGAATAAAGCTGTAAATCTACAAGAATAGAGCTGTAAATCTACAAGAATAAAGCTGTAAATCTACAAGAATAGAGCCGTAAATCTACAAGAATAAAGCTGTAAATCTACAAGAATAAAGCTGTAAATCTACAAGAATAAAGGCGTAAATCTACAAGAATAGAGCTGTAAATCTACAAGAACAAAGCCGTAAATCTGCAAGAACAAAGCCATAAATCTGCAAGAACAAAGCCGTAAATCTCGAAGAATAAAGCTGTAAATTTACAAGAATAGAGCCGTAAAGCTATGAGAATAAAGCAGCATTCATTGTGTATGTGCTACCGTGGCACAAGAGCGCACCGCTCTGCCGCCGAGCTGTTTGTATATTTGTTCATAGCAAATAAAACAACGAAAATTATTGGGTGGTAAATAGGTTTGTCATTTAGCTTTAGCTCTGACCTCTGGATAAATAAAGCAAAAAGCTAACGTTAGCGGGAGCATCACTCTTATTGCCAACGTCATCAAACGGCGCACGCTGACTGTTATTGTTGCAGTACTCGGAAAAACACGGCAGATGGCGCAAATGGGCAAAACTCCACAGGGCAGCTTTAACACAGAGGGAATTCTAACCGGAAGACGTTTCAGCTGGTTGCAGTCTGTAGTCGTCACTGCTAGATGTCACTAAATCCCCCTAAAACACTGTTCCTTTAAATACACCTATTGGCAGTTATTTTCTTATTGATTTAGTATTTGTGGATTTGATTTATCTGGACTTTTTCTCACATTAGCCTGTTTGCAGTTATTTGTTAATTGCATGTAGTCGAATTTGTCCCATTTAATATTGCATTTAGTGCACTGGCAGACAATGACTGTTTGTTAATTAGATTTATTTGGAATCAAATTTGTACTTCACATTTGTGCATCAGCAGCATGAAGAGGGTTGATTTTGAATTAATTCTTGAGTGCCAAAAATGATTACTCTTTCTATCTCTCTTGCCATTTCAGTTATTTGCTTTAACACATTTGCTCTTTGATTCTGAAAGTGTTTCTTTGAATGAATCTGTCGATAGTGCTTTTTAAATTGATTTATTTTGAATCAAAATTATCTCATTTAATGTTTTTGTAGATGTAATCAAAGTAGCCTGAATGTACACTAGTTTTTGTTAGTATTTGTTTCTCAATAAACATCAGACATGTTTCCATTGGTTAGCAGTATGTGTTTGTGATTTGTTGCATTATGATGTGATGCAGGTTGTGAGTCAGAGATTTAAATATATGATCTATATAATTCAAAGACAACATTGCAGGTGACGTTGCTGTTTGTGGAGGCCCTGAGCTGGTGTGGTTACATGAGGTCTGTGAGGCCGGTTGGAAACGACATCAGAGATGGCTCATGGTTGTGGATTAAACATTCAGTTCACAGGCAACAGCTCTGTTGGACTTTCCTGCAGTCAGCATGCCAATGGCACACTCCCTAAAAACGTGGGACATCTGTGACTCTGTGTTGTATGATCCCACTGCTCATTTAAAAGTGTCCTTTTATTGTGAGCATCCCAGGACACACCTGTGTAGGAATCAGGCTGTTGATGTGCCACACATGTCAGGTGGATGAATCATTTTGAATACATCAAAAAAAAAAGTCTTAGATCTTTAACTGAAACCTGTGAGAAATGGGAGAAAAAATAAAACCATTTGAAGTGTTAAAATTCTCTGTGTAATTTTCTTTTCAGTAATTTCTCTCATTTTGTGTTATCTCCACATAACATGAACACATTTTAAAGTCAGTTAATATATATCCTTCAAATGACAATATAAAGTGAGAATGAACAGAGTAAATGAAAAGATGATGATCATGTGAGCAGACGTTTGGCTGATTCATCACATTTTGTCATCATTGTGCAACCAGGAAGAGAAAGCCATGCTGACGTCCTGTTATTCAACTTTTTCTTTTTCACTACACAACAGCAAAACTAACTGACTCTTTTCAATGGATCATGAGACGACGGGCCCCTGGGCACAGAAATGCAAAAGGCCCCACCACCTCTCCTACATAGGAGCAAGACATTGATTTATTTAACCTCTTTTTGATTTTACTCCTGCATCTCCTTGTAGTCGTTACACAATTCTCAGTGGGTTTTTTGTGTGTGTGTGTGTGTGTGTGTGTGTGTGTGTGTGTGTGTGTGTGTGGTTGTTTTGCCCTTTTTTGTCGTTTTTTTTTTGTCTGCAGTTGATTCTATCTCTGAAATAATTTCTGTCTCTTTGTGGTCATTTTGTGTGTCTGTGATTGTTTTTGCCCCTTTTCGTAATCATGAGTCTCTTTGTGTCTCTTTGCAGCTGTTTTGCGTCACTTTGTTTGTTGTCTTAATTTATTTCTTTGGGGCCAGGTTTTGTCTCTGTGGTTGCCTTGTGTCTCTCTGCGATTGTTTTCCCTCTTTTCATAGCTGTGAGTCTTTATGTATCAGTTTTGCATCTCTTTCTAGTCATTTTGTGCGTCATTATGGTCTTTTTGCATCTCTTTTTCCTGGTTTTATGTTTCTTTGTGGTCATTTTGTGTCCCTTTGTGATTGTTTTGTCTCTTTTTGTAGTCATGAGACTCTTTGTAGAGGTCTTACGTCTCTTTAGAGTCATTTGGTGCATTTTTTATGGTCTTTTTGCATCTCATTTTCATCATTTTATTTTCTTTTGTGGTCATTTTGTGTCTCTTTGTGAATACTTAGCCCCTTTTTGGTAGTCAGGAGTCTCCTTGTGTCTCTTTGCAGCTGTTTTGCATCTCTGTTTGTTGTCTTTATATGTTTCTTTGGGGCCATGTTGTGTCTCTTTGTTATCTTGTGTCTCTTTGCAATTGTTTTACCTCTTTTCTTAGTTGTGAGTCTTCTTGTATTGGTTTTGCATCTCTTTATAGTCATTTTGTGCATCATTATGGTCTTTTTGCATCTCTTTTCCTGTTTTTATGTTTCTTTGTGGTCATTTTGTGTCTCTTTGTGATTATTTTGCTCCCTCTCGTAGTCATGAGTCTCCTTGTGTGTCTTTGTTGTCTTTATATATTTCTTTGGGTCATGTTGGGTCTCTGTAGTTGCCTTGTGTCTCTTTGTCATTATCTTGTGTTTCTGTGATTGTTTTGCCTTTTTTTGTAGTCGTGAGTCTCTTTGCAGTGGACTTGATTCTCTTTATAGTCATTTTGTGCGTCTTTATCGTCTTTTTGTTTCTTTATGGTCATTTTGTGCGTCTTTGTGATTACTTAGCCCCATTTTGAGCTGCTTTCTGTGTCTTTGCAGCTGTTTTGCATCTCTTTATTGTCATTTTGTGTGTTTCTGAGGTCCGTTTGAATGCCTTTGTAGTTGCTTTGTGTCTTTTTGTAGTCATTTTGTGCCTCATTGCAACTGTTTTGCATCTCTAGTTAGTCGGTTTGTGTCTCTTTGTGGTCATGTTCAGTCCCTGCAGTTGCCTTGCTTCTCTGTCATTATTTTGTGTCTCATTGTGATTGTTTTACCTCATTTCATAGTCATAAGTCTCTTTGTAGAAATTCTTTTGCATCTTTATGGTCCTTTTTTTTTTAATCTCTTTTTGTTGTTTTATGTTCCTTTGTGGTCATTTTGTGTCTCTGTGATTGTCTTGCTCCTTTCCATAGTAGTTGAGAGTCTCTTTTTGCCTCTTTGCAACTGTTTTGCATCTCTGCATTGTCGCTTTGTGTCTTTTTGTGGTAATTTCCTGGTGGATATGTGTTAATTAGAGTGACATTTTGCAGGTAAAAAATGGGTATCTGTTTTTTTTTCTTTGCCTTAAATCCCTGTACGTTTTTTATTATTATTCCTGGTCATCCTGTACTATTTTCAGCTCCTTCCGTGAACCTTCTCCTCGTTCTTTTCCCTAATGGTTCGCTATGTGAGAAATTTAATTTGGGTTCCCCTCATTCATATGCAAATCACACTTCAATTCACACATATACTCTGCTCCTCTGCTCCTCTGGGTTTCAGTATCTCTTTCAGTTACTGAAAATGCCAACATTTTACCATTCCTTCACCTTTCCTGCTGGCTGCCCTGATCAGCTCAGCCTCCTTCTGCACATACATTAGACGCCGGCCTTTGCTATTAGATCAAATTATTTTCAGACTCCTCTGAACCTAAGTATATAAACGATAAAAACATCCATGAACACACTGAAGTGTTTTAATGAAGTGTTCAATTCAATATTCTCAATGCTCTATTTGGAGGCAAATGTCTTTAAAATCCAATATTTTCCACATCCTCTTGTCCTCTTTTTTAGTGTGTTTGTGTGCGCTTTTATGTTTCAGGGTGTCTGTAGGCAGAATGAAGGCCGGGGTCGTTTGTGAAGATGTGGCACACCTGCGCCAAGTGGCTCACAGCTGCAGATAATGATTTGGTGCTCTCTCTTACTGTGCCACACCCTGTGGACTCAGCTTTCCACATGTCCATTATTTCTTCATCTGTACTTTTACACACTTCATGATATGCTCAAACATACACTACTGATTTACATGTTTTTTTCTTCACGTTTATGTTGATCTGTAGTTTGGCCAGCAAAATCATTCAAGGTGATGTTCGTGTGAGCTCCCTGTGAGCAGTGGTGCCCCCTGGCAGAAATAATTAGAGCCTGATATTACTGTCTTACTGAGGCTGTGGTGCACTCATTTTTTAATATGGAGGTAGAGGTATCTTGTGAAACTAGATATATAGCAGTAGTTATGTCAGCATATCTTATGGGAAGCAAGTGAAATAATGCTCCAATATTTGGCTAAATTTTGGCGAGGGAACAATTGGCAAGGCCATTTTCAAAACTCTCACTTTCTTTCCAAACTGTCACCTCAAGATAACTGAATGAAAATGAGTTCTCCGAGTACTCACGAGTCTACCCTAAACTTGAAAAGGCTTGCTAGTACATGCCCTTCCTCAATTTACTCCTTCAAATAAAAGCTGTCTGAGTTCCTCCAGGAATTTCAATTCAATTTTCAATTTCATTTATAAAGCCCAATATCACAAATCACAAATCGCCTCACAGGGCTTTACAGCATACGACATCCCTCTGTCCTTTGGACCCTCACAGTGGATAGGCTAAGGAAAAACTCCCCAAAAAAATCCTTTAACGGGGAAAAAAACGGTAGAAACCTAAACCTAGTGATTTTGAGATGCTGGGATCGCAACAATTATCGCAAATTCAGCCAATCCCTTTGAATTTGTGCAACTTGCGATTTTACTGCAAAGTTGAATATTTAAAATGGGTAAAAAATAATTTCATTGTAGAGCTGCGTGTAGCTTAGCGATTCCCTCAGCTTCTGTTTATCATGAGACTGCTGCAGGACCGTAGCTCTGTGCCTGAGACACAGCCAGGCACACACACAGTGAAAAGGCTAGCTATTAGCATCATAAGGCTAACGTCCAATGGTTACGATCCAATTTAACGTCGAGTCGAGCCCTTTCAGAGTGAGGTTAACAACTCGATGCTGGATGTTAACCCCTGCTGCCGTCTTCTGCCTGATTGGTATAATATGACAAGCAGGGATGAGAACACGTTGCGCTGCGATAGGTTGTGCTGACGGGGCAGGGAGAGCAGGGCGAGAGCCTCTCAGGGGCACGGTACTTCAGTGCTACATCCAACAGCAGGGACAGTTGATCGGCGGCCCCCCAATCATCTTAAACAGGTACTAATTTTGTGGGAAACACTGAATGCTCATAATAACAACCTTTCTGTGACAGCATCACAACTATTTTTGCAATTGTCACTTGCCCCTGCAATTTCATTGCAAAACAACTACAAGAAAACGTCTATGAACATTGAATCATTCATTGCAATTCTTTAGAAAAGCTGGCGTGAAATCAGCATTTCAGGCTGCAACAATCCCCAAAACGTACTGCGAAATCCTAGAGAGACTGCTGTACATTTTTGAGAAAAGGGACAACCAGCCTAACATGTATAGATACAGAACACATTAAACAGGATTGCTGTGGAACTCATAATGTTAACTGTACCAGTATTAGTCTATGCACATCAAGTAATCAGCAATATTAACTGTAAAATAAAAGAAAGCACATCAGTATGCAGTTCCTCAACTCCTATTCATATAGTTTTTAACTAGCCTTTATACGACAAGAGCGTCAGTGAATTCCTGAAACTCAGTTATGGCTCTTAGTTTTGGTGTGGCACTCCAAGATTTTAGGGTGGACCCATCTGACCACCATGAAATATTTCTGGGGGCACAACTGCTCTTTTGTTGCAAGAAGAACTTGTAACAAACAGGGTCACGTCTGGGAAGTTGGCTCCTCCTTGCAACAAAAGAGGAAGCTCACACAAACGTCTCCTTGAAAGGTTTTATTGACCGAATTACAAGTTGACATAAACTTCAAGGCAAACCACAGATAAGTAATATCAGCAGTGTGAGGAGAGTGTTTTAAGTGTATGCAGAGAGCTGGAGTGTTCACAGCATGTGGCATGGTGAGGGCAAAGCAAACCAGAGCACAGTCTGCAGCTGTCTTAAATACAGGTGAGCCAGGAGGTACAGGTGAGCCACATCTACTCTGACGACCCTGTCCTTCACTTTGCCTGCAAAGGCATCCACACACACACAGACACACACACACACACACATCAAAGCAGAGGACAACCTTCAGGGTCATGACAACTTTACTCTCAGAGGTTGTATGATACACACATTTTTGATTTTCACAAAAATATTAATAAACCTTTTCACAGAGCTCAGTTCTGACGTGTGCTTTATAAAGTAGTGAGCACAGCAGACACAGAATTCAGCGGACAAAACAAAACAGGTGTAATATTGGTATAGAAAATATGTTTTTCTCTGAGTATGTTTTTTGAGCCTCATTTTTTTTACAAGGCAAAATAAAACAAATACATGCTTGTGATTTAGTGAGTCGGGAGCCCAGAGGGAATGTGAACGACACGATGAGGTCACTGGTGGTTGGATTTGTGTAAAGTATGTACACAGATATACATTTAGAGTCAAAACACTATTATGAACATTTAAAATAAGACAGGTGGTCAGTAAAATCATGAACTTTTAGCAAAGTGTGCTACAAGTCCATTAGAACAGAAACAACCTCAATGTAAATACAAATGCTACATTTCAAAGCAAACAACTTTATATTTCAGAATTTTTCAATATTGATTATTGACATTTTTATGCACAGTTTTACCGTCATAGAGTAGAATAAGGCCACGCAGTTTAGGTTTGCATAATGTTTGTAGTCACTGTAGCTACTCCATTTAAAAAAGAAAGACAGTTAATGCTGCTCCGTGTGAAGGACACTGTTTGGTGTTAGTTTCTCTCTGCAGGAAACGTCCGTTAGTAAATGTCTGGCAGCTGACTGTATTTCCTGTCCCAGTATCTACCAGAGAGGAGCCAGTCCTGGGCGTTGGTGTGAGGGTTTTGTCCCTGCTGAAACCACCTGAAAGCACAGCGGAGACATATCAGCAGTCAGTTTGAGCTACTGTCAAACGGACAGGACACCAGCCAGAAAATCATGACTCAAACAAATCAGAGGAAGCAAGGAGGGGAGGTCAGGCATGCGTCATCACAAGGTTATGGGTGATTTTCATGGGAGTTCTTTTTTTAGGCTGTTAGGGGGAGAGGACTCTTGCAATGTTCGTGCCAGGAAGCTGCCATGCTGCCTTTATTGGCCAAGAACATGTCGACATACTAAGAATCTGACTCAGGTTTTTGCATTACTCTCATGTACTTAGGAATAGACATAACAGCTAAGAGCAAGGACAACAAAGCTGGACAGATAACATTAAGGAACAGGCAGGACTATTATGTACACATCAGAAAATAACGTGTAACTATTATACACATTATATACAGGGCACCAATGACCAACAATAGGGATGGCATAAAAATAAAATGTCTATAAACAAAGGAGAGCAGATTAATCAAATTGGGCCTCATGCAGGATGGATAGATTTTTTTTTTTTTTGGAGAGGGTGCTTAAAAGTCAAAACTGTGTGAAATACAAAGACATTTTCTCCTAATTTGTTCTTATTTTGTTAGTACTCCTTGATTTCTAGGAATCTTCTTTTTGCTCTTCTCTTATGAAAGAGAACATTTTACAAGTGGTTGAAAACAAAAACACCAAGATAACGGAAAAACATCTTGTTTTCACAGTCCACAAATTTTTTGTCCAACGAGAGAAAACACAAGTTTTAAATTTAATTGACATAATTTTCATATAATTTGAGGTACCAATTTCTACTTTCACTCCACTACACTTCAGAAGGAAAAATTTGAACTTCTAACTCCACTATTAACTTTAGTTACTCGCAGGGACGTCATAGTTGGGGGAGGGAAAATGGGACTGATTACCCGGGGCACCGATGGGAGGGTGGCACTCGAAAAACCCGGGGTTAAAAGTTTGGTTTTGTTTGTATTTTATTTTATTTCTCAGCAATTAGTGCCTATAACTAAATTAAAAATAGGGAATAAATCTGTTAAAAGACTGAACTTCGTACAAGAGAATGGTGGAAGCTCTCATCCCTTAAAGGTCCAAAATGGTGCATTCACACTGAGAAGTATGGAAAAATGCAGTGCACTATGAGTACCCACATGGTGCACTCAAAACGGTCAAGAAGTTGAGTGTGGAACTATGGACACTTCTTGCCTTCAATGGTCGCCATCTTGGCTGCGTAGCAGAAGGGGAGGGGCCATTTTTCAAACTGGAAATGGCAGCCGAGGACCGTGCGACCGTGAACGTCACTGCATTGTACAAATACATGTGTTTTTTGCACTAAGCACCACTATACTGTTGTCGGGTATAAGCCAGCAGTATGTTTATTGGGTTAATTTAGCAGTCTGTAATGATTTGGTACCGCTAATGATAACGCAAACACTAATGCTAGTTTGCTAACTAGCTAATTTGCAGTCATCATTTCCGGTGAGTGCACAACGGCTGTGTTTGGTTTGAGACAACACTACCCTGTCGAAATTCACGCACTACGCCAATGAGTACATAGTGCACATAGTATACTACATAGAAGTGTACTAACGGAAGTATGTGATTTGAGACACACACATGGAGAGACATGGATCAAGGGAGGAAGGGAAGGAAGGAAGTGGACTAATTTACAAAGACTCAACAATTTATTGATTCACTTGTTAGGAATTTTAGCTTTAAAAAGCAATTGTTTTTGTAATTTGTACATTTCTATTAATTTGTAATATTGCTAGTCTTGAAAGTTTAATAAATTATGCAATCTTTGTTTTTATCTTTTTATTTTTTTTATGTGTCATTATTGCTGTTTAATAGGGGAGGTATCTTTATGAGCCATTCTTTGGCGTCTAACCTGTCCTGCACAATGTTTAAATTTTTCCTATAATTCTTATTGTCTTGGTTATATACATGTATTTGCAAATAAATAAGCCAAACTAACAAACTAAGGGTGAGCGGCCCACAGAGACTGATAATGCACAGGGCCCAGAATTTGGTGCTACACCCCTGGTTACTAGTTAGAAGGTTGCACAGAAATCATATAATAATTGTAATTATTTTGATTTCTTAAATGGCTTTAAGTTTTTCTACATTACGTACTTTTACTTTTACTACCTGAAAAACATTTCCATACTATACTATACATTAAATATAGAGTAGGGGGGGGGGCTATCTATGCCAACAGGTTACTTATGATCAAGTTCATCATTCAGCACACCTGGGTAAGAGCAGATTTGGACGGGCTGGGTGCACCCTGAGATGAAATATGGGAGAAATTTAAGAGAGCATTGCTGCATGAGGCCCACTGTCTCCAAACTGTGATTCAATCGACGGTGATTCTCTATTTCACCTAAACAGAAAGCAGGACGCAGTTCTCAAGATAAGATTTCGATTTAGAGAATAAGAAGTGTTTGGAAACACTCAGACTGCAAGAACACATGATCACATCACACATTTCAGGCACATCAATCAAACAGCCGGCAGCTCTGACCTTGGGCCCAGGGCAGGACTCCTTAACATCAAAGCGAGGATGCAACAGAAAAACAAGTCAGATGAAGAGAAAATGGAGATTTAGCTTGAGCACTTCAAAGCAAAGTATGAAACAGTACAGACAGAGATGATAAAACGGCACTAGCACTATATTTGGCCACATGAAGACTGTATATGAAGGCAAACAGTTCTAGTTTAGAGGATAATTCTGAGCTGGTGGTGTTCACACTTTATTAAAAAGACAGTTTGACATATTGGAAAATTGTTTTTGATGCCGAGAATTAGATGAGAAGAATATCTGTTTGGTAAATATGAAGCTACAGCCAGCAGCCTATTAGCTTAGCTTAGCATAGACACCTGAAAGAGGAGGGAACAGCTGAAATCTAATTTCTAACAATGCTGGCTAGTTTTTTTACCTCTTTAAGCTAAGCTATGCTAACCAACCTGACATTTGCATGTAGCTACATGTACGTTAGCAGCATAGAGCAGTGTGCTTGCAGTGGGGGAACGACTGTAACAGAGAATAGTGACACTTTCTACTATGACAAAAAATCACCACAACCAAGTTTACACATTTCCCTCACGTTAGCGTGTAGCTACATGTATGTTAGTTGTCACGTATCACCGCTTTGTCTGTGGCCTTTCACATCTACATATTACACAGTATCCTTCTGTGTATGCTGCTGACGATCCAGGAAGCCATATCCAGCGTACTGATCATGTGGCGACCTCCAGGGTTGAAAAATGAAGCCAACATGGGGGTGCCAAAAACTGCAGTTCCTCTAATGGCCACTTGAGGCTGGCTCCAGAAGTGAGTCAATCCCAAAGGCCCTCATGTTAAATAACTTTAGAGCAGAAATAAACATGTTTACAGCCTGGTACAAAAGAAAGGTTTTGGTCTAGCTAATTCCAACATCCATGACAACTGTACGAGGGGTACATTTTATACAACTCATCTGTTTCCATATAATTAAGGCTCAGATTTACGAATGATTACGTGTCCCTTGCTCTTCCGCAGTGCCACCTTCTCATCCAAACATGGTCACTTCTCACTCCAAAAAACCCAAGACAACGACGGCTGAAATACCAAACTCAAGGCTTCAAACGATCTTTGGTGCTGACATGAGAGAATCAACATAAGTGTCTAACTCTCGGCAACAAAGTGGATAAAGGCATTTCTCACAATTTAAAACTATTCTTTAAAGGCAGAAACCAGATTTAGCCACATTAGAGTGCTGCAGGTATGACATTTTTTTTTGTAGGCCGACCTGGAAGTTAGCATCACCCTGGTTCCCTTGTCAAAAAGCCAATGGGATTTTTACACTGGATTTTGGATTGGTGCAGAGAATAAGCTCACAAACTACACCACAGTCGCATGACTTCATCATCACCAGCACAACGCTGTAAAGCCGTGTTCGGCGTGATGACGCTCTGTAGTCTCATTTGGCCACTTGTTAGCAACTGCCTTTTTTACCTTACATAAAAGCTTCAAAATTCACGAGTTGGGTATTTAGTGACATATTCTATGCGGTAGAACAAAACGTGAAAGTCTCTTAAGCTTGTGTTAACCACAGACCTTATTTCAGGCATCTAAAGAAAAACTTGTTATAAAAAAACTTTGAGACGAGGGAACTGCTCGGGCAAAATGCTAACTCTTTTCTGTGTTGTAGGACTCATTCCTACAGCATAAAAATGGAAAATAAAGTTAATGTAAATTATGAATGCCTCTTAATTTAAGCAAACTGAACAGAGGCTAATCTGAATTGACAGTGCTCACACTCAATTGACCTATGGCTAAGTCCCGCCCTCAAATGCGATGAGCCAGTCACAGTGCGTATAGCCATTCCCACACACTCGGACATTCTCTGCCTGGACGTCCATTGAAATGCATTACAGAAAGTCAGTTTCGTTCGGTTTTATGAGCTTTTTCTGAGATTTGAAGTTTAAAAATGGTCAAACGGTGTGCATGGGGTACATGCAACTCTGACACAAGGTATCCTGAGAGGCTGGGCGACCAGGTGTATTTTTTACACTTTAAACCACATCTCAACAGAGAAAAGTGTCTCCTTTGGATAAAGTTGTGTGGTAACGTTAGACCACAACATCAACTCAACGTGAATAAGATTAACAATGATGTCTACATCTGTTCTAAGGTAAGTCAACATTGTGTTTGAGGCAACATATTGTCACTTTGCTGGAAAGAAATAAGTTATCTTTAACATCTCTAGCTAATGTTAGCTAAAGTTAGCCTAACGTTAGCTCCTAGCTGCGTTGTTCATCATGTCACGTTGTTTGCTGGGAGTTCATTAGCCTATTTTGTTTTAGTTTTGTACTTTGGTGATCGTACATCATTGTTAGCTGTTGTCCAAAGGGCTCTAGTTAAGCTAACGTTAACTTCTGGAGCTTAGCTTCATTAACTTATCTGTAATGGCAGAGATAACAAAGGTTGGCAAACGTTATGCTGAATGATTCAGTGTAAATACTGTAGCACCAAACTAACGGAGAGACACTCTTGGTAAAGATGGTAAAAAGGCCGTTATCCTTTTCTCATATTCTGAGCCAAAAACCTTAACTTCAGTGGCACTTTGATTCACCAAAATTTGAGCGTTATGTCTCCAAAAATCATCAATTGCCTCCTGCGAAATGCCGTGTACTGTGACACCTGCCATAGCACCGCTCACTGAATGTTGATATTTTGTCTGAGTGAGTGGAGGGGGACGTGGCTTAGCCATAGGTCAATTATTGCCAATTTCTGCCCACACATGAAGGCCAGGAATCGCTTGGTCATTTCAGTAACTTTAGACCTTGAAAACGTTTTAAACACATTAGCTGATTACATGAAAGCCTGTTGAGTAAAGAGAGGAGAACTGTTTCATTTGGCCACTTTCAGCAACAATCTCACCTCGTCTTCCACTCTTCATCATTTTTGGAGCGGTTTTTGCGAGCAGCTCTCTGTTTTTCCTCCAGTCTTTTCTTCTCCTCACTGGCGAGGTCTGTTGGAATAATAGCATTGTAGAGTTTCACACTGCAGCTACAGTATTCTCTTCTTTGGTTTTATACATTTTCAGTTTATATATTTCACCAACAGCTATTACCAATGTCACCATTCTCCATGGCTCGTATGTCTGGCCTCAGCCTGCAGTCAGTCTGAGGAATGAGTCCCTCCATGTCCTTATGCAGCTCGTTTAGTTGCATCGCAAAGGACGTGAAGCTGTACATCTGCAATTAGAGACCAATTCTGCAGATTAGAGCATTACAAACACAAAACTGAGACTCAAACGCTATAATCAACACTAATACTGTCAGTCAGACCTCTGCAGAGTTGGCCGGCCTGGGTGCGATTCTCCACAGCAGCTGGCTGCCAGGAATCATCTCCACAGTGTCTGCAGCTGGAGAGGGAACCTCCTCCTGATCCTCACTGCAGCTCTGAACACCAGCACAAGAGACAAACCGATACTGCACTGAAACGTCTACATATTAATCATGCTCTTTGCAGGATGCATTGTCTATTGAAATAGTAGAGTTAATTATGGATGTAAGCAAAGATCTCATGATATTTCATTTCATTTGAGTTGAAAAATACTGATATTTTCCACCCACTCGGTCATCAAACTACATTGTCACCATGCTGAATCACAATAATACACTGATGTGACTCCCTGTGGATCAGGAGGAAGCAGCTCATACCGCTTTGCTGCCTTTTTTCTCTGCTGCTCCTTTCTTGTCGTTTTTCTTGTGTGCTTCGAAGGCAGCAGGGTCGACAACATACAGGCACTCTGTCCACTTCCCGTAGAGAGCACACAGCTTCTTTTTGCTGTGGAAAACACAAACATACAAATGTCCTCAGGTGAAAAACACTAGATAAAGACTTCAGTCAGTCAGCATGGATCCTCGTGCGTCTGAATATCTCATGGTTGCATATTTATTCTTGCTCTTGTGGTCATGCACATGTCCAGTCATTCATGTTGAGTCATCAGCTCTGTTGAAACAGCTTGTCTCCATTTTTGATTGAGCCATCTGCTCTTCTTTCTTTTTTTTTTTTTTTAACATATTCTACTTCAGTGACACGTTCTCCCTCAGTCTTTTCACCTTCATTTTGCAATAAAGCCTGTGACCCTCAAGAGCTGGTTCTGACGGTGATGAATTATTAATTATGAGAATTGTTGATTAATAATTTGCATGATGATTTAATTTTGTAATGGGTTCTGATGTCAAACTTAAAAGGTAACCTACTTAACTTTGCGAGTGCTGATTTATAAATGAAGCATATTTAAACAGCTTTAAAGGTCCAGTGTGTAGAATGTAGGGGGATATATTGGCAGAAATAGAATATAAGTTTGTTTTGTTTGGTGGCTGAAAATAAGAATCATGTTTTTGTAACCTTAAGCCCAGTTCAGGCCAAAGATTCACAACGAGACAAAACTGTTTTTGAACATTGCAAAACTGTTTTTGAACATTGCAGAGAAAAGCTGCAGCAGTTCACCTGTCTGAGCTCAACTCAAGCCAGCTGATGGTGTCACCTGCAACTCTGCTGGCCAAATCGTCAGTGGCTGGTTTTAGAACGCCAGGCTGGTCGACTGTTTCTACAGCCAGTTGGCTTGTAGCAAAATGACCGCAGATGGCATGTTAACTTGCTGAGGCCGGGGCTCTATCCATCATACAGTCCATCTGATGCTGGTTTTGTTTCTGTTTTTCGCCATTTCATTACTACTACAAATGCAACCATAGCCAGTATCTAACTGTCACTATCCCCATTCATATCTTAAGTAGCTACAGATTATATGCAGCCACAAAATAAGTCTGAAAAACTGGAAAAAAGAACGACAGAACAGACAGTTGTTGCATAGACATGATACACCATCTCATCTAGTTGCATTGGTGTGAACCGGCAAGTTTTAGAATGCTGCAGAACGGTGTATTGCAAATGCATGTTTCAACTCATCTCGTCGTGATTCTTTGGTCTGAACTGGGCTTAGGAATGAGCCATTTATATCTAGATAGGGAGCGGATCTTTGTCCACAAAGCCTGCCATGTTGCACTGTCTTGTTTCTACAGTAGCCTAGAAAAGACAAACCAAACACTGTCGCTATACAGGGATATTTGCATTTTCGCACTGGCTGACGTATTTAGTAGGCCCTCTGTGATGACCAGTGTCAAAAAAAGCACTTGCTTTTTTAATGTGAAACTGCTTTATTTAGTGTTTTTACCGCTTTAAATCACCTGGTCTGTTTGTTTTGGAGAAGAAGAAGCCTCTGTGGATAATTGGGCTCCTGGGGAAAATGTTCTGAACCATGAACACTGAAGAAATTCTGACTGAGGGAAGATTCAGCTGGTTGCATTCTGCAATCCTCACTACTAGATGCCACTCAGTCCCCCTCAATCTTACACACTGTTAGTGTATCCTTCATTCTGCATTAAAGCCCATTTCCCCCCAGGAGCTGCTTCTGATGGTGATGAATTATTAACTCTGTGAACTGTTTACAAAGAATTTGCATGGTGATTTAATTTGTAATGGGGTCTTATGTCACACTTAAAGTTTCAAATGTGCTCAGGGGAGTGATCCCAGGCAACCTACTTAACTTTGTTCGTGCTGATTTATAAATGAAGCATATTTAAACGGCTTCAAACTGTTTATTGAGTCATATTTGTTTGACAATAATGGAGCATGAAGGAATGCGTATCAAAGGCATTGGCCAGACTAACTGTAAAGTGATACTGTGTGTTGCAATATGCAAAGAGTATTCACAATTCACAAAAGTGAATAATTCAGTATGTCCACTATTTCCCTCAGCATTCAAGACAAGTCTTTGTACCAAAGAGTACTCATTATTTAAATGACTGTTCTCAACATCGTGCTTCAGAGTAAGCCGTACCTTTTATCCAGAATATACCCTTCAACCTTGTGCAGTTCTTTGCCAAAAAGGCCACATGGTATGAAATTCAGGTAGCATCTTTCACCAGTTCTGGGTGAAAAAGAGAAATACAGCATATTATGCTCTCACTCTCTGCTGGCTGAGTCATGCAGAACTTCCTCATCTGCTCAGTTTTCTTCCTTGTTGGTCAAACTTCCTCAAAATGTTTAAATATCAACTGTATCACACTTGTTCTACTCTATAAATATGCAATACTCTACAGTCTTCAAATAAGAATAGTGTGCAACATGTGCAAACGTAATGACTAAGTGGATTGTTTTTTTCCTCTTACTTGTGGTTGATCACCTCCACATTTCCATACTGCTCGATCCACAGCTGACCCACAATGATGTTGTGAACACAACATGTAGGATTTGTCCATGTGTAGGCTTCATTGTGCCTGGAGATGAAACAATGACTTAAAAGAGAACAATTTTATACATCAAAGTCTGTTCACAGGTGTTGGGGGAAGCTACTGCACATGTGGCAAGAGATCTAGAAAGCCTTTTGTGGCTCCAAAGGAAGCTACGTGAAGTCTGATAAATGTCCTCAAGTGAAGTCACTACTTAATTAATCCTTGAGTCCAAGTAGATGTTCGTGCCAAATTTTAAGAAATCCCCTCAACGTGTTCCTGAGATATCCTTTCCACCAGAATGTGATGTTGGTATGCTGGCGCAGAAAATCTCAGGTTGTGTAGTTAGAAAGAAGTCAGTTTGACGTAGACAAGGAGGCTTCCAGTCGCCTCTCTGTCAGCTCCCCTAAATTTGTGCTAAATCTGTGCTAAGTTAAGGCTCTTATGTCTATTTAGTAAGTGTTAATGGCGCTTTTTGTGGTTGACTTTGGACGTTGGTGGCGTGTGGCTGAGAGTCGCTCATCGGGATGAGGACATCAGCTCGCCAGTCTGTAAACTCTCCTTCTGCTCACTTCTAGATAGCTAGCTGCTATATGCTGTGCAGAACCATGTGGAGAGCGGTATCGCTGTCCAGGTTCAGATGTAGCCACCATATGACTGTTGAGGTCGGGATGTGTTGCATTAAATTATTCCACAACCAGAAACCATGGATTATCAGAACCATCCAGAAACATGCAGCACTTTTACATGACATTAGAGAAATTGGATTCATTCTGTTAGTCCGACTAATACCAGACTTTTAAAATACATGTCAACATGTTAGTCCGACTGAAATCGTATGAAATCGAATATCTAAAAGTCGGACTAAAACACTCAGATAATGCAACTGGGAGCTGAATTAGTTAATCGGACCCAAACTGGCTGAGGAGCTCTGTGCATGCACCACAGACTTTGACCCGGAAGTTGAAAGCATTAAATGCATAACAGAAGAGAAAGCTGGTAACAACACGGCGAAATCTACATCCAGAGCCACGTGTTCTTCTAATGTGCAACAAAAACCTACAGGCCACTCATACAGAGGAACTCAAGAAGAGATATAAACTTTTTCATGGGACTTGTCAATCAAAAAAGAAGAGCAAGAGCTGATTTAATATTTCTGAAGAAAAGAGTTCTTTTTTTTTTTTTTTATCAGCTTGAGATTCTTACTTGGGCAGCTCCAGCGTGATGATGCCTTTCGGCTCTGCTTCCACACTCTTGCCCCAGAACTTGAGTTTGGGGTAGATGGATCCATGAAAAACAAAGTCTTGCTTCAGGCCTTCAGCATGGAAGGCGCTGACTGGAGGGTGGTGGCTCACCTGCTCCGATATGAGCCTGAACCCCAGATCCTCTCTGGGACGACCAAGAAGACAGCAAGCACAGGGTAAGTTTTTAGTAAAAAATTAGTGTAGAACATTTGCTGAATAATCCCACTCACCTGACCAGTTCGTAGGTTTCTCCCAGCAGCGGGTTAAAGGGTTTACCTGTCCGCTCCCACTGGGAGGCCACAGCGGACACTGCAAATGCAGCCACACACTGCCAACAGCACATAAACACACTTCAAATCATACACACACTAACTTATAATCCAGTTAAAATATGTCTGCATTTGAGACATTTTTTTGCACATGATATGTCTAGGATGTCACAGAATGTACCTTCATCCTCTCAATGGAGTCGGAGGAGGTGTTAGCCTGGTGGATAAGGTAAGTGTGCTCCATGTACTCCGTCAGACGCTGCAAGAAGCTGAGCGGTTCGTTGAAAATCACCGGCATTGTAATTTTGGAGAGTTCCTAAAATAGACGTGAAGAGGAACTGAAGGACCAGGTTTCATCACAGAGAGAAAATAAAGTCTCTTCACACAGCAATTGAAAGTGTATTATTTATGAAGAGTGTTGCCCAAGGGAAAATCTGTCTTCAAACATCCTTTACTAGTGTAAAGCATGTCATTTGTACACCACGTTGCTTTAGATAAAAGTGTCTGCTAAATGAATAAATGTAAATACATTGCTGTGTCTGCTGTATCCTTCTCTGGCGCAAATGAAACACAGCTTTAGAAATGTATCATTTAAATATAAGATAAAGGATTATGTTGCCTTTCATGGTCTAATCTGAAGTAGAGAAACATACACGTTAATACTCTACAGCTGCTCAACACATTACATTTATATCTCTGAGACAATGTTGTTAAATAAGACTAAGAGTCACACACACACAGCCACCCTGGCAGCTCTGTGAGACTGTACTTAAGAACAGTGGTGCTTTGAGAAAGCTAATGCTATGCTAATGCATTATCACCACATGCATGCCTGCATGCTTATGTTAAGCAGGTATAATTTTTAACATGTTCAGGGCCACGCTGAGACATTGGTACCTTTCCCATCCCCATCACATTATATGCCTAAGTATGCACAAAAAGTATCTGTACACCTTTGGTTCGGTGCTCGCAAATCATCGTTCAAGTGCGATGTCTAAACTGTTAAGAGACACAAGCTGAGAGGCTCCCAATGCGTGGCAGACGCACCCCAGATACCTCGCAAGCCAGATACCTGCTAGATATCTAGTGTGAAAACCCCTCCCACTCTGCCTTCCAGTTATCTTACTCTGCTGTTAGTGTTTGCAGATGCTGGGAATTGGCTGGTAGGTGGAGTTGAGAGGGTCGTCTGGTTGTATCTGCCCACCTGGGTGGGGCTCCCAGAAGGCATCAAAGAACTGCTTCTCTGATCAGTTACTCTCTCTCAGCTGGGTCTGCTGCGTGCTCCTTAGCCTTCGTTCTTTGTTTGGTTTGCGTCACCACCCAACAAGCACTATGCCATGTTTTCACTCATCCACACACTTCCTATATGACTGCTTCCTTTCCCAGGCGGTAACACTAGCAAGATACCTAGTAGATATCTAGATATCGAGCAAGCTAGACGATGGACTTTATAATAAAGACGAGGAACGCAACAGTTCCCAAAAATGAAGCCAAAACATCCCAAATGCCTCCTGGTGGCTGGCTGTAGTATAGGTCATGAACCCCGCCCCCTCTAAAAGATCAAAAGTACACTTCATACACTTTTTCCCAAACATGGCTTCTGCTGCTCTATGCTGCTGTATGTTCAAGTGTTTGTTTATCTGATAAGTTTGAATTAGTTACTTGATCTAATAAAAAGGGGTTTCATGTCATGACTGACAGCTGTGTGTGCCAATTGGTGTGCTTCGCAATTAATTGAACTGTTAGCGACTGGCCGAACGGAGGGTTAATACCCCAGAAATTGCTACTGCTCAGACTCTGGCTCCAAATGACATCAACAGCGCAAGATGGCCGCGGCCGTGTCCTGGGTATTTTGGCTTCTCTTTTGTGCAGTGGCACGAAGTGAAGACATGTTTCCATCTTTATATACAGTCATTGATCTGGACATGTCAGAGAATTTGTTGGAAAGGTACAGCCAATGAGAGCACAAGCGGGGTAACCTGGGGGAGGGGCAGTCTTTAACGACAGGAACTAAACTGTGTATGTTGCACTTGCAGCACAGACCGAAGTTGCTGTTGCACCTCGCGGAAATAGGCTAGAAATAGCAAAGACGTGTGGAAACACAGTATTTTGCGAACATGTGCTAACGTCAACAAAATTCCTGTCTTGTGCATGGCATTACATCATCTCTCGAATCACTTCACACTTGTGTTTTTGAGACAAAATAAAATTTGGAGACCAGACATAGTCACTGAGGATTCCTCCTGGTGAAAGATCTTGTTGTGTGTGACCCCCTGTAGATGGTCGTGTGAAAACTACGACTTTAAGACTCCTGACTACAAGACAGCAAGTTGTGTAGTGTAAACAGTACAGCAGTGACAGAGGACCTTGACCCTTCATTTGGTCTTTGTGCTCTGTTTTGGTCCCCACCAACTGCTTAAGGAAATATCTGTCTATTTAGCTGCTGAATGCTTCACTATGTTCACCAGCTAGTCTCTGACTGTGCAGTGTTGCGTCACTACAAGTAGCAACATTACCAACTTAACTACATTTCTCAGTAGCGTAGCTGTAACGTCACTACTTTTTGAGTGAAATAGCTTTTCAGTAGCGAAGTTGATTAATTGGCCGAGTAGTGCAGTAGCTTCAACAAAAGTTACAAGCTCCTTTTCCCAGGAAAAACTCTGCGGAGGTCTGCATAAAGGCATGTAGACGAAGGAAGCACTTACGACTTTGCATACTACTCCTTCAGTTTATTCAGCTTGCTGCTTTTGCTGTTGGCTTTTCTTGGCAAGACATGCCCTACTCTGCCTCTGATTGGCTACACTGCACTTCTTGACACGTCTCTCACACGTCTTGCTCACAGACTGTATATATTTAGTGGACTTGCAGCGGACAGCCCAGAAAAAGACACAACAAGGGCCGAGAAAAGAGCTGAGAGACAGAGAACCACATTAAGAAGGAGGAGAGGAGAGAGAGACATTACTGTATATTATTGTCTTTTATTTATTATGGTTTTATTGACTAAAATATATATTTTGGATTTCTGTTTTTGAGTTACTGGCCTTTTTAAATAAGAATTGTGCAAATTTGCAGGAAAGCCCAATCAGTCTTCTTTCAGCACTGGCAGTATAAAAACAAAATCGGGGAGTGCAGCAAAATGCCCCCTACCTACTTTTGTTGATACAGAAACAGTGACGTGGGAGGGAAGCCGCGGCTGGTCAGTCCTTCGGCGATTCTCTCATAAGTCGGCCCGTCCTTCACCGTCCCCGTCATCTGACGGTTAATGGCCTCTTCGTTTGCGAGGACAAGGAGGGCGCACAATTCCTTGTCTCCCCAGTTGCTCATCTTTACAGTGTTTGTCAGGTTTGCGTTTCCCTCTTGCTACTAGCTGCTCGCTAATTCCTGCTATCAGCTGTTTCCTGTTTATCCACCGCCAGTGGGTCGCACGTGCAGCATCATCAACAGCTCCTCCCACAAGTCTTCAACAGCCCCTCCCGTGGTGGAAAGCCACCTCGGTCTGTTTAAACTAAAGGTTTCCGCCAATACGTCTACCCCAGGAGGCGGAAAATTGGGCACCTCGGATCAACTCGCTAATCCGGCTCTGTGTGTGTAAACGCTCGCAGCTTGCCGGGAAAACGGCCCAACATTCACGGAAAACCTGGCAGTGTAAAAGGGGCTAGAGACAGAGCCAGATAGCCGACTGAAAGAGGACAAGACAGAAGAGAGAGAGAACGACAGAGAGCAATAGGCCGACTGATCATGTCATGTTATTGGAGGACATGTTCAAATGTCACAAAGTCTTCAAAAATAAATAAGAAAGTTTTAATTTAAATCTGTTTTTTATAATAAACAGTTCACCTGAACATTTTTTGCCTGCCTATTTGTTTGGCTGACAGTTTTCCTGATCGTTGAGAAAATGCTGATTTGACATAAAGTCAAAAAATAAAAGTAGCTTTGCAAATACCAGGTTACTTCTGCCATTTTCTCTCTTTTTCTTCTTTTTTGACCCCCCATTTCTCTGGGGGTAGCTTAGCTCACTGCATTTTCCAAGTAGCTTGCCCAACACTGTAACTGTGTCTGTCTGCTGTTTGGTGCCGAGCAGGTTGTGCAGAGTGGGTTTAAACAACTGCCAACTGTACACCTAGCATGGCCAATAAAAGACACATGAACATCATCCTCACCATTCCAATGCAGTTCCTCAGGATGCTCCAAATACTGAAGTCATTTCTTGAAAACATTGGAGCAGGTAAGCTGGTCCTGGAATAACACACATTAACATACTGCTGTATTACTTTAATAAGCTTTGTACAATGCACTGATCTCTAAAAACAAACACTTTTCATTAGCGTAAATGAACCAGACACATAATCGCTGCAAGCGTCATATCTTATTTAAGTGAATACAGTCAACAAAAGCCTGAAATGTATTGTGTAACATACTGGAGCAAAGCCCAGAGGCACAATCAACACCAGTATCAACAGCCTTGGAATCATCCATCAGCAGCACTTGAATCTTGTAGGTGTAAAATATACATCAGATCAGCCAGGTCAAAGTAATTCAAAAGTTTTACACGTTGGAGTTTGGATAATAGACTCAGAATGACAGGAATGTGGCAAACAGACCGTTTTAAAATAACAAGACAGGTTAACATAATAATGAAATTTGAAATCCACCCAAATAGTCTGAGCTGCACTCGAAAGCTGCCTGGAGGGATTAGGCAACATGGGATCATACTGCAGCCTGATTATTGCATTACACTGTGACCTTATCAATATTTAACAGCTCCAGCACAGAGCTCAGTTCTTTCAATACAACTCTTTCTGTTTCCTTCACCAGGCAGGCCCTGACTCTAAATTATTCACACTACGAAGTGGAGAGACCCGAGGGAGGACGTAAAAATGAAAAACAAAGACCGCTGAGAAAACAGAGCTCTCACAGCAGTTTGGGAAATATAACAGCCTGACACTCGTATCAATGATATATTACAGCAGGAAAATAAATTGTGGCTGCTATGAGGAGACAGGCTCTTTGTGGAGTTTCCTTCTTTTGATGTGAGCTGCATAAAAGCGCAGGGGGGTCAGCGGTCCATTTAGGACACCGTGGGGGCATATAGCAACACTGACCTATGCTTTGTGATCCCGTTGGGTTGAGTCTCGTCCTTGTCGCCATGGTGATCCTCCTGCAGCATGCTGGTGGGGCTGCCGCAAGGGCTGCTTAACATGACAGAGCCTTCGTCCTCCTCCTCGTCCTCGTCAAAGGAATGGCTGGCCACCGTCTCAAAGCCGCTCAGGGAGACCTCAGAGTCCGAATCTGAGACAGACACATGGAGATAAATCAGGTCAAAGTGGCAGTCGAAGGAAAAGGTTAAAGGAATTGTTAGAGACATAAAATCTGATGTGTTTATTAGGAGAGGGACATAACAAAAAGAATTATGCAATACCTGTGGATATCTTTTACAAGCAGGCATGCCCCAAGATTATGATATAATTAAATGGCTTTTTGATAATCGCATATTTGCAGTATCTAATTATATTTATTAAGCCTGGAACAGAAGGAGACACACAACTTGTGCACTTAGCGAGCTCTTAGGGAGGATATTTTTAAGTATCACTTTACCCAGTAGATGAATGTAGAACACTTGTAGTCTCCCTATTTCTGTCTTCCGTTCCTGCTCTTGTTGTCCGTCCCATCTGTCCTCCTACACTTTTTATTCTCAAATTTGTTTACTTTCCATTTGTGCTAGGCATTTATTTTGTTATGCCAGAGTTGTGTGTTGAATTGTTACCTTTATATCTGTTATGTATTTTGTTCTGTGTCAGCGTGATCGCACTATAATAATGTATTTCCACCAGACATGAAAATAAACAAAATATTCATTCATTCTATCAATCATGCTTTTAAAGTCTGATCATGTCCACACACACACAGGACAGCAATTAAAGCTAGATAGCCGATATTAGCTTAATGCACATATTTCAGTGTCATGTATGAGGTACGTCTGCGGATAAATAACAAGAAATGCTTAAGAAATGCCAAAGATTTGTCTGAGATCTTGTAGAAACAATGACACCATTACATGGTTTATCAATTAGAGAGCAATGACAAGTTGATTTTCTACAGTAAAATGTTTCGCAAACAACAAACACACCTAAGGAATCTACATTAAAATCGTTAATGTGTAAAAATATTTACCACCAGCCGATATAGACCAAATCAAAATGTTTGTTTACAATAATTTCCGGGTTGAAAAGTTTAAGTGTACGCTATATTTAGAATATTTTCACCGCCTTTTCATGATGTCAGACCGACCTTTCCGAGGGGAACAGAAGCTGTTGTCTGCGTTCTGCTCAAAGCAACCAGACTCCACTGACATAAACAGTACTTTTACTAAGCAGAATACGGAAGCTGCTGGTCTACTGCTGCCTCCATCAGTTGAAGGTGTGAGGAAATAATCTAAATTATATCTTACACTTGAACTGATACTGATGTTTTTAGGTGTTTAAAAGACATTTTTGATGCAGCCCCCGTCTACAGTAGCTTATTTTTTCGCTTCTGTGCCAGCACATTTAGTTTATCAAAGACACTTGCACAGCAATACAGTACATAAAATAACAAACATTCTCGTGGACAAAATTTCCAAACTTTTTCAAGACTTTTCAAGGGCTCATTAAGAATTTTTTTTTTTTTTGCACCACTTTAACTCACCAGCCTTTAATTGTGCATAATCCGTCCTTGTTGCTGTTACTGTCACAATGTGATGACACTATAAAAACAATCAATTAGACTAACAAGGACACAGTTATAATTACAGTAATGACAGGTTATCATTACTGTGTGTCTGTCAGAGCACTTTGGATCAACTGTCTGTGTTTAAAGTGCGATGAAAATAAAGTTGACTTAACTTGCCTGGCGGTTTTTAAAATATATCAGATTTAAACTGTTAAAGGTTAAAACATAATTTCAGCTGGCTGGCATTCAGGAGGAGAGAGGTGAGCCCAGGCAGAAACTGACGAACCGTACATGATGGTAAACAAAACAAAAAGTTTACCGCTGTTAAGTTACACACCATGGAAGGTTATCAGCAGAAGACTTTCCCAGGCCTGGAAAATGTGACTGTAAAACTACTAGTTTAACTATGTGTCTTTAAACACTGCAGTTACAGCTGACAACGAAAACCGAGAAATTTTTTTTACTTCAGCTGATTTAACATTGTCCACAAATTAAAAATTAACTGTCAGCTGTCGTCCTGGAAATGACTGCTGTTGTTAGCGTACTGTGTTAGCATGCTAATTTGATTTATATTGTTACTGGATTTTTTTTAAACTCCAAAATCAAGTCATGCTGGCTTTAAACTCCCAAATATCTATATTGGTATCAACCTCAAAAATCAGGTATAATTCAGGCTGTAACAACAAGACTGTTTAAATGAGGAGAAGTGAGGAAAATGAAACATAAAAATAGGATTTTTTCTCGCCTCTACTTTAATAAGACTAATTTTATTTATCTATTTAATTGTATACACATACAGTATATACATGTATGTACATATATATTCCATATAATTTTTCTTTTTTTGTCATTTTATGATTATAATTTCATTGATTGTAGACTGCTATGTAAAGAAAAAAATATATCTATAAAATATCATTCACAAAAACACTCATTCTCTGCATGAATGAATGCAGATGTCCCGTGCACGTCAGCCTGAAGACATCCATGTTTCCATAAGATACCAGGAAAGCAGCATCAAATTACATAAAAAGTTTTGGAGTTACAGATGGTTTAAATATAAATGAGTATCAACTCCTGAGAAATGTTTTGTTTTGCAGCCAGTTTTGAAGAAGACCCTCAAACATGAGTCAGTTTTAACTGTCACAACACCATGCAGGTTTCTCACACCAAAAACACTCAATCACGTGAAAAGGCTTCAAGTTATTTCAACACAACCAGGCAACACTTGGCGCTTACGTCACGCTTCAGGAAAGAGGCAGGAAAAAGGTATTCCAGTGTCCTAGAGGTGAATGACAGATCAGCAAGGGTGAGCGGGAGCTTGTCACAGAATCTCCTGCATCTCCTGAGCGTGTTTGATAACTTGTCAACTCACCAGACACGGCGTCGTGGAACTCATCCTCGCTGAGGGCACTCCGCGGTGAAGATCCCTTGACGACAGATTGCTCAAGTTCGTGGTGCTCCGTGGCGAGAGTCTGCAGCGCTTCAGAGAGGATCTTATTCTTCTCTACCTCCTGCTCCAATTTCAGAGTGCGCACCTGAGCTCGCCACACAAACAAACACACACGCACACACACACACACACACACACACACACACACACACAAAGAAAGAGACTAGTCACTCACGAAAACACACACAACTCTATCTTTCACATTTAATACCTGAGGAAGTGTTTTCATGGCTACCAAAATTTTATTCTGACTCTCTAATGTCTTATTTGTGTGACCATCAGACCGGTTGTTGATTGACTGATCCTCCCCTCTGCACCATCCTGTCATTATCAGACCCACAGAGAGAGACAGAGATGGACCTGAGAGGGACGAGCCATGTTTATCTGTAATGGAGGACAGCTGCCTTGATGTCGTCGTCTCAAATGGCCTGCCTGAGAACATGACTCCCGTGGAGGAGAGGGGCTCAGATAACGGGTAATGGACTCAGATATAGACCATTAGCCAAACATCCCTTTTACCATTACATTTACATTTACATTAGTGTTGATAATATTAAGATGTGCTCATTTTTCAGCTGCACCTTTCTGAAAATCTCTTTCCACTGATCGTCTGCCGACGTGTAAATATTGAGCGTACAGACCACAAAAGAGGCCGTGTTTTACTTTGGACTGTCAAAGAAACAAAAGATGGAAAATTGGTGGTAAATTACCATCCACAAGATGGTAACCAGGCCCACAGCAGGCAAGGTGAAGTGGGGAGAGAGTGCTGTGTAATGACAGACTACAGATCACTCCCCGTCACTGCAACATCCTGAACTTTAAAGAGGAAATTCCTGCTGCTTGACACCCACACAGGTGGTGTAAAGTGCAAACCAGCGCTGCAGGAGATGGAAGTGATTCAGTATCTTCCCTTCGCAGACCCCGCTGTTCCATTCAGGCTGCATACTATCATGTGCAAACTGAGATATACAGTACGTGTCTGAGTTATCCCTATAGAGACCGGGCTTATTCATGGTGAGAGCTCGGAGATCCTGTGAGCCTTTTATCGTGCGCTCTGCCTCTGCAGATCACAGTTCAAAAGGCTGCACAGCTGAGCGCTTGAGGCCCGACCCAGGTGTAAACCCTGAAAGCACTGGACTGGCTGTTAAACTGAGAGCATTCAAATGGTTTTTTGGCAGCCACTGGAAACACCAGCAGCGCCGTCCTCTCGAAAGATCACAGAGAAATTCTTGTTTTGGGAGATAAAGCTGTGAGCGAGAGGAGAAAAGAGGACAGGAAAGAAAACACAGCGTAACTGAAACTGACTTCTGCTGCTGCCCACTGAAGTTAATAATTCAGGCTCTGGTATTTAACAGTTTTGTCCATGTCTTTGTTTTTCTGTGAAAATGCAGAACGTATCAAAGGACTGATTCTGTGCATTACCATGTGAGGCTCAACACCCCTCGATTTACATATTCAACAACCCAAGTGTGCATTCATCACTGCATTCAAACATCAAATGCAGTGTGCATCAAAAGCAGCAGCACTACATATCAGTTTAAACAATCAGCAGGGAGCAGACAGAGACTAATTCTCGTGACGTTCAGAGAGAATTCTGGTTCAGAAACTGCAGCAAATGAACCAAAACTGTGATTAGCCAAAAATAAAACACTCTCAATCTTAGACAGTTAGTGCTGCAAACTAAGTTCTGTGTGTCACAGCCTACACAGCTGAGGAGGGACGCCATGATTATGTTGAAAATCAGACGTGCTAGGTTGATATTTCCCCAAAATGTATGCATCATCAGTGAACATTGCTTTATATTCAGCCGCAGCACTCAGACTTGGTCAGACAGTTCTGAGTGAATCACACAAACTACCTCCCCACACTTCCTGTTTCTTGCTCAATTTGGATTTACTTCACTCATATCTTCTTACATATGCCACCCCTCCAGTCATAAAAAATACATATACTCTTGCACGTATACACACACCTACCTGCACACACACGTGCATGACTTTCAGTCCCACTGTTAAAGCAGCTCTGAGCATTAGGGGTGGGCGATACGAAGATATTTACCATGAGATGTTATTAATATGTCGACACATATCGGTGTCGGTTCACATCACCTCGGTCCAGACTGAAAAATCTCAGCAGCTATGCATGAATTTCCATACATTTTGTACAGGCATTCATGCTGTGTAGAGGATGAATCACAGACTTTATAAAAGTAACTCAAAAGTTTTGCATTTTGGCCATTATCATCTTGGTTTTGTGGAGTCACAGGTGGCCGTATTTGTACAACAGGGTGGAGCTGCAGAGGAGTAAGGGGTGCATCTGACTAAGACACTGAGGACACTATCCACAGACAGCCTGTCACTCAAAGGAGCCCCGCCCTTGGACGCAGACAGGACATTCATAATGTAGCATCGAGCCGGCTCAGACCAGGGTCCGACAACAACACAGCTGTGCTCCATTGACTCTGATGCAGTCGTTTCAGATTTCCTTCATTTCCAGGCTGGTTTTGTGGATTTGGAGCTAAATGTTGTGTCTGGGGCACGTCGTGTATTAATGATACTCGTTACCTGGAGAGGTTGGAATAAGATACACGTTTCTTCCCTGTTCCAAAACCAAAATCAAACCCTGAAAAGTGTAGGGTTAGCTAGCTAGCTACTGAAGATATAGCCTACTGAATGTATACACATGCTGCTTTTGCTTTTCAATGATTATAACAGTGAAACAAAGACTGACCCTGCTGTACAGGAACCAGTGAAGGGAAGCAGGGAAACTTTGCTGATGTTCAACCAGCTGTGTGTCATCACAGTGTGTGCAGATGAATGTTGTTTGGATTCCCCTGGAGATCACTGCCTGTCCGTGGTGGATGTCTGGGTGCTGGCAGCGTCACGAGGTCGAAGCCAAACACCGTTCATCTGCACACACTGCGATACCACACAGCTGGTTCAGTATCAGCACAGTTTCCCTTTATATTCATTGTCTTGTGTGGCGATCAGCAGTGATGTGGTGGTTCACTTTTACACTGTGATCTGTAGCCTATAGTTTGGCTTTAGCTTCTAACTATCTTTGTCTTTTTAACCTGTTGTTGCTGCTGAGTCAGTTTGACATCCTGGATATATCCTTCAAACACAGACTGTAGACCCCTCTGTCTGCTTCTCTCTGGAATCACTCTTTTATTTCTCCAATAATATGCTGATATTTCTTCAGGGAGTGCAGTTAGTTACAGTGTGGGCTCTATGCTTACTGCGACTGGCAAAGCAAAAGGTCAATTATGCATAACTTTAAGCCTTAATAAAATGTAAACTGGTGGGTAATATTAAAATTCATCCCCGTACGGTTGTCATGAAGGGATTAATTAGCTTCTGAGACCAAAACAGTATTTTGTGCCACACTGTTAATATGTTTATTTCTGCTGTTAAGTTGGGACTTTTAACATGGGGGTCTATGGGGATCAACTCACTTTTGGAGCCTGCGTAGGCTTCATATTTCAGCCCCTGAATTTGACACTTGGAAGGAATTCTAATTACTTTCGGGATTGCCTGACTTTTCTTCCAGCATCACCATGTGGTTGAAATTTGTGTTTCAGAGTTTGAGGGACTGCTGTAATATTTTACACACATTGATATTTCCTCAGGAAGAACTGTAATCACTTATGTGATCCCCTGACTTCTCACATGGCGCCACCATCAGGTCAAATGTTTTTGCGACATGCTTCTTTTTTTATAACAAAATACCTGCAAAACGAACGGCATTCCCATCAGCCTCAGCTGTACTTTGTGTTTAGTGCTACTGAGCAACTTGCTAACATGGTAAACATTGTTACTGTGATCATGTTACCATGCTGACGATAGCATTTAGCTCAAAACACCACTGTAATTACAGCCCAGGCCTCCATGAAAGCAGGTCAGCCTTGCCTACAATTTTCCCCAGTGACCACTTGTGGTATTGCAGCCAAATAAAAACCCAGAGCACCTCGAATTGCAAACAAGGTCAACTATGATTCTTTCTATTGTAAACTTTTCATCCATGAAGGTTTTATACTTGTAAATAAATGTGTATTTCCTCGAGCCAAGAGAAGTGATTTAAAAATCTGTGACAACATGTCGTCACAATGTGAAGTCTGTGGGCTCAGCGGGAGAAACACCACTGTGCGTATTCAGTGAGCCACATACTGCGGAAGTAAACCCGGAAGCTAAGAACTTTTTAGGTGTATGCAGCAGGCGTGCCATTGGATTGAATAAGCATCATCTTGGGGTCCAGTATCTAGATATTATTACACATCCGTGGTACAGCCTCACAGAGCTGCTGGCATGACTGTAGTCTACATTTGTGGTGTGATTTCATCTGATTTCAATGTGATGAAACATCTTCATTTGCTGGATTATTTGAAAACAGACATTCTGTCCTTAAACACTTCCTCCACTGATTTTCCAGAAAAAGTACAACATCAATACAATATCACAATTTAAAATCTCATATACAGCCTTAGGGGGTTTTATGTACACTGCCATCCCTTACTGAATATTATTTGTCTGCTGCTGTGTCTGACAGTGCGGCTGGGCCTGTGGCCAACATCGTGACACACCGCAGGCTCTTCACTGTTTGTCTTTGTGTTTTCATACACATTATAGTACTAATGCAATTTCACTACTTAACGCCTGAAAGAATTCCAAGCTCAGTATCCAAATAAATTACTATGAGCTTTAAGTCTACCAGCCACGGGAACCTCAGGAGGGTAGAGGCTCCTGCACTGTGCGGGTAGCTAAATTTATTCCAAATATATTATAAACTCTTTATATAGGATTTGTTTTGAAGAGTCTGGAGGCTTCACTGGGGCTGGAGAAGCAAACATAGCAGGTTACAGGAGAGCCAGGGCCTGCAAATCATGCTGGAGGCTCCATATTCAGTTGTGTGTGGACACTGGAGGACAGATGACAGTTAGCACTTGGCTGTGGGCACGGACCCGCAGACCTCCTGCTCTCCCTGCAGACCTTCCTGACTCTACTCTGACTGGCCATGACTGCCACTCCAGCCCTGGTTGCCTCCAACATGCTCAGCAGGTCCTGGCTTGACTCTCAGCTGTCTCATTCTATCCCGCAGCCCCTTAACAGCCTCCAGCATGCCCCACTGACCCAGGCTGTGCTCTGCTCCTCTGCTACAGAAGCACTGGGACAATGGGAGGTGGCGGGGCCAGGGGCCATGCTCACAGCCAAGGGCCCTGTATTGGCTTTCCTTCAGTATCCACACACCCCTGGATGTGGATCTGTGGACTTCTGTCATTTTTACCAGGGATTTCGTGCCCCTTGCTCTAAGAATGTTTGTCCGGTTGATTGGATAAACAGCGTTTTGTGCTCGAGCCAATCACAACAAACACAGCTGGACTGTAGCTGGACTAATACGCAAGTCCCTCCCTACTGCTCTGCACTGTGCTCATAGGGTGGTTACCGTTGACAACGCGTAACGCCAACCCTCCAGTTCCCCCCAGGTTAACACTGTTAGCTCTGTCAGCACTGTTGCCATTGTTAGCACTAACAAGCTTGTTAGCAAGTAACAAAACATGTAGCTCAGCGTGTGACGTAAACAGTGACGTGGGATGGATGCCGTGGCTGGTCAGTCCTTCTGCGATTCTCTCATAAGTCGGCCCGTCCTTCACCGTCCCGTCATCTGACGGTTAATGGCCTCTTCGTTTGCTAGGACAATGAGGGCGCGCAATTCCTTGTCTCCCCAGTTGCTCATCTTACAGTGTCTGTCAGGTTTGTGTTTCCCTCTTGCTACTAGCTGCTCGCTAATTCCTGCTATCAGCTGTTTCCTGTTTATCCACCGCCAGTGGCTCGCATGTGCGGCGTCATCAACAGCTCCTCCCACAAGTCATCAACAGCACCTCCCATTGCAGAAGGGAGCCTCGGTCTTTTTAAACTAAAAGGGTTCCACCAATATGTCTACTCTACGAGGCGGAAAATTGGGCACCTCGGATCAACTCGCCAATCCGGCTCTGTGTGTGTAAACGTTCGCAGCTTGCCGGCAAAACGGCCCAACATTTGCGGAAAATCTAGCAGTGTAAAAGGGGCTAATGAGGGCCTATGTGAAAAATGCTTTTTGGGCCCCAGGGGAATTTTTTGCTGCAATACCGTGAGTGGCCACTGGCAAAAATTGGAAGCAAGGCTTAGTGGCGTTCCAGGGGACCTGAGTGAGAGCCACGTGCATGCAATCCTGGGTGTAGCCACAGTAACACAGCAGCATTGTGGGTAACGTAGGGTCAATGTTTTGTTGTTTCGTCGCTGCACCACCTTGTTGAGTGCTTGTTAGTGCAGCAATTAATCATGGCTCCTTAAAAAAATAGTTACAGACCTGTAGATTATATATTTATTCATACACCTTATGTGCAGTTTTCTTAGCATAAATGTATTGAATTCATTATTTTTAATACTTTGAAATTGTTTCATAACTCCTCAGATTTTACATATTTTTCTAACCCTACTTGTGTACTGTTTTCAAATAAAAAAAGATTTGTTTTTAATTTATTTGTTGATCTCTATTGTGTGTCTGTATGTATGTATAGGTGTGTGTATGTGTGTATTCAGTAATGAGCAGCTTGTGATTTGATGGTTGCATTGGGAGCGTTTCGGTGCCACAAACAAAGTGTGTTTAAAGCCACCAAAATTCTGGGGCCGGCCCTGTCAAGTGCTGTATAAATAAAGTTTTACATCATTACAGAATTGATGTTCAGGGTTGGCACTTGTTGTGAGCTGGTGGTGCCATCTATTTTTCTTCCTGCAGGGACGTAATCTATCCACCGAATCCTTCCATTACAATCAAATCCATTGAATCACACACAAAGAAAACCCATCTGACAGCTTATAATCACTGCACTTCACTGAGCTGCTTTCATAAGGAGGTGTGAAATGTGCTGCTGCTTTCTTATGAAACATGCTCTGTTTTTATGTATTACTCTTAAAAAAAAAAAAAAAAATCACTATATGTGAGGGTCAGATTATCCTGTTGATTACATATTTATAGTCTGCACTTTTTTTTAAAGGGTCAGGTCACTCAAATCACAAAGAACATTTTCTTACTCTGCCCTCAGTTACACTCTAAAAACTCAACATTAACATGACTTTGCAGAAACAATGACATGGTTACTATGGAGGATGTAAAATCACTCACGTACCAATAAATAAATAAATCTGAGAATAAATGTTTAAAAAATACAGGAATAAATAAAATAAATAAAAAATAATAAATGTCTAAATAAATACAGTAAAAAAAATCAATAAATAAATCTGGGAATGACATTTAAAAAGTTGTAACTAAATCTAGATATAAATGAATACAACTCCAAATAGATAAATGAATAAATGCAGAAATAAATGCAAAATAAATAAATGCATGAATAGATAAATTAAATAATAAATCAATAAATATATGTTGAAATAAATAGATTAATGCTTGAAGAATTATTTTAATAAAATTTCATAGATATACAGGGCATATATAAATAAATAATATGTCCTGTTTATATATAAACTTTTATTAATATAATTCCATGCATTAATCTATTTATTTCCATATTTATTTGAAAATGTATTTCTTAATTTATTATTTATGTTTTCATGTATAAAAGGACATTCAAAGGACATTATAAAAGGTATTTCAATAAGGATTGGAATCATATCAAATCACTTTTTTCTGTCTGTCAGTAAAACAATGGTGTATGTATTTTATGTGCAATTGCACGTTTATAAAATACAATAAATAAATAAATAAATAAATTATACATTTTTGTACAACTACATTTATTCATTTCTGTATTTTTGTGTTTGTATGTTAAAGGAACAGGGGGTCCCAACCTCTGCATTTATTGACACATTTATTTCCATTTTTATTTTCAGCATTTATTCATCATTTTATGCATTTATTCCTGTATATATTTATACATTTATTCATCAATACTTGTGTCATTTTTCGTCCCACATAAGTTACATTATCTATAGATATCAAAGCAAACTTTGAGTTTTTGAATGTGGTTTAAATACCAATCACCTCAGTTTCATTGGATTGGCAGCAGAGCTGAATATCTCCAAATATGGGCACATAAAACTCAAAACAAAAGACATAACTTTTTTATAATTTGAGTGAACTGATTCGATATGATAACCTGTGTTCTGCTGTGGGTTGCTGAGAGTAAAACCCTGAGAACTGATGATGCAATTGACAAAAACCCACGTAACAGCTGCTGCAGGCTTTCAAACAGAACAAATAAATCTGCCCTGGGCACGCTGACACTTACCCCTTCCTGTTTGGAGAGGAGGCTGAGACACACACTGAGACTGGAGCTGGTCTCGCTGGACAACTCACAGATTTCTTGCAATTTCTGCGGTATGGCAGATGGAAACCCTGAGGGGACAAACACATCAATCAGCGACTGTCAGCACAATGTAATAAGTGAAATGAAAAAAAGTCAAACAAGCTGCTGAGAAATCAGACAAAGCATTATGTTCAAGTTGTTTTTTTTCATGCTTGTAGGAAAGCTATAAACAAGAAGCAGAGTGAACCTCTAATGACACAGATGTTGCAGATTCTTAATTATGAGCATTATGGCATTATTCCATCAATACGCTGCGTTTAAATCTGCTTGATGATGCTTGTAATTGTGATCACAAGTTTTTCATTTCCACTCTTGAATCATTCTCATCCATTACATCCAATACAATATGTATAAAAAAAGATTAATTGACAAAGAAATAACAGCGTTTACTTTCTGCCAGCCCGTCATTTTTCAGCATGCTGAGCAAAGCTTCCACTTCTTTTTCCAGTTTCCTCTGACTGGTCTCTGCTGCCTGGTGTCAGAGAGGTGAGAGGAGACTACAGATGAACAAGAGCAGCGTAGGGTGGGAGGACTCTGCAGCCAAAAACACTACGGATCATTATTCTGACATGTTAATCATGGATTTTTTTTGTTTACAGCCACCTGTAGTGAGTCTGTTAGCGCCCCGAGTGACATCACTTCCTCCTCTTCCTCCTCCTCGCTGCCCTGCTCTTGGGAGCAGTAGTGTGTGCTGTAAGCCGAGTGCTCCTCCAGAGCGTCCAGCCAAGCCTGGGAGACAAACACAGATTTTTCTTTGTTCATCATGAAAGTGGAACACGTCATTGATGTATTTATAAAGCATGGCCTTGGAGTTACAAACTTCTACTTGTGATTTGTGTGGTTTTGAGATATTGACGTTTAAAGTTTCACATCCTGGATAGTAAAACTTCCCATGTTTTTGTGTCAAAGTGACAAATGGAGAGAACAATTTTAAAAACTGGTCCAGTATTGAGCAAGAGTGCTGCAGCTGACCGCTGTGAGAAGCTGCAATGTAACAATCAGGGCATCTGTGCACCGTCAATTTATGTCCACTTAAAATGTTTGCCACCGACAGGCTCGCATTATTGTTTCAAGTGTCCGACAACATTTTGGAAACCATTCCTACAGAGATAGATCTTTGTGTTAAGAGTCAAATCCTTTTTGTTTAACCAGAAACAGCCCAGAAATCACTATCACCAAACCCATCAGACTCCTTTTAAATAAACTGGGTGAATCAATGATACATTTAAATCAAACCAGAGTTGGTGATTGTTGGAACACTGGAAAGACAAACTAAACTAAACTTAACTTATTTTAATGGAGTCTGGTGGGTTTTGTGATAGTGATTTCAGGGTTGTGATTAAATAAAAGGATTTTACTCTTTAACAAAAAGGTTTTTCTCTGTAGGGATCCTTTCCAAAATGCTGTCAGACACTTAGAAGAAGATCTGGGCATGTCAGTGGCAAAAACAAGACTTTTTACTTGATGTAAATTAACAGTGCACAGTTGCCCTTCAACCTTAAACCCACGTCAGACCAAAGAATCATGACGAGACAAGATGAAACAGGCAACTACCTGAAATGTGCTGTTCTACAGCGTTCTAAAAACCTGCTGGTTGACATCAATGCAACTAGATGAGATGGTGTATCATCAACAGCTCTCTGTACTTCTGTTCTAATTTGCAGCTTTTCAGACTTATTTTGTGGCTGAATATAAATTGTGACTTCTTAAAATATGAATGAGGATAGTGACAGGTAGATACTGGCTACAGCTGCATTTGTAGTAGTGATGAAATGGTGAAAAACAGAAACAAAACGAGCATCAGATGGACTGTGTTCATAATAAATACACCACAATAATATAAAGAATGTGTGTGTGTGGGCATAAGCACATACAGCGAGCAGCAGCAGCAGCAGCAGCAGCAGCGATGCAGTTTTCTGACCTCAGGCACACATGAGGTCAGAAACAGAGGGCTCGGCTGGGACGGAGCACCTGCAGCAGCAAGCAAACACATTGTCTGCGGCCATTCTGACTTCACCAGCGGACTTTACTACAAGCCCATTGGCTGTAGAAACAGGTGACGTGCTTCACGTTCTAAAACCAGCCGCCAGCGATTTGACCTTTGACCAGCTGAGTTGCAGGTGACACCATCAGCCGGCTTGAGTCGAGCTCAGACCGACCAGTTCACTAGTGTTGTGTCGTTCGCGAACGAATTGTTCAAAAGAACGAATCTGTTGAGTGAACGTACTGAACTGAATCACTTCTGGAACTGATTTGTTCATTTCTCAGTTCAGTTGAGCTCAGCAGTGAACGTGCAGGCCGGGAGTGGAACTGCTGATTCGGTCCGTGCAAACCATGACTCACTCGCGAGTCGCGAGGCAGCCAGGTTGCAGGGAGAGACTGCCTACCGCGTGACGAATCATTCGGTGAATGAATCACTCGGTGAACGACATAACCCTGATTCCTGAGTGATTCAAATCATTTCTTCTCAGTGATACACTTTCATAGGGACCGTTTTCTCCAAGCTAACGGCTAATGTAGCCAGGAGTCAAGCCACATGAACACAATCACACACCTCCCCATTGTTTTAACAGACTTATTTTCCAGATAAACAAACATAAAACGTTAAGCTGGCCAGTAATGAGACTCACCAGTGCAGGGCAGACGCAGCAGCAGCAGCAGCTCAGCCATGTATCAGTTCAGTGAGTCGGACTACGCAATACAGTCAGGGCTCCTCCCACCAAGCACTGAGCGATTCGGTGAACGAATCTTTTGAACAAATCCTTTTAATGAACTGATTCTAGTGATTCAGTAACATCTAAAGAACTGCTTCACCCATCACTACAGTTCACATCGTAGTGTGCTCACACATATTGGTTGTGATGCGTCTTTCTCAGCTGATCTGTCAACGCGTCACAACCACCACCAAGTGACACTTCTGAGGAAGGCGGAAGTTTCCGCTGAAACATGTCAACGTATGTAACATCCTTACATGTCTGAGATAAAAGAACAACTAACGTCATTACCAGAAACTAAAGATATAATGAACACCATTGAACTATAACTTTCAAAAACTGTTGTCTTCATTTGTCACTCATAATCATCATAATCATCATTTATAACTCATTTTCTGCTTAGAGTCATGAAGCTCTATCTGCTAAGACGTAACAGAAGGCAGAGCTGTTTTTAGTCTTTTGGACCGAGTCCTACCTCATGTCCTTGTTTGTAAAGTGACTTGCAAGTCAAAAAGAAAGTTCTTCCGGTCTGTCAAAGCTTAGTGTGAACACTACAACAGCACAGTGGAAAAAAAATCTATACTTTTTTAATGAAAACAGGGCATTTGACATCCTGCTGCAGGTAATAAATCAAAGCATCTGTATGTGAGCAAAAAGGCCCATAATGACTTTCTATCTGTTTGGAACATTGTGGTGTTTCCTGTTTCTGACCTGAACACAAGACCCTGATTTTAATGTGACTACGCTGCCTGATAATAATCACTTAAGCTTTTAAGCAAAAGCTATAAATATCAGGTGGCACAGTGCACGAGGGGCAGGCACTTAAAACTGCATTACAGGTGTAAAAATAACTAGAAGTTACTTGAGACTCTGACTTTGGTAATTTGTCATTAACATTACAAAGATCAGTTGAGATGGAGGGTCATACAGGTTTGTGTCATAAAAAAATAAACTTTAAATTCAAAGCACTGAAAGGCAAATCAGGAGGAAAACAGGCAACGTGCTGGATATGAAGAGTGACTCATGAATAGATTAAATTAATTTTATACTGAAAGGCTAGTTTCCCCTCATCTGAATTTAGAGATCTTTACATTTTATTCTGGTGCCAGCAGCTGCAGCTGAGGTTATGGATACATGGCACACACCCTCGTTATTAATTATGCATGACAGCTTGGCAGAGCTCCAAAGGACAAAACTACACATAATATTGCATTTTTCAATATTTATAAGTTACCGAGTCAAGTCTCAGATTTTTTGCCTTCAAGTCTCAATTTAGTCTGACAGCAGATGAGCTCAAATTAAAGCCCAAGTCATAATTTTTGCGACTTGAGTCCTAGTCTCAAGTGTACAGCTCTGACAGACAGCAATGATGATTTTTACACCAAAAAAACAAAAATGAGAAAGCAGTTATTTACTAGCAGAGGTGTGGACTGGAGTCACACGACTGGGACAGATTTGATGACAGGTGCCTGCCAGGATTGATCTGGACATCATCTGATGTCCGACAGATGTTTTCCTGACACCTGATGGAGGTCTGACAACAAATTCTGACACCTGAGAATGTGGTGTGTGCTGTCTTGACCTTGACCTACGACTCAAGTGCAAAGACTGGAGACTAACCTGTGACTCGCAAAACAATGACTTAGTCCTACCTCTGATTGCTTGAGGTTATTACGATGTGAGATATTTGGGCACGTACAGCAACTTAGCTACATGTTCAGATTTAGACCCAAAAAACATTGAGTCCCATCACTGAGCTGATAAAATAGCATTTTACTGAGAATTCAAAATGAAACAGAGGCTTCACAGGCAGAACCCTCGAGACCCAAGTTAGAGACTGATATTGGAGATAAAGCCTTTTTTCCTTCTTCAGATTTTAGGGCTTTTAATGCATTTAAAAAATAGGCCACACAGAATGTTAATAGGAGGCAGAGGAATAATTAAACGTACTTTTCTCGCTGCCTCCGGGTCGTTCTTAGTTGATACTTTGAAGTGGTGCACGCTGTCATCGAAGCACTTGAGGGTAAAAAAGCAGCTGTCTTTGGCTCGGATCTGGAAACAAAAACATCAAAAACATTCCCTTGTGCAAAAGTTAAACTCACACAAATTCAACACAACTGAAAAAAATGGAGTGTAATTTTTAAATGTCGTCTTACCAAACACTGAGCATGTGTGAGGGACTTACAGCCTTGCCTCCTGACATTGGCAGCTGCATCTGACCTTCATATAAGAGAGAAAGAGTCGATATTTTTCTCGTGCAGCACAACTTTTTTGACAGATGACACATTTTCAATGGAGGTATAGCAGACAGACTCCTCTCTATATTTTCTTTTTTACTCATTTATCTGTCACATCCAGCGCCTTTCTAATCAAAAGTGAGTAGTGCTTCCATTTATCTGGTGCCGAGATCTTAGCACACCTGATTCAAGGAGCACAGCCAAGCTGAGAGATGGCACCTACTGTTTTGAGTACCAGGACAAAACCCCATCCTGGAGGACGACCCAGTGGGAGCCCCAGCCGAAAAATCTGGAGCTCTGTGGGATGAAGCACAAGAGGAGAATCAGTTGTCTGATTTTCACTGATTTCTGTTATTGTTCAGTCTTTTCTGATTCATCTGGCGGCTGACACAAAGTGCAGCACCTCCAGAAAGCACAGAACATTAAATTTGAAAACACTTATGCTGCATTTAGAAACATTTCAAATCACGCTGCGTTTAGAAACACATTTCAGATGCTAATAACACAAACAGAAAAGATGGGATACACAAACATGAGCTATGTCTGGGTTTGTTTCCTGACTGATTAGCTCAGCAGGGAGTGAAAATAAAGTCAATGTTTAGGGTTTTCCAACGCTGCAGTCATGTATCACAGAAGTTTCTAACTTTTAAACAGCTCTCACATCGACAGGGTTGTTTTCAGGTCACAGCAGGCAGCAGCCATTAAATCTCCAAAAACCAAATCTATGCTAGCACAGTTAGCATCTAACGTTAGCTAGTGAACTTAGTGGGGGTCCATGTCATTGGTTCGACATCCCATTAGTCCGACTGTCCGCGGTGCTGAACGGCTCGCGGCTGGCATACGGTGCACAGCGACCAGCTTGAGGCGGAGCAGGCTCACAGCTTATGTGTTTGTCACTTTCTTTTTCATTTTAACCCACACCATGATCTTTTCCTGACCCTAACCAAGTGGTTTTTGTGCCTAAACCTAACCAGACCTTAACCACAGGGCATCATGATGATTTTGGAACGGACTTCGGCACAATGAGTTTAATATGGTCGGAACAATGGGATGTCGAACCAATGGGCTGTCGAACTAATGGGCAGTTCCCCTTAGCGGAGCATTTAGGAGCTGAAGAGGCCCAAGAACAAAAAAGGGCTCAAGAAGAGAGTCACTATTGGACAAACATTCATCAGTTGGACACAAACACAAATCGAAATGAATGATAACGTCGCTCTGTAGGTACAGATCTGTCAGATGTGTCATGAAGCTAGTGTGTGCTAACACGTTAGCCATGTCCACTAAAAGTCACCAACCACTTTCCACTGCCCCTAAATGACCAAAAAAAACTTAACCTTTAATACTGACAATAATGCTAACTTAAAGAAGCCCATTTCCATGAGATCTTGATCCTGTCATTATATAAACTTTCTTGAAATAATGTATCTCAAAATAATGACAAACTTTCCCAAAATATTGATATCTCAAAACAAGGAGTAGTGTCTCAAAATAATAATAAAATGTCTAAAAATAATAGCCTGCTTATCTAAAAACACTGACTTAACATTTGAGAATAATGAGAAACAATGTTAAAGGAGCTATCAAGCAAATAGTCGTAAAATCCTCCTAATATGTCACAGAGACTAAGGAATAATGTTCATATAACAAACTGATCTCACCGACAACAACAGTACAGCCAGAATATTCACATTTAAAAAAAACATTTACGGTCCGCAAATCATGTTTATGTTTTGAATTTGTGTTTTGGCCTGTTGCTCCACCCACCGCCGTCTACCAGTCACGCAGTCAGTAGAGTCTCAAGCATCAGTTACAGTTACGACTGAGCTACAGCAGCAAGGCAAGCAGCATTAGCAGCGTCACGGTACATAGCATTAGCAGCCGGCTCCTCCTCAGCTGTATCCCGGCTGCAGCATTAGCAGCAGAGAAGCCGGACTTGCTCCAACGGTCCGCTGGAAAACCGAAGATCAAGGACGCGGCGACGCAGCCCTGCCACGGCAGCTGCCCGTGGGCAAACAAATCAGTCTCCAGCGTGCCGCTGTCCAGCAACCTCGAATCTGTAGGGGAGGGGGGGCGGACGCGACTCGCGGCAGTATTTTGAATTTGAGTGCAGTAACCGTTTTGGTCACATTCTTACATACAGCCCCTTTAAGTTGTTATTTTGAGAAAGTTTCTCATCATTTTGAGCTAATAACTTATTATTAAGATGCTTGGTCATTTATTTCGAGATAAGTAAGTTATTATTTCAAGATAGTTTCGTATTATTTTGAGCTAATAACGTGTTAGTTTGAGATGCTAGGTCATTTTTTTGACATAAGTCATTTTTGAGTAAGTGTCTTGTTATTTTCAGGTACTAACTAATTATTTTAAGGTTCTTTGTCATTTATTTTAAGATAAGGTAAGTTATTATTAAGGGTATTTTTAGGTGCGAAGACATTTTTTTCTCCGTTAAAGGTTTTTTTGGGGGAGTTTTTCCTTATCCGCTGTGAGGATCCTAAGGACAGAGGGATGTCGTATGCTGTAAAGCCCTCTGAGGCAAATTGTGATTTGTGAAATTGGGCTTTATAAAAAAAATTGATTGATTATTTTGAGATTAGTCATTGTTTTGAGAAAGTTCCTCATTATTTGGAGATACTAAGTCAACAATTTAAGATACGTTAATAATTATTCTGAGATACCAACTCATTACTTTGATTATTTTGAGATAATAACTCATTATTTAGAGATAAATAAGTTGCTATTTTGAGATACGTTCTCATTATTTTAAGCTAATAACATTATTCTGAGATGCTTAGTCATTTAAGTAAGTTATTATTTTTGAGCAAGTTTCTTATTATTTTCAGGTATTTTAAGGTACTAGTCTCATGTTTAAGGTAAGTATGTTGTTATTTTTGAGATAAGTAAGTTATTAATTTGAGTGAGTTTGTCATTATTTTTAGGTGCTATATTTTGTGATACTAAGTCAGTAAGTTAGTAATTATTCTGAGATAATAAATAATTGTATTGACAAAGTTTCTCATCAATTAACTCAACTAACTCATTATTCTGAGATGCTTAGTCATTTATTTTTAGATCAATAAGTTTTTGGTTTTGAGTAAATATCTTAGGTACTTAGTGTTTCATTTTAGATAAGACATTTCTTAGATATTTTGTCATTCATTTTAAGATAAGTAAGTTATTATTTTGAGTGAATTTTTTCATTATTTTTAGGTACTAATTCATTATTTTGAGATACTAAGTCAATAATGTGAAATAAGTTAGTAATTATTCTGAGAAACTAACTCATCATTCTGAGATATTAACGCAGAATTTTAAGAAAATTTCCCATCACTGTGAGCCTCTAACTCATTATTACAAGATGCTTACTCATTATTTTGGGATAAGTAGGTTATTATTTTGTCTTACTTTCATTGCTTGAGATAAGTTTAATAATTTTTTTGATACTTTGCCATGTATTTGAAGAAAAGTTATTATGCAGAGAAAGTTTCTCATTATAGTAACTTACAGAATACTTTTATGGCAGAAATGAGCTTCCATACCAACGACTATCATTTAGAAACAAATGTTTTGTAGACGTTTTGACACATCATGACAGAAAGAGCACAGGCGTGATTAATAACATTAATGATGGCAGCATTCATCGAGCCTTCATGAGTAACACCTGCGCTATTCCCACTCCTCTCACAATGTGTGCAGAGAACAAAGTCTACCATTACACCACATGCAGAGTGTTCAACAAAGCTTCGACACATTATTCCTTCGTTTTTTTATAACTTTATGCACAACAGCCGTCCATCATTGCATGATGTTGAGCCTGCAGTGTACTGCGAGTGTGACATCTTCATTGTGCTGCCTGTGTATGATGTTACAGGTCGTCAGCGTAAACCAATCAATGCCCAAATCCAATTCACTGTGACTCACTCCCACCTGAAGTCAGTGTGAGACCCATTTCAGCTTTTCTCTTTGGTTTCAGTGACAAAAACAAGATCAAGACTACAAGGCTGATTTTTGTTTTTCAAAAATAAAAGCATGGCTTCTTTTATAAAAAACAGCTTTATGAGTTTTCTCCATTATTCTTATTAAGACAGCATGTACATTGTACCATGTCTTATGTGTATAATGATCTTACTTTAAACCAAACTGTCTCTCAACATCAGCCACACTGTGCAATGCCAACAAATTTTGTTGCATCTTCTTTTGCAGCATCTTAATGCAGCATATGAGCCGTTCTGTTAGTTTCTCCATTTGTCTGTGTTTTTTCTTTATCTGTAACACACAGGGTTCTCTCAGCCACCACAGAGAATAATCCCCAGGCTTTACCTTCCAGAGGAGTCCCTCATACTTCCTGACATGGCGGGTCATACCCTGCGAGGGACACGGATGAGAAACACACAGACAGTAAAAAACAAATCAAAGAAAAACATCAAAGTAACTTTAGAAAGCCCATTAGCACTCACTCGATGAACGCTGCCTTCAAGGACCTGCTTCATTGCTGTATCACTCGCCAGGTCAAACGCCGTCTGGCCTGTGAGGTGTGTACACACAAGACAAGTGAGGCTGCCGTACAACATGTATACAGCAGGAAAAAAACACAGAGTCCGTGATATTTAAAGCTTAATGACAACTGTTAGAAAAATCAAGGGGTCGTTGACATCCAAACCAGCCCCCGCTTGTGCCTCTCGTGTTCTTACTTTGTTTTTTTTGCACTGATAATCTCGTCGAGTCACAGAAATAAACACAGTATTCGGCAAAAATAAGGTCAGAATAAATTTCCACAGAGGAGAGAGCTGTTTACTCAGTCTGTTGCTGTTCCTGTTTGAGCGAAGGACCTCATGTAGTGAGTTAAAATTGTTGTTCACTTAACACCAGAGGGAATATTTTTGATACAAGCAGCAGTCTTACACAACTATAGAGATGAGTGGTTGGTTAACGGATGAGGCCAGTGTTATTATATATTATTCATACTGATGTTTTTATTATTGATTGAAAATGTTGTTGACGTCATAAAGCCCATAAAATGACTAAAACCAACGATGTGTCAGACCATCCTGTGGCTCTCACCCTCAAGCTCATTGCAGCCAACAGTGTGCTTAATTGATGTCTTGGAACTCTGTGGCCCAGAGGAATAAGCTGTGGTTTTGGTCTTTTCATTGGAAGAACAGAGAATACGACCGGCCTTATCCTTTCAAGACAGGAGGGAATTCATGATTTCCAGCTCGGCTGGTGAGACTTACCTTTCTTGTTCTTAATGTTGGGGCTGGCTCCACTTCTAAGTAGCTTCAGGGCACACTGCTTCTGGCCTCGATAGGCTGCAGAGTGCAGCGGAGTGTTGCCCAGCAGATCTGTGCAGTTGATGTCTGGGGTCTTCTTCCTGCTGAGCTGCAGCAAACACACAGGACAAAAACAGATGGCTTGTCTGGTGCCAAATATCCTGCAGCTCTTTATTATTCTGCTAAGGAGTGAAGCACGACTCTTTGATTTCTCACTCTGTGTCCAATAGCTAGAGTAGTTAGGACTGCTCAAAATCTTCCCGCCAGTGTCCATTTTGTTTGCTTCTCTTTCTTTCAGAGCAGTTTGCTAATGAGGCTTCTGTGGACAACTGTTCTGCTGTCACTAAGAGTTAAAGGGCGTAGCAGAGAATACACATGTCTGCACTTGTGACTGTGTGACAATATCTGAGAGTGTAGCATTGTGACATGCTCACAGTGACAGACTGATATTGCCATCCCTGTAGCCATGTGACTAGTGTAGCTAATAAAATCTGAATTGAATTTAAAGGAGCACATCACCCCCCAAATCAATTACCTGCGTTACACTGAATTTGTCGAGAAAACGCTGTTTTTCTCGCCTGCCTCCACGGTGAATGGAGAATCCAAAAACAGAGAAAAGTCTTGATGACTGTAGTAAAAGGAGGCCACGTTTAACTTCAGCAAAAGTATATCAAAACATCTGTTTTGTAACTCTCACACAGGTGGTGCAGTATTTGCATGGTTGGTGTCTCTTCATCCAGTCTCATGGTCAGTACTTCCCAAACAGACAGCCCTTTCTGACAAGGCTTTCCACAAAACACTTTCGGTATGGTACCTTTGGAGCCAACAGTAACCCTTCAGATATGGTACCTAGACCCTAGCGTTTCCACCACAGACAGTACTCTTAAATGTGGGCGGGGTTGTTGTCACTCACTGCTCCGTCCAGCACTCACTGTATTTCCTCATCAGCTGTGACACAGATGGAAGTCTGCACCTGGTTTATCGTCCACAGAACGAAGCTGCATGCCGACAACATAAAACAGGCTGCAGTGAGAGTGTCTCTCCATGGGATATTTAAAAATAGCAGCTTTGTGCATTTAGTCCTTCTCAAGCAAGCTCAGGGGTTTAGTGTTGCTGTAGCCCACAGGAACGACGCTCCACTATGCTTTTTTTTTGAGTGAAGATTAGAATATATGCACTTCATATAACCCAGTTGAAATTAATATATATATTAACGCTTGTGGATCCACTCATTACTAAAAGTGTATGTCATACAAAAACTAAAGTGATGGTCAAAGTTGTCATAAGTTAACATTCCACCTTAAAAGTTGCCAGCAGTAAGTCTAGTGAACTGAGTTATCTTTTCTCAGACTCCAGCTGCTGTGAGAGGCAGCAAAACATCCTTTCATTTTATAGTTACAGTTTACTAATAAAACTCTCCACAGTATGAACAGTGGTTACATGAGCCTCAAAACCAGACACAACTCAGCCCTGAGCAGAGTGACCGTCCTCTACTGACCAATCAGACTGCAGTGTTCACAGCTCCACCTTTTAGTACTAGATCTGTGTGCTAGGTACCCCAACAGAGGGGGGACCAAACATGGGGACGCTAAGGAACGCTTCCATTGGTACATCCACAACTTTTCACAGTGGAAACGTACCAAACTGAACTGTACCGTACTGCTTAACTGGGCTTAAGCAAAACTTATCCATGCTCTCTTCAAAACCAGACTCCATTGACAAAAGCAGTAACTTTACCTGGCTGAGCACCGCTGCCTCAGTCAGTTAGTTTGCTACTGTAAATTACTTTTTGTCAATATAGTCTGGCTTTGAACAGAGCATATATACATTTCATTATCTGTTTAGTTCCCTTGTTGGAGAGGCCTGTCTGTTTAGGAAGTTCTAAGCATTCGACTGGAAAAATGATTATTGGATTACACTGCATGAGTTGTGTGAGAGTTTGAGAACAGATGTGTTGATATAGTAATGTTGTTGAACGTAGTCCCCAATGACTTAAATTCATTAAGAATATTTGCCTTGTTTTTTGGATTCTCTGTTCAACATGAAGGCCTGCCAGAGGAACAAAGTTTTGCTAAAATGCAGCTGCACGGTGAAAACAAGCAGCAGATACAATGACAGATCATGACATTACATGACACAACACATTCCACTTCTGATGTACACGGAAAGCAAAAAGACAAATAGGGTGGAGAACATTTACAAACTTAGGTCACTAGCTCTGTTGTCACTGTATAGAGATGTTTTGATGTGTTCAATTCATCAAGACTTTTCTCCATTTTTCTGTTCTTGGTTCACTGTGAAGGTGTGTGAGAAAAAAAGAGGCTAACACACGGTGAGTAACTGATTTACAAATGGTGATTTAAGGGTTAAAGTATTCCCTTAATGTGCAGAAACCTTCATTTTTTTCCACCATAGGAGCTGCAAAACTGTGCCCAGATTGTGAGAGGATGTTCCATACTTTCATAGGTCAAAAGTAAGATTTTATATAGAGCATGTTTCCGACTCCCATTTCATATCTTTGTGAGTACTGAATCAACGATCAGCATCTGGCACTAACCAGCTGAGTTAGAGATGAAAGGTCTCCTTCTCGTGCAGCTTCCAAAAGTTCCTCCTCCAGTTTCCTCTCCTCTGTTCTCTCAGCCGCTGGTTTTGGTAAAACGACGGGATTCACAAGAGGAAATGAGGGATGATTTTACAATGTATACATCAAATAGACACCTTGTATGGAATAATATAAAAAGATTACTCATGGAGAGAGATAAATCTGTTTCTGTGAAATTAGATGAGGACATGCCTCTCTCACCTTCTAACATGCTTCTGATCTCTGCATTCTGAGTGACATCTTTGGGTATCTGTGCTGTCCCATTGATGACAGTAGCACATGCATCATAGTGCAGCAGCAGCATGACAACCTCCTGATCAATACGTGATTGATTTATTGATTGATTGACTGATTGACTGAATGGATGAATAAATGCATGCACAAAACCATATTTTCAACAAAGACACGAGAAGAGCAAAAAGAAATTTAAAATCTGAATGGAAGATGCATTCAGGTACCTTTCTTCCTGTGAAGGCAGCTTTGTGCAGCGGTGTATCTCCCACATTGTTGGGCAAGTTAACATCTGCACCCGCCTGCAGGGGGCGACACACACAGATAACACACACGTTAGCCATGCAGTTATTTAAAATCTGAAGCAAAATTTAGAAATTAAAGGTCCAGTGTGAAGGATTTAAGGGGATATACTGGCAGAAATGGCGTCTAATATAATAAGTATATTTTCTTTAGTTTATAATCACCTGAAAACAAGAATTGTTGTGTTTTTGTTACCTTGGAATGAGCTGTTTATATCTACATAGGGAGTGGGTCATTGTCCACAGAGATCGCCATGTCACATCATTTCTACAGTAGCCCAGAATGGACAAACCAAACACTGGTCCTAGATACAGCCATTGATGTTTTGACATTGGCCACCAAAGTTAGCAGCCCCTCCACGACGAGATTTTTGTGTGACACTGCTTTAGTCAGAGTTTTTACCAGTATTAATCACCAGGACAGTTTGTTTTGGAGCAGAAGAGGCCTCTGTGGACATTTCGGCTGCTTGTAAAAACCTCCTGGACCTCCTGGCGAGGTGTAGGCTCTTACACAGACGCCGATGACGTCAGCACGCTTGCTGACTCTGTCGTCTGTGGACATTCCCATAGGAAAGTTGTAACAGAACTAGCGCTGGCTCCCAGCGGCAGTGATGTGATTGGATCCAAATCTATGTACTTCCGTACTTCCTCGACCAATGGCTGATTAGCTTTGCCTTACACCCGCCTACACCGGAATTGCTGTTCCCAGAATTGTTGTCCGTAGTACAACAGAAAAGGAAGTGTTCAGTGCATCGCAAGAAGAGATTAAAATGGATATGATTTCATTTGATTCAGCTATATTGCAGAGCTGCAACGTCTCTGTTACACGTGCTGTACCTATGGCAACACCGTCACGTGGTCTGGATATCCCCGCCCATTTCTATTACAAAGCGAAAGCTGAATGTCCCCAGACTCCCATTCAGAAGTAAGGGAGGCCGGTCACGCGAGACTAGACGAGGTGCACCACTCTTAGAAAAGACAAAACAAAACAAAACAAACAAAAAAAACGTTTGCTGCACCTTTTCATTGTTGCCAGGCAACCATCCTATCACCTCCTAAGACTAACCTTCCCGTGTAATCAATCTACTGTTAGTAGTAGTAGACTGTGATTGAGGGTGAGAGGCTGTCAGCAAAAAGTTCGTTGGGCACAGGGAAACGGAGAATTGTGCAGGTACATGAGACCCTAATAAAAAAGGGTGGTTTCGGGGAGTACCACCACTTGGTCCGGAAGCTTTGCCTCGATGATGGCCATTTAAAGGCATATTTTAGGATGACTCAGGGGCAGTTTGACAACCAGCTGTCTATCGTCAGGCATAATAGCTTTGGGTATCCGAATCACCTGAATGGACAACAGGAAAAGAGCTGATGAAAACATAGATGACGAGGAGTGTTTTTACGCTCTGAGCTGAAGTTTTCAACTCAAGGAGTTCAGAGTGCTCCAGGAAAAATGCCTGGTGCTTTGTGGCCTGTCTCTGACATGCCAAACAACATTGGAGAACTGATTTGTAATGTGAAACTGCCTTATTCAGTGTATTTAACTGGCGTGTTTGTTTTGGAGAGGTGACCTCTGCGGATAATTCGGCTCAGAGTAAAAACCCCTGAAAATCTGGATCATAAATAAGGTGAGCACACATTAAGTTATCAGAGAAACAGCCTGTTTGTTTCGCAGAGGAGAGGACCTCTGCAGATAATTTGGCCCCTGGTTAAAATCTCCTAAACAATGAAAAGGAATTTAAACAGGGAAAAGTTTCAGCAGGTTGCAATCTGCAATCCTCACCACTAGATGCCATTAAATCCCTCTACATCTTACACACTGCTCCTTTAAAATGTTTTTTAATAAACAAACAAAAGAAAACCTTCAGTAACTCCTCCACCACATCTTTGTGTCCAAAGTAACAGGCCAGGTGAAGAGGCGTCCATCCCAGATTGGACTTTCTCTTACCTGAGAAAACAGCACACAGTGTTACACCACACGCTGTGATTGATAGTGTTTGCTGAAAAATGTCACAAACCTTTGCAGTTTATGTTGATCTGTGTCTCTTCCTTTATCGTGGACATGAGGAGCCTCTGAATGCCCTGCAGATCTCCATTGCGGGCGAACTGCAGGAACTGCTCCTCTGGCTCCAGCTCCTCCATTGACCCCTGCAGAGGACACGCAAGAGAGAAACAGCGACAGCACAAAAAGATGCTTTTTATTTCTGTGACTCGACTGTGATTAAAAAGATGCTTTCAGAGCAGATTTCAGATGAGTTATGGGCAGAGGGGTTAGACAGGATCAAAGCATGTTCCATCATTGCTAGACTTTAACTTATTCAGTTTAAAGTTGACCATCGGCTGCACTGAACCCAACAGTATCTTTTATTCTGTCTCTGCTACCTGTGATAAGTGCAAGCAGAGTGACAGCTCATCTTCTCTGGTCTTGCCCCGAGCTCAAGAGTTTCTGGGGATGACATTTTTCATTTGTACAGCGACATATACAGCAGACAGCTAATCCCTGATCGTCTGTGTGATATTGGGTTGCTCCAACTACTCTTTGATTTTTCCCCGAGCATTAAAACGAGCCCTCATCTTTGGTTTGATCACAGCAAAAAGATTTATCCTGAGAGAGTGGATTTCAGTTTCCCCTCCTTGCTTTAAAAAATGGCTAAATGACACAGTTTCTTGTCTAAATTTTGAAGAAAGTCTGTATAGTCTGTCTAACCCCACCCCAAGATTCTTAAGATTTGGGGACCCTTTGTTGAACATACAGGAGAGGGAGGTGTCAACCTGGGAACTGAGTGTACCAGACCATTTATGTTGGTAAATGGACTGCACTTGTATCTCACCTTTCTAGTCTTCTGACCACTCAAAGCTCTTTTACACTACATGTCATATTCACCTATTCACACACACATTCACACACTCGTGGAAAAGGCTACTGTACAGGGTGCCACCTGCTACTCAGTGACCATTCACGTGCTCTCTCACACCAAAATTTGGGGTTCAGTATCTTGCCTAAGGATACTTGCAGAATGGAGGAGCTGGGGATCAAACCGCCGATCTTACGATTGGTGGACAATCTGCTGTACCTCTGAGCAGAGGTATTGTACTGTATTGGCTGCTAACTATCTAGAGCCAGTGGTTGGTTTGTCTGCTCTGGGCTACTGTAGAAACACAGTGGTGAACATGGCGATCTCTGTGGACAAAGATCTGCTCCCTATGCAGATATGATCGGCTCTTTGTACGGTAACAAAAAGATAACCATTGTTAGCTTCAGGAGATTATACACTAAAGAAAACATACTTATTATATTCCTATTCTGCCAGTTTATCCCCCTAAATCCGACACACTCGACCCTTAAACAACAACTTCCACTGTTGTCTGTGCTCTGTGTGATGAGTAAACTGAGCGTGATTTGCAAAATCAGTGCAGTGCACCTTTACAGTGAGTTCAGCCTGGAGGTGTTGTCTCTGGTTATATGCCCTAACAAGTCATCATCGCTCATTGTTTAAGACACGTGAGGACAAAGTCACAAGAGTGTTTTGTGACACAGTGAAGAAAAAGCAGTTATCAGAGTGATTACAGAAAGGTGGCTGTCACCAGACTGGCTTTACAGGAAGGAAACAAGTTCTCCCTTTCCCCTTTATACAGTCTCAGTCCACATGACGCTCTGCGTTTGCAGTAAAACCTTGGTATGCAGAGAAAAAAAAAAAAAAAAAAAGGGCTGCTGTATGTGATGTTATGAAATGTCATGACGCTATGGCAGAGAATCTATGAACCACAGATGACAAATCAGATGTCAGACTGGCACTCAAACAGGTTTACCTGGAGCTGAGGAGCATGTGACAGTAACGGTTACTCAGCCAGTCTTTCTACTGCACACTGCAGTCACTGGGATACACCTGTGAACTCTGACTATATATTGTAACGACATAATTATGACGCATGCAGAGCTTTCTTTGGTGTTTACTTTCTCAATATTTATTAAAATCTGGTTTTAATTTGCATTTTCATTCCTTTATTATGACGTTCAGTTTGATCTCTCTATTCTTGACTCTCATTTGAGCAGTTTTTAAAATTATTTTATCAAACCTATAACAATTTTGGTCATTTTAAAGCAACAAATAAACAAATACATTTCCTGTGTTTTATTCCTTTTGTGAGATTTTGCTACTTGTCTTTGTCTTATGTGATAGTAACCTGAATATTACGGGGTTTTAGACCGACAAAACAAGCAGTATGAATACGTCACCTTTGGCTTCATTTCATTTCATGCTGTTTTACTTTCTACTTCTGTCCCACTACATGCCAGACGGAACGATTCTGTGTCCCACTACATTTATTTGCAAACTGTACTAGTTACAAGTGACTTTTCAGATTAAAAATTAACATTAAAATCACATGATGAGCAGCATGTAAAACAAAAACACATTGTTAGATACATTTTCCCTTTAAACTTCTCAGATGGTTTAACTTAAATAACTGCGTGAGGCCCAGAGGTGTTAAAATATTCAGTATCTCACAAAAAAAGCAGTGTAGAAAAAAAATAATCATACAAATGTGTTTGCAGCACTTAGTTTTCTCCTTTCCTCTTATATTAATCACCTTACGCAACCCCTCACATTTATATGGTGACGTTTTAGATGGGGCGTGGCCTTAATGTCTGGAAACCACTGGACTAACCTGCATGAACGCATCAGTATTAATTATTTATTAATGTAATTCATAATAACATATCAGTCACAGGCATTTTCCTGAGACTTGTGTACTTTTACTTTACTAAGAGTTTGAATGCAGGATTATTTTAACATAAATGAAATGGCTGTTTCTTCCACCACTGCTGTCTTGGGACTTTTTATATTTGCTTTTCCAGGTTCTAAATAAAAATTAAAGTACTCATAAAATATAACAATTAGAATACTATCATGCTACTACTAGTTGTAATAATAATAACAGTGTATAGAATAACATATCAGCAGCAACTAATCAGAATTGTAATCTGGAATTTTCTTTGATTCATTGCTGCATTACAAAACCATTATTAAGAGAAAATTAAATTAACAATAAAAACAATTTTTGCAATAATCACCAGACATGATAACAGCTGTTTGTTTACTAGCAAGCAGGACAAACAGTGAGCCAGACACTTACTTCTTCAACTCTCCCAGTCCTGAGAGGTAAAACCCAGGGTACGGGACTCTCACAGGCCCCTCCGTGGTCCTACATGTGATGTTTTAAGCCCCTCTGAGCCGCTTCCTGCTGCGCTACTGCGGCACAAACGTCGCGGCGCACATCGGCCGACACATCACACCGTCACACACACATTCCCCATTTATCGTCCACAACTGACGCTGAGCTGAGCGATGGCGAAATATTGCTGTCTCTGTCTGTGTCACACACACGCCTCTGTTTTCTGTTTACACTCACATCAGCTGATCTTCGAAGAGCGGAAGTCGCCCGCAGCATCGTTTGCGCCTTTCAAAATAAAAGCTGTGAGCGTTGTTTTAAACGCAGAAATACATTTCCAGTGACATAAAACACACGCGTTACTTTATATATCACGCGCAATTAAAAACTATATATTCACAAATTGAATTCTTTGTTGGTTGCGCTTTGTATTTGGCGTCGTCCTTGTTGTAATGTTTTTTACTTTGTTGAGTGAAAACACGTCAGAACCCGGAAGACAAAACACCCAATCCGCTCTGCCCTGGAAGCTGTTTACTTCCCCACATGCAGACTGCTCCTCAACATGTAGTTCATGTGACTTAAATTATATATAATCTGTGTTTTTTCACTGATTTATTTTCATATTTTCTGTAGCCGACACTTGAACTGATGGCCGACATCTTACATCCGGGGAATGAAGGAGATCTACAGGCTCAAGTAATATATATTTCTGCTTTTACAACCTGTCTGATAAAGTTAAGACAACTTGGCAAGTTGGGTTCAATGTCTATTTTTGTTGTGGTGTTTTTGACGTGCAGAGAGAGTATATGCCAGATGGTTACTGTTGGCATGTGAACCCATGGGTGAACTAGACAGGTGAAAATATTACGGATAATAACTTAAGGCAGGCTGACACAAGCAATGAAACAGAGAGGAATAGACACACACACACACACACACACACACACACACACACTGCAGGTTGCTCCCAAGGTGATGTGATGTGATGTTTGAAGCCCAGCAGGCTCGGCAAGAGATGGACTCAAATTAACACCCTCACAAGCACCCATAATTAGATGTGTGTGCCAGAACAGATGCACATGTCTTTGTTGTAGTTCAGCTCCAGTGCCTCTCCTGTATCGCCATGACAATCACAGAGCTATCCAATTTTCCAAGAAATAAATAGCTTGCTAGGTGCTCCTTAAAAAACGACAGACGGTTGTTTGATGGTGAAACTTGGAAAATGGGATTAAAATCTTTTTTGTCATGCAGCAGAAATTTTCTTTTTTTCCATCCAGATGGTTAAAAGTCTTTGACTATTCTATAAAAGCAGTTGGTTCACTATTTTGGGAAACAAGCCTATTCATTTTCTTACCGAGATTTAGATAAGATTGATACGACTCTTATGTCTGTACAGTAAACTTCTATTGGCTCCGTTTGAAGGTAAGACAGTCCACCTCCTTACACCTCTAAAGCTCATTAATTAGCACATTTAAAGGTCCAGTGTAGGGACACACGATAATATTGGCACATCGTCGGTATGAGCCGATATTGGCTTTAAAATGAAATATCAGAATCAGCCAACGTGCTTTTTCTTATTTAGCACAATGGATGAATATTACATACATTAGAAAGTACTGTATTTTATGTCTCCACCTGCTGGTGGGCCATCATGATAAGAGTAAGCATGCAGAGAGACTTGATGACCTCTAAGATTAGGTGGGGAAAAAAGTGCCGTGACCTGTCCCAGAGTTATGATCTCCAACGCCAAGGACAGAGTCAAGTTCTCCACTTCAGGAGAGCTGGGCACAGGAAACGTCAAGCGGTTAAAAAATTGGATATATCGATATTGGTCTCAGTTATTGGTCATACTAGTTGTTCAATCCAATATCGTGCATACCTAGTCCAGCATGTAGGATCTGGGGTCATCTATTGTCAGAAATGTTACACAGTATTGAACTATTCACCTGAAATTAGGAATCTTTGGGTTTTCGTTATATTATATTTATACACATACTGTAGCAGGTCCTCTCCCACTGAGCCTGCCATATCTTTTACAGTAGCCCAGAAAGGACAAATCAACCACTGGCTCTAGAGAGGGCCATCCACATTTTGTGTTTTTGTGTCGGCCATTATAGTTCTCTTGCATGCTTGACACACGGGGGACGTTTCAGTTCTGCAACTTGACTGCTATTTGCCTCTAAATCTTACACGCTGGACCTTTAATGTGCCAGACAACCAGTGGAGACTCCAGGAAGTTACTTCTCCTGATCAAGAAATAGTCCCAAGACATTTTTGTTCGGATTTATACAAACAAGATATCTGTCAGCACGTTAATTAGTGAGCTTTACAGGTGCTGACATGTAGGCACCTCAGGTCAAAGTCTAACAGTTTCCCCAGTTTTTCAGTCTTTATGCTAAGCTAAGCTAACTGGCTTCTGGCTCCAACTACATATGTGCTGTACAGACATGAGAGTGGTATCAGTCTTCTCATCTAACTCTCAGCAAAAAAGCATCTAAGTATATTTCCTAAAATGATGAAGGTGAGGTTTAAAGGTTTTTCAAAGACCACTATATGTGACTTTTTTGGAAAATCAAATTTGTACTTTTGTGCCTAAACTGAGATTAGCTGTACTTTAGAGGTATATCATGCAGTTTGTTTGTTAACATCGCCAGTGAAGGGCAAAGCCAAGCCCAGATTCACTTTCATTTTGGAACAAGCTTCATCCGCTTGGCGTTTCACCCATAGACTGTATAGAATAATGGATGTAGCCACTGTGACTTCCCTCGTTCTGAAGCCTGGAGTCTGGCATTTTGGCAGTAGCCATCTTGATTTTTTGGAGCCAGAAGGATCGGACTCACAGACCCAGATGACGCCTCGCAGAGAGCTTGTCACACATGCAGCCCCACCCTTAAATATACAGAAGTTTAAGCCTTAATAAAATGCAAACAGGTGAGTTTAGGTGAAATTATCTATAGATTTCACTCACTTCTGGAGCCAGCCTCAAGTGGCCATTATAGGAACTGCAGTTTTTAGCTCTTTGCTTTGGCTTCATTTTTCAACCCTGGGTGTTGCCACTTGGTTTCACCTCACTGTATTTGCGTTTTTTCAGCGCTGTGCCTCAATTTTCATGGCTCGCTCTTTATAAAGTCCAAATCTTACCTGTGTGCAGAGCCCAGGAAGGTACAGGCAGAGAGCAGAGTCTCGGCAGATAAAAACACTGCCACACACTTCTAGCTCGGCATAAGTATGGTGGTCATGGGATTACTTCTGTCTGAGTCTGTGCATTGTTTTTTGGGGAAAATCCTGCATAGTATATCTTTAATATTGTGTGCTTTTGATGTGTCTGTGTGCAGCTGATTTTGATGTTATTTAAAAAATATATTAGGTCAGAGTTTAAAGCCTTCAGTAAACTTCAGGTCCAAATGCTGAAATAACCTTATGGATAGATTCATACTTCATGTCCACAGACACATATGATAGATGTTTTTCTTTGTTATTGTTTCCTATGTTCCAGATCGAAGAGGTCGAGGCTCTGTCTTCCATCTACGGGGACGAATGGTGCGTTATAGACGAAGCATCCAGAATATTTTGCATCAAAATATCCGACGACTTGGATGAGCCAAAACTGACAGCATGTTTGCAGGTAGAGACACAGAGATCTTTATTGTTCTCTTGTTTGTAACCCAGTTTATGATGTTTTTTTCTTCTCATTGATCAGATAATTCTCCCCCCTGATTACCCGAGCGCCGCCCCGCCCATCTACCAGATTAAGTGAGTCTATTTGCCTTTCAAATTTAATCTAGCGGAGATCTGCTGAATTGATAGAACAACATCCCACTCTAAAGCCCACTCGTACTCCTACTCAATAACCCTGTGTTTGCTCTTGGCTTTTGTAGTGCTGCGTGGTTGCGAGGCCCCGAGAGGACCAAATTGGCAAACAGCCTGGAAGACCTCTATGTGTGAGTGCTTCTCATGATTTCTGACTTCACCGGGAGGCACTGTAGGGTGATATTAGCCACAACAAAAGCTTATACGATTGTGTCCACAGTGCTATGTCTGTGTTGTCTGTGTCTCTCACAGAGTCCACCCTCATGTGTATTTATTGCAATTTCAACAGGGAGCATGTGGGGGAGAGCATCCTCTATCTGTGGGTGGAGAAAATTAGAGAGTTCCTCGTGGAGAAATCCCAGAGCTCAGACACAGGTGAGATGTGATAAATGAAATCCATGCTCGAGAGACACACTCATTCAAGTACATCCTAATGACTTGAATTTACATTTGATAACATATATCAGTCCAGGAAAGCGTATTTCTTAACACAGCAAATACAGGAATCTCATTTGTTCAGTAAGCCCCTCCCCTCTTAGTTGCTGTTGCTACACCTGTCAATGATGATGGTGACAGATTTTGTGCATCCACCCCAGCAATAACTGTGGCTGGAGGCTTTATATTATACATCCATATGTCCGTCTGTCCCTTCATATGTCCATCCTATTCCCGTGAATGTGATATCTCAAGAACGCCTCACTGGAATTTCTTTAAATGTGGTTAGATGAGTAGACATTGGTGGTCATAGGTCAAGGTCACTGTGATCGTGCGCCTGTCTCATTCTCATGATTGCAAAGAACACCTGGGGGGAATTTCTTAAAAGTTTGCCCGAACATCTACAGGGACTCAAGGATGAACCGCTTAGAATTTGGTGGTTGAAAGTCAAAGGTCATGATCACTGTGACGTTGCATCTGGCTCATTTCTGGAATGTGATCTTTTAAGAAGTCCCTGAGGGAGTTTCCTCAGATTTTGCCCAAACATCTACATGGACTCAAGTATGAACCGATTAGACTTTGGTGGTTGAAAGTCAAAGGTCACGATCACTGTGACCTTGCATCTGGCTCATTTCTGGAAGGCTATATTTTAAGAAGGCCTTGAGGGAATTTCCTCAAATTTTGCACAAACATTTATGTGGACTCAAGGATGATTTGATTAGAATTTTGTCGTCAAGGTCAAAGGTCAAGATCACTGTGACCTTGCATCCGGCTCATTTCTGGAAGGCGATATCTCAAGAAGGCATTGATGGAATTTCCTCAAATTTGGCACAAATGTCCACTTGAAATCAAGAATGAACTGATTAGAATTTAATGGTCAAAGGTCACTGTGACCTCACAAAACATGTTTTGGCCATAACTCAGGAAATGATATGGTAGTTAAGACAAAATTTCACACATATGTCCAATAAGATAAAATGATAAAAGGTCAAAGGTCAGCTTCATTGTGACATCATAATGATCGTACTTGTACTCGTTGTTCTCCGCTTATCCGGGTCCGGGTCGCAGGGGCAGCAGCCTCAGCAAAGAAGCCCAGACAGTCCTCTCCCCCGCCACTTCCGTCAGCTCTTCCGCGGGAACCCCGAGGCGTTCCCAGGCCAGCCGGGTGATGTAAGTCCCTCCAGCATGTTCTGGGGCGGCCCCGAGGTCTCCTCCCGGTTGGGCATGCCCGAAACACCTCCCAAGGGAGGCGTCATAATGATCTGCAAAAACAATTTTCTGGCCATTACTCAACTCTATATCTCAGGAACAGAAGGGGGGACATTTGGTCAGATAGTGAACTGGCGTCCATCTTGAAACTGTGCTTATTGTAAAGTTCTTATGTGCTTCCAGGGGGGAAGATATGTGTGCTACATCCATGTTTTCACTGCACGTAAACTGTGCCTGCAACTTGACTGGTTTGTGGAGGTGTACAATAGCGAGGTGATAATTCTAGTTGATTTTAAGCTTGTGTGAACAAAACCAGGCATCTAATTGGATGGATAATGTTTACTACAGAAAAAGGTAAATGGATAAGTAAAAAAATCATTAGATTGATGCTTTAATCTTTTCATTTTTAAACATTGTGCCTCACTTTTAAAAGAGAAGCATCCCTGACAGGTGTTTTTCTAAAGTGACATGTAACCCCACAAAATAATGTACTTAGCTAATGACATGACCCTTGTGTTTGGAGGGAACGCTGGATTACTACCGCACATAGCTAGTTAGATGGGCATACTAACTTCTGCAGCTGAGGTGAGAGCAGCAAACATTCAAGCAAACATCATTTAATAAATTTGTAATGAACTCAGAAACATGAAGAGCATGTCAGGCAGTTTTCCTGTGCCCTTAGCTCCATGTTGTGTAACATTAACTTTATTATACTACACTGAACAAAAATATAAACGCAACACTTTTGTTTTTGCTCCCATTTTTCATGAGCTGAACTCAAAGATCTACAACATTTTCTATACACACAAAAGACCATTTCTCACAAATATTGTTCACAAATCTGTCTAAAATCTGTGTTAGTGAGCACTTCTCCTTTGCCAAGATAATCCATCCTACCTCACAGGTGTGGCATATCAAGATGCTGATTAGACAGCATGATTATTGCACAGGTGTGCCTTAGGCTGGCCACAATAAAAGGCCACTCTAAAATGTTCAGTTTTATCACCCAGCACAATGCCACAGATGTCGCAAGTTTTGAGGGAGCGTGCAATTGGCATGCTGACTGCAGGAATGTCCACCAGAGCTGTTGCCCATGAATTGAATGTTCATTTCTCTACCATAAGCCGTCTCCAAAGGCGTTTCAGACAATTTAGCAGTACATCCAGCCGGCCTCACAACCTCACACCAGCCCAGGACCTCCACATCCAGCATGTTCACCTCCAAGATCGTCTGAGACCAGCCACCCGGACAGCTGCTGCAACAATCGGTTTGCATAACCAAAGAATTTCTGCACAAACTGTCAGAAACCGTCTCAGGGAAGCTCATCTGCATGCTCGTCGTCCTCATCGGGTCTCGACCTGACTGCAGTTCGTCGTCGTAACCGACTTGAGAGGGCAAATGCTCACATTTGATGGCGTCTGGCACGTTGGAGAGGTGTTCTCTTCACGGATGAATCCCGGTTTTCACTGTTCAGGGCAGATGGCAAACAGCATGTGTGGCGTCGTGTGGGTGAGCGGTTTGCTGATGTCAACGTTGTGGATCGAGTGGCCCATGGTGGTGGTGGGGTTATGGTATGGGCAGGCGTATGTTATGGACAACGGACACAGGTGCATTTTATTGATGGCATTTTGAATACACAGAGATACCGTGACGAGATCCTGAGGCCCATTGTTGTGCCATTCATCCACGACCATCACCTCATGTTGCAGCATGATAATGCACGGCCCCATGTTGCAAGGATCTGTACACAATTCCTGGAAGCTGAAAACATCCCAGTTCTTGCATGGCCAGCATACTCACCGGACATGTCACCCATTGAGCATGTTTGGGATGCTCTGGATCGGCGTATACGACAGCGTGTTTCAGTTCCTGCCAATATCCAGCAACTTCGCACAGCCATTGAAGAGGAGTGGACCAACATTCCACAGCTCACAATCAACAACCTGATCAATGCGAAGGAGATGTGTTGCACTGTGTGAGGCAAATGGTGGTCACACCAGATACTGACAGGTTTTCTGACCCCCCCAGACCCCCCCAATAAAGCAAAACTGCACATTTCAGAGTGGCCTTTTATTGTGGCCAGCCTAAGGAACACCTGTGCAATATTCATGCTGTCTAATCAGCATCTTGATATGCCACACCTGTGAGGTGGGATGGATTATCTTGGCAAAGGAGAAGTGCTCACTAACACAGATTTAGACAGATTTGTGAACAATATTTGTGGGAAATGGTCTTTTGTGTGTATAGAAAATGTTTTAGATCTTTGAGTTCAGCTCATGAAAAATGGGAGCAAAAACAGAAGTGTTGCGTTTATATTTTTGTTCAGTATAACTGGTACACCAAAATTATTTCACCACATTTACCCACTACTCTACAATCACCCCAGTGTTATGTTTGACTAACTTTTTATTTTCCCTACCCTGCAAAAAAAAAACAAAATCAAGTTTAGAGTTCTTTTTCTACTTTCCTCCAGGTGTTCTGGGAATGCCCACCTGTTGCTCGTTCTTTGAAGGGGGTCTTCCTTTCACTTGTTAGATATATTCTCCTCGACTATGCCAGTGTCTATAACTGTTTACTCCTGAATTATTTATCTCAGCTGCCAGCTCCTGGGTACCAGAGAAGACCTATTTTGCTGACCTTAATACAGCCAAGAAACAGGTTGCTATGAGGTGAAAAAAAAAATCCTGACAAACTTTCAGGGTGCAGCTGGATGCTCATGTTTCTCGGTGTAATTTATTTGGAGTGGTCCACTGCTTGTATGATCAGAGTTAAGGAGTCTAATATTGGTTTATCATCAGCTACCAACTGCCTGTTCGCAGTAGTTGGTCCAAGAGTGTTAGAGGAGAGTGAGTTTTTTTGCCCTTGGTTTTGTGTGTAGGATTTAAGAGGATATGTTGGCAGAAATGGAATATAATGTAATTAATATGTTTTCTTTAGTGTACAATCGCCTGAAAGTATGAACTGTTGTGTTTTTGTTACCTCAGAATGAGACATTTATAGCTACACAGGGATCGGGTCCTGGCCTATGGAGTCTGCCATGTTGCGCCGCTGTGTTTTGACAGGAGCCCAGAAGGGACAAAGCAAACACTGGCTATACATAGTGCCATTTATGGTTTTGTGTCAGCCGCTGTAGTTAGCAGTGAAAATTGGCACATCTTTGCAGGTGCTGAGCCAAACAGCATACGATTGATTTGTAATGTGAAACTGCTTTATTATGTGTTTTTACTGGTTTTAATCACCTGGTCTGGTTGTTTTTGAGTGGAGGAGACCTCTGTGGATAACTCAGCTCTTGGTAAAAACCTTCTGAACAATAAACATCCAAGGAATTCTAACTTTGAGAAGTTTCAGCTGGTTTTAATTTGCAATCCTCACAGCTAGATTTCACTCAAATCTTACATCTGGCCCTTTAATGCACATGTTCATTTAATGCAGATGTGGTGACAATTTACAATGTGATTCTTTAAATGTTTTTAAATGTCTATCACAGTTGCTCTGTTCTGCTGAAACTCAATATTTACTCTTGACTTGCATGAAAATTGAGAGGCTCCGCTATTGCTGTAAAAAAAAAAAAAAAAAGGCCCATTGAAGAGAATAGGGATGACACGACTCTCTCTTAACACAGCTCAGGAGCACATGATAACATGCATACATGTTAAAAGCTCTGATGAAACCTGCTGTTTATCAGAGGGGTGATTATTTGATTATGTTTTATGAATGAGTAGTATCAAAGC